GTGCTGTTTGACTTTTCCTGCAAACTTGAGGCGTGTGCCTCTGTGGTCGCTGGCCGGCCGACCGTGCTACCTCCACACTCACCTCGTCCACTCACGCCACTGTCAGTAGAGTGAGGGGGGGAGAGAGAGAGCGAATGTGTGTTTGTGTTGGGGAATAATTTCGGTTTGTGCAGCGGTTGTGTTTGGCATCAGCGAGTTGGCGCGCGCACAAGCAAGGTCTTGCCCTGAATGCTGTAAATTCGAGACGGGTTCTGTACCCTGAAGGTGCATCTCTCTCTCTCTCTCTCTCTCTCTCTCTCTCTCTCTCTCTCTCTCTCTCGCTCGCTCTCGCTCTCTCTCTCTCTCGGGGGATTAGTCGGCGGGCCAGGGCCGAGGAAAAAGGCGAGCCAAAGCGGAAAGTTTTGATGAGATGGTGAGGCACTCCTTGATCTGCTGACGTTTGCAGTGAGACGGCCATGCATCCGCTGCAGCGGGGGTAAAAGAAGAGAGAGAGAGAGAGAGAGAGAAGGCGGGTAAGATTGAAGAGGCCGGAGCAAAGAGAGAGATTGCATTACTGACAGGATGACAAGGCCATCGCAGTGTGTCCGGCGGCAAAGCGGCGTGCGCTGCTTGCTGTGTTTCTGCCCTCCTCAGTCTGTTTTTGTGTCGAAGGGGAGCGGCCCTCCTTGGCGCCCTTGGCACCCTGGGCACCCTAGGCCCTCGCCGGCTGGCTGAGGTCGGTCCAGGAAGGGGCCGTCGTCCTGCTCTGGATCTTAGGCCGTGGCGGCAGTAGTTTGTTATCCTTTTTTACGCCTTCGGGCCTCCTCCGGGCGGGGCAGGGTGGGGATTACAACCCCTGACTTGCACCTGCGCGTCGTGGGTCGCGGCCCCGTCGCGGCCCCGTCGCGGCCCCGTCGCGGCCCCGTCGCGGAGGGAAGGGAGACTTGCAGTGTAGCGCACCCCGGAAGTGGGCGAAGTGCGGCCGGCGCGTGGAGGGGCGGCTGCGGCTACTTTCAGGGATGATAGGGGAGAGAGAGAGAGAGAGAGAGAGAGAGAGAGAGAGAGAGAGAGAGAGAGAGAGAGAGAGAGAGAGAGAGACACCACCCCGCGACCCCTCTGGATTCTCACTAGGCCGTGAGGCGATTTTGCGGCTCTTCGAAAGAGGGGCGGCGGCGTCTGGGTGGGTGGGGGTGGGGGAGCGCCTCACCCCCCCCCCCCCCCCCACGCCCCGCCCCGCCCGGCTCAGTGTCCTGCAGAGTGACCTCTTTTCACTTTCCAACGGCCCCGTTTTTGCCGTATTTGCAGCCCCTTTCATTTTCAACACTTCTGCCGCCTTTACATTCAACTGTCCCCCCCCCCACCCTCCCCATACCTTTTCTTCGGTTGCTTATCTGCCCCCGTTCCCCCCGCTCGGGCACCCCTTGTCCCTTTCACCACCGGAGGCAAAGGATTTCGCCGGCCCGGTTCGGAGGTTATTCTCGTGAATTATGAATATGGACACGATGAAAAGAGGCAAGGGGGAGGGGGGTTCGGTTCGGCCCGTGTTTGCAGGTGTGGTGGCGTGCTACCGCGTGCGGCAGTGTAGTGTTCCGGGTAATGGTCCGCGTGCATCTCCCTCCCGGCGAGGCCGTAGCCGCCGCCTGCTCGCCCGCCTGCTCGCCCGCCCGCTCCTCGAGGTGGTTTACGAGGCCCCGCTGCTCTAGCCGAGCAAGGCCCGGCCCAGCCTCCCCCGGTGGCGGTCGTGTAGTGTCGCGCCGGAGTGTAATTCTTGGACTAAATTTTGCGGCGGGGCGACCGAGCCTTGGCCAAGCCTAGGCCAAGCCGGGCCAAGCTATTGCCCCGTCAGGGCCGGAGCTGTTTCGTATATCTCGTGTAATTTAATCGCTTCCTGCATCTCTGTGGGGAAAAGTGTGTGTGTGTGTCCAACCCCCTCATCATAGTCCCAAACAACTTTTGAATTTATCGTGCGCACCCCCAACCCCCCACCCCTCGCGCCGTTTTTGCCGTGGGTTTCATCCCTAGAACGACCCATGAGAATTATTTCAGTGTCCATATAATCTTGCCCCCCTCCCCCCCTCTCTCTCTGCTTCTCGCCCTGGCCTCCGCGTTTGCGTTATCTCCCTTGTTTGAATTATCACGATCCTCTTTTCCCTCACCTGACGAGGCAACTTCAGGTGGACATTTTTACGTTTCGCGGTGCCTTGTTATACCTTGTTATTGTTGCATCTTTTTTTTGCACTCTTTCTCCCACTCTCTCTTTCTCTCTCGCTCCCCCTCATCCTGGCGGTCCAATTAGGCGCAGCGTCATTTCCGGTGGCGTGGCAAAACTTGTGCCGTTCGTCGCTTAACTCGCTTTCCTAACGTCATCACCGTGTTTTTCGTTTTGTTTTTTTCTGTCTTTCATTGTTTCCGCGCGTAAGCACCTGTGTGTCACCGTTTCCTTTCCTTGCCCCCTGGTTTATCTTTTTTTTGTGAAAAAAAATCCTTTTTCTATCTTTTTTTTTGCGGTGACGTGAGGGGTTTCTACTCTCCCGCTCTCATAAAAGTTTTGGCGCCAAATGATAAATTTTTTTGGTGGGGGGTGATGATGGTCCCGCCACCCGTAAAGAAGGGCAAACGGTCTGCGAGACGCCACCTCCACTTAGCGAATAAACGGCGAGACTTTCTTCCGATTTTGTTCCTTCTTTATTTTTTTATTTTTTTTTGGGTCCTCGGCGCAGGGAGGTGTGACAAACGACTGTAGATAGTATCGAGAAAAGGGGGAGGAAAAGGGGGGGGGGGGAATTAGGTCGCACGGGGCGGGGCCCTCTCTTCGGGGATGACTGCGCAGTTTCGCCTCTCGCTTTCGCCATGAATGCAGACCGGAAGCGACCGGAAGGTATTACAGTGTCCGCAAAGGGATTAGCAGTGTGCCGGTCGAACGGGAACACGTGGCAACCTCCTCCTATTTCCGCCACGTCGGGGGTGTAACAACCCACTCGACGCACTTTTTTTTTATTTTCTCTCTTCAGCGTTTTGTTTTTTTCCGAGTCGTTTGTCAGTCTGAGCAGTCTGCTGCCCCTGCCGACTACAGCATGTTCACCTAGCTGCGCGCAAACTCCTCGACAAAAAGTGACTCTCTCTCTCTCTCTCTCTCTCTCTCTCTCTCTCTCTCTCTCTCTCTCTCTCTCTCTCTCTCTCTCGGCCAACTTTGTGGCTAACTGCGCACGCTACAGCACGCTACGGCCCGGTATCCACCTGTACCACTTACCTCGACTGCCCCAACCCACTTAGCCGCAGCGCGCACCCACTTACGCCAACTTGACTCGCGTCTCACGCCGTGAGTTTGGGAGAGAGAGAGGCGGGGGTGGGGATAGCAGCAGCGATGTGGTACCCGCCGGTATCGCCAGTTCCCCGTGGCAGTCGGACGCTCTCCTTTAAGTAAGGCAGTCGAGTCGCTTTGGGAGGAAGGGTCTCTCTCTCTCTCTCTCTCTCTCTCTCTCTCTCTCTCTCTCTCTCTCTCTCATGCCGCATACACCTGGAAAAAGAAAAACAGTGGCCAAAGGAGCCGATAGCCCTGTGGACAGGTTATTGGGTTTCCCTACCTGTAGGCGGGCCGCCATCACGATACCGGATGAAACATCGCCCGACATTGGCAGCCCGCGATGTGTGCGTTCATTTTGCCGTGCTTTTCCCTGCACCTCTCTACCTGCCTCTCTGGAGGACCTCTCTAGCCCCCGCCCTCCCCGGCCCCTCGCCTCTCTCTCCCCATTATCGCTGTCTCTCTCGTCACGCCGGCGAAGCAACGACGCCCCATGAGTGCGAGAGAGACAGAGCGACAGCCTGCTGCAGCCCGATGCCCCTATTGTCCAGCGTGCACGGCTGCACGCTTGGAGGTGCCGTCGTGTGCAGGCTTGCAGTGCAGGTTCACCCCAAGTGCGAGGAGCGAGAGCCTCGCCACGCCACTACTCGTACCGCGTCACATCAACCCCCACCCCCTTCCCCCTGTATGTGTGTGCGTTTGTGTGGCTTGGCGGGGTTTGGCGTCGTGTGGCTTGGCTTTCCAGTTTACACATAGCTCAGCCGTTTGTTGACTCTGGCGTGGCGGCGGCGGGGCGCGCCCGGCCCGGGTCTCTGTCGGGTTGGCTTTGGGGTCTGCCCGTGTGGCGGGGCGTGGCGGGGCGTGGCAGGGCGGGGCGTCTCGGCGCGTTGGACCATGTGGCACAGATAGTCGGTTCGCTTCGGCATGCTTCAGCAGCACCCACGCCGCGCTGGCTGGCTGGCCCGCCCCGACAGCTATTAAATCGTGTATAAATTGGCGCGCGGTTCGCGACGGGACGCAGCGCGGCGCGGCGGGGCCGCCCACAGCACGCTGGTACACCGCGAAACGAAACTCTGCCCCACGCGTGTCAGACTCGCAGCTGGGCTCTATTCGCGCGGGAAATGAATGTGGACGCTTGTACAGGGTTCGCGAGAGGGTTTCAAGCTGTACACCGTAAAACTTGACGCGACTGTCTTCGCGCTCCTCTTCGGTTCCAATGACTCTGCCGTCGTGGTCGGGACGGAGGCCGAATGTGGGACTGGGTGGGGGTGATCGCCTCCACGCTCTGCGGACTGATTCGGAGCGTTGATGTCACTGCTCCGTCTCCCTCGCACTCACGGGGCGTCCCGCATAGGTGCGAGAGAGACAGAGCGACGAAAACGTCTCTCGGAATGGGCGTGCAGCCCGGGCGGCAGGAGCGGCCCCGCAGCCACAGACCCCTGCGAGTCGCGCTGGGCCGGCCCGGCCGGCAGCGCTGTGCGGCGTGTGGCCTATCGTCCCCATGGCAGGCGCTATGCACTTGGAGCGGAGCGCGGCGCGATGGAACAGTGCGGTTGCGGCGGTGCGGTCGCCGCGGCGTGCCGTGCCGCGCCGTGGTAGTCTTGTGCGGTCTGCGCCGCGTGGGGCGTTGCCAGGCGTAGCACGCGGAGCGGCGACGGTGCTCCATGGCAGCGTGGCTTGTCGGCTGGCGCTAATGAATGCCTGTTGTGTTGTGTTGCAGATCTTCCCCGACGTGTACCACTTCGAGCACAAGCGGGTCGCCAAGCGCTCCGTCGACCCCAGCCCCCACCATGACCACCGACTTCTCAGCGAGCCGACGGTAAGATAGCGACCCGAAATGTTATTTTGGTTTTACTACACTGGTGAACATTTATTTATTATTATTTTTTTTTTTTTGCTGTGTGCAGGTCAAGTCGGCCCGGCAGCAGAGGATCAAGCGACGCGTCAAGCGGGACTTCGTGGAGGTGCGCGACCGCGCGGGCCGCGAGGAGCGAGGCGCGCGCACCGGACCGCGCACGTCGCGCTCCAAGACCCCCGTCATGTTCACCGACCCCCGGTGGCAGCAGATGTGGTACCTGGTGAGTACCCGTCCGGGATTTTGACCACCTCCACCGGCCCTCTGGCAAGTCCACTGTTTGAGCGTCGCTACAACGCTGCTTCGCTTCGCTCCGTTCCAGAACCGCGGCGGCGGCCTGGACATGAACGTGCAGCCCGCGTGGGACGAGGGCTACACCGGCCGGAACGTGGTCGTCACCATCCTGGACGACGGCCTGGAGAAGGACCACCCCGACATCTTCAAGAACTACGTAAGTGGAAAGCGAAAGACAAGTTGTGGAGGCCTACATTTTTTCAGGAAAAGAAATTGTAACCAAAACTTTTCAATTTTATAATGAAATGACGACGGGTATTCGAACCTCTGCCCTGACGCGTGTCTCTGTCTCCAGGACCCGCAGGCGAGCTACGACGTGAACAGCCACGACGACGACCCCATGCCGCGCTACGACATGCTGGACTCGAACCGGCACGGCACGCGCTGCGCCGGCGAGGTGGCCGCCACCGCCAACAACTCCATCTGCGCCGTGGGGGTGGCCTTCGGCGCCAGCGTGGGCGGCGTGCGCATGCTGGACGGCGACGTGACCGACGCCGTGGAGGCGCGCTCGCTCAGCCTCAACCCGCAGCACATCGACATCTACTCGGCGTCCTGGGGGCCCGACGACGACGGCAAGACCGTGGACGGGCCCGGCGAGCTCGCCACCCGCGCCTTCCTCGAGGGCATCAGCAGGGTCAGTCACCGCCACTCCCCCCACCACATGAACACCCTTAAAATTTCAATGTTTTTTTAGGCTATTTGTTTGAAAATCACACCGTTAAACGAAAAAAAATTCATTTGGACGCAGGGTCGTGGCGGCAAGGGGTCCATCTTCGTGTGGGCGTCCGGCAACGGCGGCAGGGACATGGACAACTGCAACTGCGACGGCTACACCAACTCCATCTGGACCTTGTCCATCTCCAGCGCCACGGAGAACGGCCTGGTGCCCTGGTACTCGGAGGCGTGCAGCTCCACCCTGGCCACCACCTACAGCAGCGGCCAGACCGGGGAGAAGCAGGTCCGCGTTCAACTCTTTTTTTTTTCCTTCCAATTTTTAAAAAAATATTTTTTGCAATATTTTTTGAGACTTGACGGGCTTGTTGGTGATGCCAGGTGGTGACCATCGACCTCCACCACATGTGCACGAGCTCCCACACCGGCACGTCGGCGTCGGCGCCCCTGGCGGCCGGCATCTGCGCGCTGGCGCTGGAGGCGAACCGCGACCTCACCTGGAGGGACATGCAGCACATCGTGGTGCGCACCGCCAGGCCCGCCAACCTGCAGAGCTCGGACTGGGCGGTCAACGGCGTGGGCAGGAACGGTCTGAAACTTTTCTTATCATTTTTTCAAACTTTTTGAAAAAAAAAAAAAAGGAGTTAACGTTTATCCAAAAAGTCTTTTTTTTTTAATTCCATCTTTTCTTTTAGAAAAAAAAATGCCTTTTTTAAGATAAAAAACGCATTTTCTTAAAAAAAAGTTTCAGTAATTTTTGTCTGTGTACTTAATGCGACCCCGTTGCCATTCCAGTGAGCCACTCGTTCGGCTACGGCCTGATGGACGCGCACGCCATGGTGCAGCTCGCGCGAACCTGGAAGGCGGTCCCCGAGCAGCGCCGCTGTGAGGTCTCCGCCCCGCACGTGGACAAGTAAGTTAGCGCGTCCCCGGGGAGCCCTTCGTTGGCGATCCCTCGGGAACCTCTTGGAGAGCGAAAGCCCTTGTGACTGCGTCCTGACGGCGTCCCACAGTGGGCCAGAAGACCGGCGGGGGCGGCCTGATCGCGTTTAGAGCTCCAGAGTCGCTAAACAGGACTCGAACGGGACGTGCGACCCCACCAATGGATTCCTCGTTAGGATAGCAATCCATTGGTGGGGTCACACGTCCGGTTCGAGTCCTGTTCAGCGACTCTAGAGCTCAAAACGCGTCTAGAGTTTCGGCTGCCACCGCTGGTCCTCTGGCCCACTGTGCGTCCTGACGGTGTGCCTCCCCGTTCCAGGCTCATCCCGTCCAAGAGCCAGGTGGTGCTGCAGCTGCACGTCAAGGAGTGCGCGGGCGTCAACTTCCTGGAGCACGTGCAGGCCAAGATCAGCCTGGCGTCGTCGCGGCGCGGCGACCTCCAGATCCACCTGACGTCGCCCAACGGCACGCGCTCCACGCTGCTGGCGCGCCGCCCCCACGACATGTCGCGCGCAGGCTTCACGGCCTGGCCCTTCATGTCCGTGCACACGTGGGGCGAGCAGCCCTTCGGCGTGTGGCAGCTCGAGATCCACAACGAGGGCAGGTTCCTAGGTGAGGCACTCATCCCGTCAAAGTCTCTGTTTTACTCGAATATGTCGTTCGAAGGTAACTGTGTGTCGCCTGCTAACCCGACTCTCCTACCCCTAGCGCTGTGTGTGCAGACACGCAGCTCTGCGTCTCGCCTGTAGCTTGCCTGTCACTAACTCGTGCCGTGCCTTCTCTCTCTCTCTCTCTCTCTCCTTTGCTCGCCGCTGCTCTGCAGGACGAGCCACTCTAGAGGAGTGGGCGCTGATTTTTTACGGAACGTCGAATTTCCCGAACCGCGAGGAGGAGCACTTCCACGGCGCCGACCTGTCCGACCTGACGGGGCCGCCCTACCAGCACCTCAGCCACATGACGCAGTCCCCCTCCGAGCCCAAGGCGCCCCAGGCCCCCCAGACCCCCCAGTCTTCCGCGGGCCGGAAGACGTCCCTCATGTCGCCGCCCTCGGGCGTCAACCTGCCGTCCTACCCCCGCAAGAACAAGAAGCAGAGCAAGAACAAGGCCACGGCGCGGCCGCCGACGTCGTCGTCGTCCTCGGCGCCGCGCAACGCCACCAAGTCCGCGCAGAAGAACTTCCTGCGGATCCTGACGACGACGCGGGAGCCCAAGGCGGACTCGAGGGCCGAGGCCAAGGCGGACGCCACGACGTCCGTGCCGCGCGCCAGCAAGAACCTCAAGGCCGTCAAGGCCGTGCCCAGGGTGAGGACCACGACGACGCCCGCGCCCGTCGCGCCCGTCGTGCCCGTCGTCATGGAGCAAGAGCGGGACTCCCGGCCCGTGGGGCAGTCCACCTCGCTGTTCCAGCAGTACGCCAAAGTCCATTTGTACCCCGTCTTCCCCTTCCACGAAGACGTGGGAACTGACCAGTCAGGCTTCGGCGGCCAGGCGCCCCCGCCCCCTCCCCCTCCCCGGCCCTCCCCGCCCGCCCCCGCCCGCAACCCGCAGCGCGAGAAGAGCGGCTCCAGGCAGCGCCACCAAGGGGAAGGCAAGAAAAATAAAAACAAATCCTCTATCGGCATGCTCCTTGTTCTTGTTGCTGCTGTGTAGCCTTTGTAGCGGCAGGTGCTCTCGTTTTAGTTTCTCGGTCTCAGTTTGTCATCGGTTTTGTTTACTTTCCAGTCGTTTTATTTGGTTTCCTTCGTTGCTGATTTTCTGAATTGTTTGCAATAATTTGACAGCTGCTTCAATTAGAATGTGTGTGTGTTGTTCTTTCTTGTTTTTTGTTTTCATTGTTTTGCATGAAGTACTTTCTGATTGCCAATGTTACATTGTATTGTTTTGCTTATTAGTATTGTTTTTAAGGAATTCTTCAGAGAGTAGTTTAGACAGATTTCTTTGCTTTGCTCCACACTTGGTTCATGTGATGCTGTTATATCAGAGTAGTGCCGTGTTTCTTAGCATCTAGGAGCCGCACATGTTATTTGATAACACTATCGTGCTGATAGTTTTAGTTGCTGATGTAGTTGATTCCTCTTGTTTAGAAACCCAGGGCTAACAAAGGACTTTTTCTGTGCAGGAACACTCACAGAGTGGAAGCTTATTCTCTATGGAACTGAAACGGAACCTGGCAGCGATGGCAACAGGAAACCTCCAGTCAACAATGGCAGTCCAAAATATGGCATCAACCGTCCTGTTAACCAGTCTTCCCCCAATCAAGGTAAGCAGCCACCATCTTGTTTCATGATCAATGAAAAATTTCTCTTAAACCTTAGACTAAACCATAATCCTTTTAGTGCTAAGAAGTACAGTAGTTAATCTTTAGTCTGCAAAGAAAGCTTTTCATTGCTTTTCGTAAATTGGAAACGTTCTTCTAAACTTTCTAAAATAGCTCAAGTATTCAGCAAGCCAAAAGGGACTTTGTGGTCTCAAGATATTGGCAATTCAATTATTTACAACGGTCATACAAAGCCTGGAAGCACACAGGAAAATTATATAAGTTACTAGCTCAGACCTGATTGTTGCGGATCATATAATAACTTTAGTAAATACATTCAGGATTATTTTGCCACTTTCATAGATGCCATAAACTCAAACTAAATTGGTGCTTCAGCATGCTGTAAATAGATAATAATAGAAGCAGTATTTGAGCTTGCAGTCTGCTCAGAGAAAGAGGAGCTACCAGCTCTTAGTGTGTGACATGGGCACTGTTTTTGTGTAAATTGCAAAGTAATTTCGCAACTTGCTACTTTCTTATCTGTGGCACTGTTTGTTTTGGTCTGTATGCTTCCTTTTATCCTGTTGCTTCGTGTGGATTGGTTGTTACATAGTGTGGAGTTTGGGAAAGTCTTTAAGTTGTGCTGTGGATTTTGTTTTGTTTTTGAGGAGTGGGACAATAATTAAATGTTTTTGTGTCTGCTTTATTTTTCAGGTATTCTCCAACTTTTGTTGAGAATTGCAAGGCCTTTTTTATGTTATAATTGCTAGTTAATTAACTTGGCATAGCTAATACTGTTTCGGTTGTCAAATTGTTTGGGGGTTTTCTCTCTTTGGCCTAGTCCCCTATGTTGTATCAGTTTGGATTGATGTTTTAGTATTATACCGTGCCTTTAAAGTAGCATTAACACTGTGTTTGGTCTCATTATTTTCTTAAATCAAACCTTGCCTCTCCTTTTGATAAATATTGGTACTTTCCCTTTGAACTTTCTCTTGTACTTACTTTGCTTATTTCCCCAATGATACCCATTAAAAGTCAATAGACTTGTAACAAATGGCATAACGTCCTTAAGAACTCAGTGCAAAGCAGTTTTATTGTAGGGACTTATTCACAGTTTTAACACATGACGAGTTTTACTCTGAGGAATTTAGAAGTATTTGGGATGTTTTGACACAACTTCCTAAGTTCTTGAAGAAATCGAAGAACAAACAAAGATTACTAAATTCTCCACCCGTGTTTTTATTTTGCATGAATTTTGCATTGTTGATATTAGTTGGATGCTGTATATATACTGAAACCAACGCTGCATGCATTCTGACCATCACATCCTTCTAAAAATCTGTCTAGCTGGGGTATACATGCAAAATTAATTTACTAATTAAGGTGTTGTAAAAAGTTAGTTTTTACTGCATGTACTTGATTGGTTCTGTATCAACTACCAAGATTTCTACAACATTGCATTAGGTTCAGCCTTCCTTACATAGTGCTCAAAGTAAACAATAACATGGAGTTTGAAATGCATGTTGCTTCGCATGGTGAGTATTTTGTTATTATAATTTGGCAAGTTATGAGACATGGCTTTGATCTTCTGTGGAAAGCAGAAGAAAATTGTTCAATATAAAACACCTTATTTAGGAGATGGGAAATGTGGAGTGTACACTCACAAACTTTGAAAATGCTATTTTTTTTTTAATGAACAACCATAGAAAATAATTTGAAAATCCAAGAGGGCATTTTTGCAGTTTCTGTATTTACTATGGCTTTCACAGATGAAAACGTGGTGGAGCCAGACATTGGGCGCCAGTGGAAGGAAGTCGGCCATGCTCGAAATGAGGTGCAACGGACCACAACCGAAGATGGAACCTCGAGCTCCGGGTGTGTGTCGCAGGATTCAACTCATCGCTATTGTCTAGGTTTGTGCTTACTTTCGTTACTGTTGCTGCAACTTGTGACAGCACCACACATGCCAGGTGATAAATTACATCACATGTCAAAAATATCAAAAATAGAGAAGCACTCTACTAACATATCAGGTCCAACCAAAGTAACAAAACATAGAAGACATAAAAGTTTGCATGGGACCAGATGTGTCTCATGTACAGAAAACACCATAGTCATTCGCAAGAGGCATGTTTTGGCAGCCCCAGGCTGCACCATCTTAAATAGCAATAAATCCACTGAGGATACTTTCGTTTTAGCAAATTCTAAAGAAATATGTGTGGAAACACCCTGTGTCAGGCACAGATGTGTTTCGTCTAAAGTTAATAATGCCAAAGGCAGGTTCTCTGCAAGAAATGTGTTAGGGTCTTCACAAATTGAATGTGTCTAATGATGCATGTATGTGCTTCATTCCCAGTGGTCCAAGCCATTACTGTAATGATCTAGTTAAATCAGTGATGTTTGTTTGTAAAGAATGGCCCATTGTTTTTCTCTTGAAGAGTGAGTATTTATTTCTGTACTAGATTTTATTTATGTAATTTTAATTTAGTTTCATTTTAGTTCAGTAGAGTCATTTTCAAGTACTTATTTCTACAAGCCATTTGGCTCTGAATTTTATTTCCTTGTTTTATTTCTTCATAATTTTATTTCAATGACGTCACCACAGATGGTACATGTTTGAGGTTGTACTGAGTGTTTTTCGTAATATTTTAAAATGAATCGTGCCAGAATAATAATATTAATTGGAGTGTTAATCTTAATGAGACAAGCCATTTTTTACTATTTCTTTTTTTGTTAAACCGTCTTCCCAGTATGTGTTATTTTACTTTGTCCATGGTCAAGACTGATGTGTGGTTTTATTGGCGGCCTTTTAAAAGCCACCTTGAACCCTACATTGTGGTGGATGAACTAGTTCTAATTGCATATCTTGATAGGTTATCCATTTAGTAAGCTTGTTTCTGTTAAAGATCATGTGTATTTCAGTTCCTATTCTGCTCTTATTAACTAGATGGAAAATAAAAATTGATATTTTAAAAATAGTTTAGCAGCTTGCTCTCAACATTCCGGTATTGAGTAAATGAATGCATCATTTATTTCATTTGGGCCAAGGTAACAACTATCCAGCAGTATTTAGAGTGGGAGTGAACTTGGGATTCGCACAAATGTATGTCCTCAGCAGATTTTTTTTTTTAACTTTCTGCATAGGGTTTGTGAGAATCTCAAAGAGCATCTGGTAACTGGTATCATATTGCCATTTAAGTGGCTACTGTTGTCTAGTCCAACCAAATATTTGTATGACAGTGGTTTCTGAACAAATTATGAAAGTGACATAGCATGTCCACCCAGTATAGACTTCATTGCTTCCTGCTTATTAATTTACATAAATTTTGTTTCTACTGGTCATTCATATGCCCCTCATTTTCATTTTGTGTTTAGGCAGCCATTACGCAACTACTTAATCCATTCATGACTAAATTATTTTGTAGATATCTGTATAGAAGAAACAATTTGAAACTATTCTCATACCAAAGAATTGCTAAAGCAAAGTAATTGCTACCTGCTCTCATGTGCATGTGGATTGAGCAGACTGCACTAGATTTCCCTCAGAACGGCGCTACTCCTTTCTATTCTTTCTTTCAACATCTTTGAACAACTTGCTTGTTGAGATAGTGACCTTCTATTAAACTTCCATTGCGGAAGTGTCAACGGGTGAATCTGTGGAGTCATTTTCCCCAATATGTGGTTGTTTTTGCTCATCTCATAAATTAGTTTTTATTTTTGCCTAATTTATGGTCCTAATACTGTTAAATGAAAAGCTGGTGCATAAGTTTTATTCTAATGTGTGAGATGCATGCTGTGGTGATGTTATATATCATTGATGTTTTGTACAGTATAAAATATCTGCTCTTTTCTTTTATGTAATTGTTGGACTTTGTGTGTAAATTTGTAGAGTTTTAATTTAAAGATGTATTTAAGTAAGTTGTGACTGTATGGTTATTATTGGATATGAGAGAAGCCCTTTCCTTAAGAAGGCAGCTGATTTTCCTTGCTCAAACGGGATACAAACAGTTACCTAACATGGGGATTGTGTCAAACGTTTTGATCAACTGTAATAATGTGATAAGCAGAAGCTTAGTGAGTAAAGAGCTCTATAGAGCTGAACTGTAAGGACTCAACATATATAATGTAATTATTGATTTTCATGTGTGCAATAATGTAATGTTCCCCATTTTCAATTCATAACTAAAATCAGTTTAGAATACATGAAAGAATAAACATTAAAAAATTAGGGTTTGTTCAGAGAGCCATCACTCAGATCATTTGAAAAAGGTACCCAGCAGGTTTCCATGAGTTACAGAAAAGGAAAGAAAACACCTTATTCGATTTTAAATGGCTGTAATTGAGGTTGCTCTGTAAGAAATGAGACATTCTAGGGGACTTTCGTTTGCTAAGTTGTGGTTTTAGCTCGACTTACTAACTCATGACACAGAATAACCAACAATGTGATATCATTTACTCTTTACTAGAGTGCATTATTATTTTAAATGGACATTATCTGATAAAGTATTGTTTCTTTCAATTTGTTTTGTTGTTCTAGTAACACAATGAGGTGTTGTTTGACTGTTTGACTTTTTGTTGGTGCTAGAAATCAGTTCTTGACAACTTTTGTTCAGAATAAAACTTGCTTATTGTAAATAGTTCTGTTATAAGTTGTTTTAAGAACTCCAGGATATAAGTAAAGTGCGTTAATTGTTGAGGAATGAAGTCTCTTTTGGAATAAATTAACAGCGTAACAATGTTTATGTTGTATGTAATAGAGTGGCATTCTGTTGCTTCAAAACATATCCTGAGAACTTATAGAAATACGTGTGAAACAATCACCAAGTTTTTATTCAATTCAAAACCCCATATTAGGTCAATCACATTAAGAAGAGGAGTGCTGTTCATTTCAGGTTCTTCCAAACACATAAATAATTATTTTGCCTATAATCAAAGTTAGAAAATCAACTTAACCACACCAGCAAAAATTACAATTAATCGAGCCTTGGGAATGTAGGTGGGGCATGCGGATGACCTAACTTTTAACTGCTACCAAGACACATGAGGCAATAGCTTTGCAGGTAAAGATTAGATAATTTCCAATATTTCAATATTCATTGGATTCTGTTTCTTCCATAAAAGTTTGTTTCCCTCTTCTTTGTGTAAATGGTAAATTTAAAACAAATTACATAAATGGATGGATAGTGTGTTATTTGATATGGTGGTCACTTAATTATTCTTTTTAAGTCAAATCCTTTCTGGTCAAGTGTTTTGAATAGGGGAGAGACAAAATAGAAGAGGACAAGATAAGGACAAGTAAAGTATTGCAGCTCAGAACTATTCGATTATTAAGCACAAAGACAGTGCGATTTCGCCCTGGGAGCGTATTCTAATTTTCAGAGACTGCAGTCAAACTGTTAGCTTTACCAAAGCTTAGTCCGCATGGAGGCGTAATCGTACTCATCTTCCCTGTTGTCTTTCCACCTTTCTTACCAGCACCTGCCTTCTCAATAAAATGGGATGCAGTACGGTCGATTTGCCAAAGCTTAAACTGTAATAAAACTTTGCTAAGTTGACCCTCTGAATCTACACAAATCACTGTGAAAAACAGAGCACTCGGTCTTGGAACACATGTGTGATCATGATTGATGCACTTGCATCCAAGTTGAGTTAACAGGTGGAGGATAAATGGGAGACTTTTTTAATCCCTCTCTTCTGAGGGCAAAAAAGTGCCTGGCTGCTATCCACAATTGTCACCTATTCGATCGGTGTCATGGTGAGTCAGCTTTGACACTGTGCATATCATGCCGCAACCCTTTTTAGCATGATCATTTGTTTCTAGTAGCTTGTAGAAGAAATTTTGTTTGTAGTGCTGCTCCATGTAGTTGTACATTTTCATGACTTTTTATTACCCCTGGCTTGCACTTACTTTCTGTGGAATCCCCTTGCCACAAGACACATTGAACAAAATACAATTTAGAACAGTGTTTTATCAATGGCACTTTGTAGATGGAAATAAAGTGCATGCACCTTTGCTTTCATCAGTCTGAAAAGGCATCAAGAGATGAAAACTGGAAGTCTTATTTTTCTCTGCTTATTTTCCACAAATCGTTCTCCAACTTATATTTTATGTGTTGTTTTCTTTTCTTTCCTTTTATCCTTGTTTTGGTTTCCTATTTGGTTTTTGTAGTGTGGTTTGAGTGTCTTTGATTTGTATGTGGACAATGTTTTGGTAACTTTCAATGGTGGAGGTGTGGACTTCTCCTGTAAGTAGTATCCTTTCTTACGAGTCACTTTTGGTGTGCTTTGGTTGACTTTCTACATCTCTCTTAACATAGTGCAAGTTACAATAGTGATTTTCTCATCAGACTGTCCGTTCCTCTTTCAAAAAATAGTGTCTTATTTTTATACTTCTAAATTTTGTGTTTTATTTACATTTTACTGTTCCTTTGGCTAGTAAGTTCTTTTGTTGTTTGGCCCCAGAGGCCAGAAGCCACATGTTTGGCTCCCATCTCTCATGAATGAACTGGTGAAAGAAGTGTTGCATATCCTTTCTTTTGCAGAGTGCGCTCCAAACTTGTGGTTGTGGCAGGGTCAGTGTGAAGAAAAGTGTCCAAACCGCACTTATGGCACAGTGGACCCTGCGTCCCACATCGCTGTGTGCACCTGGTGTCATTATTCTTGCAAGCACTGCACTGGGCCCAACGACTATGAGTGTACTGCTTGTTTCGGTGATGCTGCTATGTATAAGGTGAGCTTTGATGGACTTGCAAACATCAAACAGTTGTTAACATTGACGAATGCATCTGAAACAGATTTATAAGCATACTTCTATTTTGTGTTACTGTTACAGCCACGAGAATCAGAAACCTTCTGCTATCCCAAGACACTACTTCCTTCTATGGATACCGCACTATGGTATCAAAGAACTGTTGCAGTGTTTTCGATTGCAATTGTTCTTCTGATCATTGTGATAGTTTTTATGGTTGTGAATTTTATACGGTACGGGAGTATATCAAATCAATATAAAATTGTCAAGACAGATGATAGTTAACGACTTCTAAATCCTTTAGACACAACTTATTGAATTAATTTTGAAGTATAGGAGCCCATTGATATTAATATGATATTTTTTGTTGCTGATAAATTTCTTAATGTAAATCTTTGTGCTGTGTTACAAGACTTGTGTTTGTGGTTAAACACCAATCTCAAACACGTTACCATGTAAAATTGTTTAAGTAGGTGACTTGTTTAAAAAAGAACTGCTTTAATTACATGTTATTTGATGGTTACTCATCATGAAGGAAAGTTGTGATTCTAACATGATTAAGAGAGAGTTCACAAGTCTGTTAAAGAGTTTATTTGTTTGTAAGTAAATTTTGATTGTTGATCTCTGACTCCTAATGAAAGAGCCTCTGTGATAGATCCAATTAGTACTATTATAAATGGCTTGATAATTTTTTTAATGCTTGTTAAGAAATCAATAATCTCAGACGATTTGGCAGATAAAAAGAAATGAATACACCAAGAGATGGAATAAATTATGGCACAATCTCAGAAATCAGGTTTTTATGTTTTTTAAAACTGGTAAAAGTGAAAATAAATATTTTTTCAAAGGCATTTAAGTGAATAAAAACTGCAACTTTTTGAGAAGATGGTCCTGAACAATGTGGTTGACTCCCATACTTACAGGTGACATATCAGCCAGAGAAGTATTGAGGTCAAAACTTCAGTGTAGCATCTGAAACAAATGCAGGCAAGGTCTGGGTGTTGACACACAAAGTGGATGAGAAGGAAAGGGCGAAAGATTCCTCAGAATTTTATCCTTACCACTTGCTTCAATTTTTATGTGTTTGCCTTTCCACGTGTCCTCAAGCTTTCGCACAAACTCTTCAAAAATTACAACTCCTTTAGCCATACTGGTTTTCTTGTAATCCTTGACTCGTCTCAAGCTGCCTTGGCCCTCATTGCTATCTTGCATTTGTTCTTCATCAAATTTTCCAATTTCATGAATGAGTTGACTGAAAATTGAAATAAGCATTTGCTCAAACGTTCTTGCAAAATAAATATTTAAACATGATTATCATTGAAACACAAACAGTCATACTTGATTGTTGGAACATTCATTGGGTTGAACTTTTCAGCAGCCTTGGGATTAAAAGGAATACAGACTTTACCAGTCTTCGGGTGTATACAGAATGGCGCTTTGAGCAAGTGATTCATTCCCTTAGACACATTTATATCTAATCGAGGATATGTGTACTGGAACATAATCTCTTCTATCAAATGCAGACGCCACTTCTTTACCTGGCCCTGCAACACAAAATCATTAGCATTCGAATAAAGACAAAGCACAAATTGAAATTTGCATGAATTCTAAAAGCACAAGACTTACTTTCTTAACAGCATTTTGAAACACAGCTTGTAAAGCTTGCCACCTGGGTAAAGAGGTGTTGTGCTTGTTCATCTCCCGTTCCATGTCTTGTCTTAGCTGTTCATCAGGTACTAAAGCCAACACTTTTGCGATTCTTTCAGGGGTCCCTAATATATCTTGTCCTTCAACGCACATGGACTCAAACTTTTTTTCAATGAAGTTTTTAGCTCGCCTGATGATAATAGCAATAAATTATTAGGATGAAATTTTCTGTACTTAAAAGGGCTTAAGTTGACTATTGGAAACCTACTTGATGGAGTGATGAAGCTTGTCAGAGTTCAGGATGACTTTCTTTGCTCTATTCTCACCACCGGTGACGAGCTGGAGGTATTCGGCCACAGCTGAACGTGCTGAGACATCCAGCTTTCTTGCACTTTCATCGCACACCCAGCAATGAACTCCTCGACGTCCAGAGAACACCCATAAAAGATGCTCCCAACCAAAGTCCTCTGCATGAATAAAAAGAATATGTAACATACTGATAGAGAATTATCAAGGAAAAAATAAATGTAGTAATGATGATCACCTCTCAAAGCTGCATCAAGTACTCTGCAGGCCACCACCATGAACTTCCAGCATTTATCACAGATGTCTGCACCAGTACAGCATGTTCTTACGTCATCGTAGTCTGTCATATCAATGTCAAATACTAATTCTCTTTCTTGTGGCTGAAAGACTGCTGTCGTATGTCTTTCTTCAGGCCTGCAACCGCAAATAAAGCATTCAGTAACATTTGAATTGTTGTATTATTTTCCCATGACATTATGAGCAAGGACTACCTTGAAGCATACACAGCACCAATATCAATTTTATAGGGACAACGCTTCTGTATGTCTTTTTCCATATCTTCTCGATTAGAGAAAGACTTGAAGCGGATGTAGATATCTTCAGCGAGGGTGAATGAAAACTCACGATTTTGAAAGTAATTGTTTTCAACTAAAACAGGAAAGGGAATTGATTAAACATATTGATGGCAAGGAAACAATTGTATAGAGATGCCTTAAAATGAATTTTTAAGTAAAAGAGCAGTATTACCATTCCCATAACTGATCCATCGATAAAAAGGGCCATACGGGAATAACCTCTTGTAGTACAAGGGTAAAAGATCAGGAAGAGAATCAGGATTGAACTCGGGAAGCTGCATGCTATAAAAACAAATGGAAGACACACAAAACTCTTTATAATATATAGAAACCATCTATTGTGGTTACAATCAGATACATGATAATAACATCAACAGATTTCATATGAATGACATATTAAGATGCAGTCACACAGAAACTGTCTGAAACCGGAAGAGAACACAAATGAGTAAATTCACACAGAACTTTCAGAGACTGTCTCTATCATTTACCTTGAGTATTTCTTTTAGCAGAATGAAACACACAAAGAAAGAAAACAACCGTCTGCAGCTGTCCACCAAGAGGAGGTTATGGCGATTCGGATGGACGGGTTTGGCGGGAAACCAGCTCAGCCGCGCGCTCATTGGCTGCTGGTCACGTGGTCTTCCCAGGTGTCAACAAGTGACAGGCGATCTCGAGAGCGCGCGAGATGGAGCAACGTTCAGAACGGTTCGCGGCCTGGCTTTACCTTGCAGCGTTCTTCTCAGAGAGATTTGTTCGCCGCGTGGACGAGAGCGCAGCAACTGATCGGAGAGGAACCGCCAGTCGCATTTTCAGATCAGCAAACTGCCGCTAAAATTCAAATGGTTCTCGCCCGGTCCTGGTTACTCCAAGAAATTATTTAAGGAGACGGGGGCTGGCCACCCAATAAAAGGACCCCCCCCCCTCTTTCCCGGGGCTCGCCTGCCATCCTGACAGCGCATTGTACACCTACTCCGCGACAAGGGGCGCGGTGGCCAGGCCGAGGACCGGGCAGACCAGGCAGGCCAGGCAGGCCAGTGTAGGGGCCCAGCGGCAAGAGCCGCAGCATGTAGTGTACTCGTCACATCGGACCGCGGTGGCGGCTCGCTGGTCTCGCCGGTCTCTCTGGCTCGCCATTTGGACACAACACAATTCTCTCGGTCCTGGGCGCGCTGTGCGCCGTCGGGGAGTCGGGGAGGCCGCAGTCTCTCTAGCAGTGCCCGGGCTTGGCCGGGCTTGGCCGGGCTTGGCCGGGCTTGGCCCTAGTCCCCCTCGGTCCGACTCTGAGACAGGCCGACATGGTCTAATGTAAAGTCAGCCGCACGGCCTGCCCAACGCCGCGCTCCCGGTCGTCCGGGGTTCGAGTCCCGCCTGGTGCCGCCGAGGTGGGTTGTCAGCCCTGCCGTGTGCTGGGCGCGCCGTCGACGCTGTGCGCGCGGCCCCCGTCGTCGCCGGCGTATAGATTCCTAGCGGCCGTCCGAAGCGAGTGCGTAAATCAGGCACACCGCGACGCCCTGGTGCCGCAGTTCAACACCGAATGACCCCCCGGGGCCGGGAGAGCCGCGGCGAGGACGCGGACACTGGGAAGACGGCCTGCCAACTCCGTGCCGGCGCCAGGGGCGCGCAGGGGCGCCAACTTAACGATATCCCCGATTTTAGGGCCCCACACGCCTCGTGAGCGGTGAGAGTTAGTGCCGCGAGAAACGTAAATCAGAAATTAAATTCTCAAACCGCGTTTACTGCGCGAGCTGAGCGCGTGTGGCCTCCCGCTGGGATGCGAGACGGACTTCTGAACCCCCGCGATTCGTAATTGTGTGGAGTTTGTTAGAGATGGCATGGTGTGATTGTGAATAAAATCCGGCAAATTTGCTTATGCGTGTCGGGTGAAGTGGCAGCCTGGAGCCGGGTCCGTCTTTCAGCCCCTTTCCAAACAGTGTGGGAAACAGTCTCCTCGGCACGAAGGCTGGCGACCGCGCCGTGTGCACCAGAAGCACCGGGGACTAAAACCAACGTGGCCCCTGCTTATTAAGGGGATTCCGACGAGGACAAGTCCAATGCAGGGCAGCCCGAGTCCTGAGTGTGCCGATCTGTTTTCATCGTGCGAACAGTCCACCTTTTCGTGCAAATAAAAGTGAATGGCTGGTTGCCAAGGTCGAGGCTATAAACGAGGTATGCAATGTGGCTCGCCCCATCCACCCCGTCGGCCTGCCCCACCCCACCCCGCGCTACCGCACCCCGCCCCGCCCCTAGACCACCGTAGCCCATTCATCCATCGGTCCGGAAGGGTTGAGACTGTCTAGCCACCAGCAAACTCGTCAATCTGAGACGAAATCCGCAAAATTTTGATAGGAATGTCTGAGTTTCCCAGTGCAGCGGCCTATCTTCGTCCGCAGCGATTGCCGTTGAGGAGGAAGGTCTGATTGGCTTTTGGAAATTTGTGGCCGCAGAGCGAGAACCCCGCCGCGCCGCGCGCGCGCCGCAGCCAGCTCGTCGCCGTCTCGTCGTCGCGGTGCTCTGTGCAGGCAGCCGCCCCTTGGAGACAGCGCCGCGACCAGGCCGCCGTCCCTTGCGCCGTCCTGGCAGCGGCAGCACTATGAATGAACCTGTGACGTAACGCGTCCGGCCGGCCAAAACATTTTCGAGTGACTTGCTTGTGGCGGTGCCATGCCGGGCTAGTGGGCCGAGATCGGCGCGAACCGCCGCCATGCCCGGCAAGAGCAGGGAGCGCTCCCCGCTGCGGGCCGCGGGGGCCGCGGGGGCCGCGGACCCAGCCCACCGGAGGGCCGACCGGAGAGCCGCGCCGGGGCCGGACGCAGCCAGCAGCTCGGCCGTCGCGACGGGTGTGACCTCCACCGCGCAGAGGCAGGCCGCGCGCGCCCAGGTCGACGACAGTGTGGTGCACAACCGGAGACTCGCCCGGAAGAAGAGCTCGCCGCCGGAGGACGCCGCCAGCAGGGCGCCGCCGCAGAAGCGCGCCGCCCCCGAGCCGGACAGGGCCAGGGCCAGGAGCAAGTCCGCCTCCAGGATGGCCTCGGCCTCCGCGTCGAGGCCCACGTCGCCCGTCCAGGACGAGCCCAGGAGCAGCAGGGCCGCGGCCAGGCCCACGTCGCCGGTCGTGGACTTCATGAAGGCCGTGGCCAAGGCCGGCAAGCCCAAGGAAGCGCAGCAGAACGACAAGGCGGCCAAGGCCGAGGCCAAGGCCGTCAAGACGAGCAAAGCCAAGGACGAGCCCCCCGCGGCCAAGGCCAAGAGGCCCAAGGTCTTGGCAGACGACAGGGCAGTGACGTCACCTCCGGCCGCCGCCGTCTCCAAGGCGCTGTCAGACAAGACTGATGCGAGGATGGCCTCGCCGCCACCCGGCATGCCTGGCAGGGACGCCCTGAGCAGGCCGACGTCGCCGCCGCCGAGGACGCCGGCAAAGGCCACCAAGCCCCGCGCCGCCAACGGCAACGCCACCGAGCCCAGCGACGCCGAGGCGGCCAGGTCCCCGAAGGCCGCCACACCCGACATCGGCAAGGCCATGGCGTCGGCGTTCAGGACCACGCTGAGGAGAGTGGCCTCGGCCGTCGGCGACGAGCCTCCTGCCGTGGCCAGGACCGCTTCGCTGCGCGGAAGATCCCACTCCAAAGAACACGTGCCAGGTTAGCGGACAATGCTGCAAAGATGAGGTTGGTGTTGTTGAGCATTTAAACCAGGAAGCAATAATTTTTTCCCCTGCAGTTTCAGCGCTGGACTTCGACCCAAGCATGGCGGAAATCGTGCGAATCGGAAGCAGGGTTGACAGGAACAGGGCGGCCCAGAAGTCAGAGCAGTCGGACCAACCGACGACTGCTGGTGCCACCAGCAGGGCCCCGCACCGTCCTCGCGCGCGCCGCGCGGACACAACCCCCAGTGGGGCACCTCCGCCCAATGGGACACCCCCGCATCCCCCGATGGCGGCAATGGCCAGCACCAGCGGCCCAGCGCCTCGCCCTCAGGTGCTGAACATCGCAGCCCCATCTAGTACAGAACCACGCCCCCAGATGGTGACCACCCCCCAGATGGTGACCACCCCCAGCAGCGCTGCACCACGCCCCCAGGTTTCTGCCACGCAGCAGGTGCCTTCAACTGGATCCCCCTCTAAGCCACAGCCGCCGTCGGCAACCTCCCCGGGCAGCACGCCGCCGAGCTCGGGTCCCCAGACGCCCCCGAACGCCGTCCCCGCGGCCTCCCTCGCGAGGAGGCTCTCCAAGTCCCTGTCCAGGGACAACACGTGGAGCGACCTCAAGGCCCTGACGAGAACGGTGGCCAGCAGCGTGCTCGAGAGGAAGAACGCCATGCGGACGCGCTCCAAGGACTTGGCGACCGCCATCGAGGCCGTGGAGTCTACCGCCAGCGTCCTGGCCGCGACGGCCCCCACAGCGCCTGCAAACACCCCAGTGACTCCGGCGCCGACGCCCGCCACAACTTCAACTGCCGTCTCAACAACCCCTGCTGTCGTCACCACTGCCGCCCACACTGCCGTCGCCAAGCCCCTCACGGTGTCCAGGCGCTTCACGCTCAGACTGACCCACAAGGAGGCCATGAAGGCCACGAGCGCGACCATGAAGCCGCCCTCCACCGTGCCGCCCGCTACCGCCGCCGCCGCGCCACCCGCCGTGAGCACATCAACGGCTACCCCCGGTACCAGCACCACCCCCACCGTGACCGCGCCGAAAGCCACCCCCAAAACCACGTCCATCGCGAAGCGCTTCGCGACGCTCAAAATGGCGAAGACCGCCAAGTCGTCTGGGGCCAGCCTCCCGGTCAAGGACAAGGACCCCTCCGTCACCACGAACAAGGCCACCAGCACGGCGAGCAGCGTGACTACAACCACCACCGTGACGACGACAACGGCCACGACGACCACCACCACCAGCGCGTCCAGCATGCCCTTCGCCAAGCCCGGGCCCATCCTCTCCAGCCGTCTGGCGGCCAAGCGCCCCCTCAGCCCGCACCGCAGCCCCAGCCCCGACCGAGGCGCCGACGGCGACGGCCCCGACGCGAGCAGCGCCACGGACAGCGGCAGCCCCGTGTCCAAAGCAGCCGCCTCGGTAAGTGCACTGCAGAATGCAGCAGTGTCCCGGTCACTTACACAGAGATAGTTGTGCGTGCGTGTGCGTGTGTGTGTGTGAGGGACGGCTCGGGAGAGCAGTAAAGCTGAGCAGGTGGAGTCCGTGTTGCCGCCACAGGTACGAAAAGTCCCTCAATGCACCAGTGTCCAAAGGGAAGTCTGAGATTGGCTGCCCTTCCAACGCTAGGGCATTTTTTGCGCAATTTTCTGCCCTGATTCGAGGTTTACGGCACCGCTAGCGGACTGATTTCGAGAGTCGTTTTCGTCGCTCTGTTTCTCTCGCACTCACGGGGCGTCCCGTAAGAGTGAGAGAGGCGGAGCGACGAAAACGACTCTCGGATCAGTCTGCAGGACCACGGTGACTGCGGCAGCCGGGGCTGTAGCCGCAGCTGGTTGGCGTCGGCGTCGCCAGAGCGCGCCACGGCACTGAATGGGATGGCCGCTCGGCCCCGTGGACGCTCGGCCGGCGCGTCTGGGCGTCGGCCCTACCCTTCCCACCCGAGTGGCCGAGAGGGGGAGGGGGACGACGCTGCTGCGCTCCGCGCTCCACGACCACCCTGAGGTTGCCTTCCCAACCACCGAACGCCGAACGCGGAGAGGGCCGCGGCGGAGGCGTGCAACGCCTCGCGGCCCATCGCGGCCTCGAGAGAAGGCGAGCGCGGCGCGCAGCCACAGCGCCGCCGCGGCACGAACACGAAGGCACGGCGCGGGCGGCACGGCGCCCCAAGCGGCAGGGCGGCGGGGCGGCAGTCTGCCGGCGACGCGAGCGTCAGCGCGTCAGCGCGTCCGCGGCAACGTGCCAGAGCGTGCGGCACGCGTGCGTGCCTGCGTCGAGCGTGCGTCGGGCGTGCGTCGAGCGCGCGCGCGTGGGGCGGGGCGGACATGGCGTGGACGCCGCGGAGCGCCTTAGTGCCGAAGTAGGGTGTCCGTTCGTGTCCACCGGCCAGCCATGAAAATTCTGGCGGGCACCATGATGTTCACCGGAGCCCACGGCGCGCACGCCAAGAAGCGGAGCAGCAGCACGTCGGGCCACAGCGGGGGCGGCGGAGGCGGGTCCGGGTACAGCAGTTCCGGGTACGGGTCCGCCTACGGGTCCGCCTACGGCTCCGGGCTGCATCGGACCACCGAGTACCGCGGCAACCACAGCTACCGCCACGCCGTCTACCAGGAGGTGGGTGACGCCGCCGCCGTCGCCGCCCTCGACGCCGCGACCACGACGACGGCGAGCGCCACGCCCGGGCGGCCCGGCGGGCCCGGCCCCCGCGCTGGCCCTCACGGCCCACACGGCCACGGCGCCGCCACCGGCCGGCGACGCTACCGGCGACAGCACTCTCAGCCCACCGCAGGCCCCAACGGCGCGCTCCCTGGCTATAGGCCCTGCGGAGTAGCCTGCGCCGCGGCCTGCGCCGGGGAGTGCGGCGACTGGCTGGGGCTGTGGACGCCGCGCGGGGACTTCGCGGACGACGGGGAGTGGTGGCCGAGCTGGGGGCCGGGCGGCCTGCCCGCCGGCCTGCCCGCCGCCCTTTCGGGCCCGGAGGAGTGCTGTAGTGGGAATAAGGTGGGGACCGTCTCTATCATGAATGAGCCGCAGGGCTGCCTGCGCAGGCCGGCCGTGCCAAAGGTGCCAAACAGCAACAAGTAGCGCGGCGCTGCCGTGGCGTTGCCGTGGCGTAGCCAGGTAAGTGGGTGACCCGTTCCGGGCCGTCCCCGCGGTGCACAGTGTGCCAGGAAATCGGTGGAGGCGGACAAAATTCTAGACGCGTTTTGAGCTCCAGAGTCGCTAAACAGAACTCGAACCGAGCGTGTGACCCCACCAATGGATTGCTCCCCGAACGAGGAATCCATTGGTGGGGTCACACGCTCGGTTCGAGTCCTGGTCAGCGACTCTGGAGCACAAAACGCGACTAGAATGTTGTCCGCCTCCACCGGTCTTCTGGCACACTGTGCGGTGCCGCCTGGTGCACCGCGGGGCAACGGCTTGTTGCCCGCTTGCCCGGCAACCCCGACCAGCGTGCTGCAGCGCCAGGAACAACTCCGAGAGCAGGAGTGACACATTCGGATGAAGCAGGGCCGAGCAGGGCACACTGTCAAAGCGAACTTCCACAAACGACTTTTATGCAGACGAGCGTGCCGATGGCGCTTGTTTTGTTGTTAGAACCGCGGCGACAGTTGCGAGACCTCAGCAACCAATGACGTCTGTGAAAGAAAAGCTCTATGTGTGTGTGAATGTGTGTGTGAGTGTGAAATGGCGAGGGGAGGGGGTGAGGTGTTGCGGGCGGTGAGGCGTGCAGTGGGACGTCCTACTTCGAGCCTTCGCGCGCTGTCAAGTTGGGGACGTAAGGTTTGGGAGGCGCTTCGCGGCTTCGCGCGCGTAACGGCGTAAAGGCACAAATGCATAGCCTGTTTGGCGTACTGTACAGGGAGGCCTACCCACGTGGGGGGCAGGGGGGGATGCAGTCATAGTAGAGTGGGCTCAGGCCAGGCGAACAGGCCAAAGTAAACTTGTTGCAACCGGTTGCATTTCGACAAGTCAGGTGATTACGATGATGGCGATGTGGGCGAGGCGAGGGCGGCTGGCGGACTGGGAGGCCAGCAGGCAAAGGCCTTGTTCCTCCCATTCATCAGTGTGGTGCAGGGGGGACACTGGGGAGCGGGACCTCCATTTTGAGAAGTCCATGCCGTGAGGCAGTCCCTGGGGCTTGAGAGTTGGTTTGTTGTGGTGTGCGCATGCTGCGTATGTGTTGGTGCGATCCGCCTGCCCTGGGGGCCGTGGACCCCGTAGAAAAACTTAGGCCAGCCGGCCGTTCGTCGGCCACCCTTTAGTACCCTGCAGGCCAGCCGACCGGCCAGCCGACCGGCCAGCGCCTCCCCTCTCTCTCCTCCCTGTTAGATCCACCAGACACCCCCTCCCCCTCCCCCTCGGTGTGTCAGTCCGGCTAAAAATAAAGGACTGTGCTTTGTAAGCTTTGCTCTGCTCTGCTGGGGAGGGAGTAGGGCAGGCCGGCAGGCAGCGCTGTGATTCTTGCTGCTTGTGTCCACGGCCGCGAGGGGCGCCACCGTCGCCCCGCGGCTGTCGCCCCTGTCGCCCCGTAAGATGGCGGCCGCCGTGGACGCGGCGACGCACAGTGGGCCAGAAGACCGGCACCGGCGGCCAAAACTCTACACGCGTTTTGAGCTCCAGAGTCGCCAACCAGGACTCGAACCGAACGTGTGACCCCACCAATGGATTCCTCGTTCGGAGAGCAATCCATTGATGGGGTCACACGTTCGATTCGAGTCTCATTTAGCGATTCTGGAGCTCAAAACGCGTGTAGAATTTTGGCCGCCTCCACCGGTCTTCTGGCCCACTGTGCGTCGCCTCCACTGTCACAGCGACGAGCTTGGCGGCTGAACGTGGCGGGGCCAATTTGTCAGCCATTTTCCCTCTGATGACCGCACTCACTTTGCTGGACCAACTTCGGCACGTTTGCCCGAGCGCGTGGCGGCCGGTGGCTTGCCGAGGGTAAACACGTTCCCGCATTCCTCTGGGATAACCCCGCCCCGCCGCCCCGCCCCGCCCGCTCGAGTGCCCCTGCAGCAGTAAGCCAAGGCCAGGCAGGGCCACAGAGTCCCCCCGCCACCCTTCCCCCAGCCGTCGATTCGAGTTCTGAAAATCAAAGCACGAACGGGACAAAGGCGTGAGCGTGAAACGGGCTGCGTTTCGTCCGGTGCGAAAGATGCGTCACCATGATATACGAGTTCTACGTTAGGAAGCTGGATTCGTTCTTCCAAACCGTCGCATCTGAGATGTTGTTGTTGTTTTTTTATTTCGCAGGTCAAACCGCGACCGTTGCCACGGCCAGTGGTGGTGCACAAGCCTTTGGCCGCGCCCGAGGAGGATGGTGAGTACACCGCGAGCAAAAGCCGCGAAAGCACCATGCCCATGTAACACAACAAACACAACTAACTGGACAAACACATCGAACGCATACACTGTGATTCAGCGAATTTAATGTCACATTCGTCACAATGTGAATTTTGTCACGTTCGTTTGAATATGATGTCACATTAGCTTTGAATGTTGATCCACGTTCATCCTAGTCATTAAACGGACGTGTCACGTTGTTACGAATGTGTTCAAGCGAACGTGTTCAAAATTCACATGTTTGTGGCGACACATTCGTTGAATTAACTGTGGATAACTCAACAAAAATAACAAACACTTCCACCGCCGCGCCGCGGCGGCCAATCGGACGCGACGCTAATCTGGCCGGTGACGTCACAACGTCCCGCCAGTGTCGCGGACGTGACGGCGGCCGGTTCGCGGAAAGCCGTGCGGTTCCACCCACGCGTTCGACACGCAGCTCGGCGTGACGCGTCGCTGAGTCACTGCCAATGTCAACACGCGAAGTCTTATGGACAATTTTGTACGGGACATCACAAACGCCTTCCAGAAGGCGTCGATCTCTGTTGCACTGCAATATGTCGCTACCCCGTGCGCGAGGGACTCTCCACGTGGACACTGTGAACGCGCTAAGCGCGCGGGGTATCGCGGCGTGTAGCTGCATGGGGTGGGGGTGTATCGCACAGTGGGCCAGAAGACCGGTGGAGGCGGCCAGAACTCAAGACGCGTTGAGCTCCAGAGTCGCTAAACAGGACTCGAATCGAACGTGTGACCCCACCAATGGATTCCTCGTTCGGAGAGCAATCCATTGGTGGGGTCACACGTTCGGTTCGAGTCCCATTTAGCGACTCTGGAGCTCAAAATGCGTCTTGAATTTTTGCCGCCTCCTCCGGTCTTCTGGCCCACTAGCGCCCGGGCGGTAGGCAACGCGAGGACACGGGAGCGCGCGGTCTGCCTGCCGTCCAGGCGCTCCCCGCCCCGACTTCGCGCACCACGCGCCAACGTGCGCCTCCTTGCAGTGCAGCCACTTGAGGTCTCGAAATAGTCAAACGCTCGCGTCAATCTGGTGAGCGATTCCGTCGCTCTGTCTCTCTCGCACCGCAGCGGCGCGCCCCGCGAGTGCGACAGAGAGGCGGCTGTTGTGTAGGGTCGGGGCGATGCGGGCTGCTTGCCCTGCTAAAAAACGCTGTAAATTCTTTTGGGGGCAATCACGCGGCATGAAGTGGCTGTAAAGCGCTTTTACGAGTGAGGTCGGGCTTGACGAGCCGCGGCGTAAACATCCCTCCACTCTGAATAATGTCCGAAAAGCGCGACGCGTATGAACAAACGTGACAAAAGGGGTGAAATAGTGTCCCGCTGCGAAGCTCAGCGAATGCCGAAGTCGAGCACTGGGCTTGAGGCCCAAAATGACCAACCGACTCACAGCGGGTCCGAAGACCGGCACCGGTGGTCAAAACTCTAGACGCGTTTTGAGCTCCAGAGTCGATAAACAGGACTCGAACTCAACGTGTGACCCCACCAATGGATTCCTCGTTCGGAGAGCATTCCATTGGTGGGGTCACGTTTGGTTCGAGTTCCATTTAGCGACTCTGGAGCTCCAAAACGCGTCTAGAATTTTGTCCGCCTCCACCGGCCTTCTGGCCCACCGTGCGACTACCTCGCTCTGTCTCTCTCGCACTCCTGGAGCGTGCCTACAGCGGTGCGAGAGAGACAGAGCGACGAAGGAATGCTCGGAATGTAGCTTAGCCCGGGGCGCCTCTCTGGCTAGTCGATCAGTCGATCAATCGTTTCGGAACAACACAATGGCGCGCTCACGTGCCACTCCACTGTAGCGCCTGCGTCAGTGCGGCTCGTCCGGCCAGTCTTTGAGCCGCTGTTTGAATTTGCCGCCAAGTGCAGTATCCGTTGGGCCCGTTGGGCCGGCTGCTGTTTACTAACATTTATCCCTCGAGGCTTTCAAACTCGCTGCCTCAACATTCCGACCTTCGCGCGTCACACCTCGGGCCGATCATTTCTGCCCGCCGCGCTGCGCCATCGCCGCGCGAGACAAGGGACAAGTACTGGCTCAAAGTTGATCAAAACAGTCAAAAATGCCCTTGAAAAATCGTGTTTTGGGCCGACTTTAAGCAGCCACTGCGTCTGATCCGAGGCGGGCCTTCGTCCTTTCTCAACGGGCAATTGGTCTTTGGACCCTCCTTTAGCATGCCTTTGTTACGGAGTGCGATTATCCGCCTTAGTTTGGGAGCAGTATTGGCTCAAAGTTGATCAAAACGGTCAAAAATGGCTGAGAAAAATCGTGTTTTGGGCCGACTTTAAGCAGACACTGTGTCTCATCCGAGGCGGTATTTCGTACTCCCTCAACGGGCATTTGGTCTTTGGACCTTCCTTTAGCATGCCTTTGTTACGGAGTGCGATTATGCGCCTTAGTTTGGGAGCAGGATTGGCTCAAAGTTGATCAAAACCGACTGTAAAGGCATTTTTGACCGTTTTCATCAACTTTGAGCCAATCCTGCTCCTAAACTAAGGCGGATAATCGCACTCCGTAACAAAGGCATGCTAAAGGAGGGTCCAAAGACAAAATGCCCGTTGAGAACGTACGAAGGCCCGCCTCGGATCGGACGCAGTGGCTGCTTAAAGTCGGCCCAAAACACGACTTTATAACAGTTTCCACGAATTTATGTTCCCGGCAGTGCTCAGCCTGTAGGCCAGCCGCGAAACCACCACGACCCCAGGCAACCCAAGCCACCTCGCCGCGACCCCTTTAAATTTTTTTTCTCATGGTTGAGAACCACTGGTTTATATCCTTAAGGGCGTAGTTTCTATGCTTCTTTTAGTGCTTCATGAGTGCAAGAGAGACAGAGCGACGAAAGCGACTCTCGGAATCAGTGTGCTGGACAATTTGAAGCCACGCTTTCGGCCTTCGGCTGGCATTCTCTCGGCCGGCCAAGCACAGCGGCGCGCGTTGTTTATCGCTGCGCTTCGCCGCCGTGCCGCCAGGGCGCGCTGCACGCGCGGGGTTGGCGGCCAGCCAAGAACGAGGGGTAGCGCCGCCAGTCCCTCGCGGCGCGGGGTATGTCCGTCGGTGCGTCTCCGGGGGCCTGAAGCAGGGGGTATCGCCGCCGAGCTGCAGCCGACCGCCGACAGAGGGCGCGCCGAAACGAAGAGAAGAGAGCAAAGAATCTTGGCTCTGGTCCGCGTCGCTCGGTGCTCCGCACCGCCGACTGATTCCGAGAGTCGTCCCCCTCGCGCTGTCTCTCTCGCACCCATACGGGACGCCCCGTCAGTGCGAGAGAGACAGCGCGACGAAAACGACTCTCAGCCTGCAGCTCGCGAGGCCCGGTGGAAGATTAAGCGCAGCTCACCCGCGCTTACCATCTGGGATAATTTGTAATCGTAAATCTTGACGGAAGCCATCCATGCTTGCGACTCTGCGCGGCGAAAAACGTCGCGCGGTTCGGCGATGTTCCGCGGTCTTGCGGACAAGTCGCAACTCTCGCAGCGCGCTGACGTTGGTGCCTCTGGCACGTGCGTGGGAAGGGGAGGGAGTTGAAAATCGAGCGAAAATCTGTGGGGAATGAGCTTGCAATGAATGGCACGCCGCACGTGGGCCAGAAGACCGGCGCTCGTTCGGAGAGCAATGCATTGGTGAGGTCACACGTTCGGTTCGAGTCCCGTACAGCGACTCTGGAGCTCAAAACGCATCCGGGATTTTGACCGCCTCCACTGGTCTTCTGGCCCACTGTGCACCGGTTCGACTTTGAAACTGGCGAGCACGGAGCATGGCGCTCACGGCGACCGCCTTCTTGTCCTTGCTCCACGTCCGGCCGGCCAGGTCAACACTCGGGCAGCACACTGGTTCCGAGAGTCGTCGCTCTGTCTCTCTCGCACCCACACGGGACGCCAGGAGCGTACGAGAGAGACTCCACTGTCGGGCAGCAGCAGCAGGTGGATCGCACTAACTCATCGGTCGACGGCGTCCTGGGCCTCCTGGGGCCAAGTCCGCCTCGGCGTGCTCGCTCCTCCATCTCGATCGAGATCTCGATGACCTTGGTGGCCTCGCTGGCCTGGCTGGCCTTGTTGCAGGGGTGGACGACGTGCGCGGCCGAGCCATCCGGGGCCGCCGGGGTGCCATCCGCCACCACAAGGTCCACGAAGTCAAGGGCCACCGCTTCGTCGCCAAGTTTTTCCGACAACCTACATTCTGCGCCTTTTGCAAAGAATTCCTATGGTGGGTATACTCACTCACGTCATTTTTTTTCCGCAGAGAAAAAAAAAACTAATGAGATTTTTTTTTGCACGGTCGCAGGGGCTTCGGGAAGCAAGGTTACCAGTGCCAATGTGAGTATTATCATGGAGATGAGGGACACACTGAATTCCTAAAAAGTTTGTTGTGCATCAGCTTTGAACGAAACTGTGCCCACGTGTCTCAAAATGCACCAATTTGTGCGCAACCACCACGCACGAACATGCACTGAAAAGTCAAAAATTCAGCACGGCATTGCCCTTGCCGGCCCCGGCCAGCCTTTCTGGATGACAGAAAATGCTTCGGGCAATTTTTCTTTTCTCGCCACGGGCCATTTGCACCCCCAGCCAGAACCGGCTGGGCACGGCTCTGCGACGCTTGGCAAGAGAGGGTGGCTTGAGCGGGACGTACTCGAGAGGGGGAGGGGGCAGGTGGATGCGGTGCCAGCGGAGCTGTGGTGCAGCCAAAGACACCCCCCCCCCCCCCCCCCGAGTACCGCCTTGATCGACGCCCGCTATCGTGCCGTCCGTCCCTTACGCTTCTCTTCATCCGCCTACTCTCTCTCTCTCTCTCTCTCTCTCTCTCTCTCTCTCTCTCTCTCTCTCTGACTTTCCCTTTCTGTGTCACGGTGGGCACCGATGGGCACCACCAGCCCCGTGGACGTGCACGGGACGGCCTGTAGACTGATTCCGAGAGTCGTCGCTCTGTCTCTCTCGCACCTGTGCGGGACGCCCCGTGAGAGCGAGAGAGACAGAGCGACGACTCTGCTGCTGCCCTTGACCGCCTATCTGATGGTCTGACAGTGTCCCTCCCCGTGTTGCAGCCTGCCAGACGGCCGTGCACAAGAAGTGCCACGACAAGATCCTGGGCAAGTGCCCCGGTTCGGGGCGGGACTCCGAGAGCACCATTGTGAGTACCTGGTTGTGCTTCTATGAGCTGCGTTGGCACGGAGTCACTCTCTGCAGCAGGCTCACCTGTCTGTCTGTCTCTCTCGCACCCACTCGAGTCCGCCCCGTGAGTGCGAGAGAGACAGAGTGTGTGTGTGGCACCTGGGCGTCAACCTGGGCACACCTTGACTTGTCAAACTGTCCCGTTTGGTCGTCGCCGACCGAGTTTGAGAAGTGTCGCGGGTTGAACCCGCGTGAGCCGGCGGGTGGAGGTGAGGCTGGCGGTGGCATTCTGCTGGGTTGTCCCGCTTCGCTCCGACAGGGGGAGGGGGAGTATGACGGCGCCCCCCCCCCTTCCCCCCTTTTCGGCCGGCCCAGCACCGCCCTAGCGGCAGCCCAAGCGGCCCTCTGGCGGTATGCGTGGCTCCCTCGGCATGGCGGAAGGCCTGCGCACAGCCTGCCGAGCGATGCAGAAGAGCCGTCCTTCTCTGTCTCTCTCGCACTCAAGGGGCTCGCCGCAAGGGTGCGAGAGAGACAGAGCGACAAAACCGATCTCCCGAATGGCTCGGCTGCCCGCGGCCCCCAGGGCCTGCCTTGGCCGCCGCCACCGATCTTCTGGCCCACTGTGCGCCTGCCCGATCGCCTGGAATGTCTCCACTTTTAAAAGACACTCACCAAAGTATTCCTCTCCTCAAGTGCTAACAAATGTTGTTTTCAACTTTCAACTTTATTTTTTTTTCGAGTGCATGGATTTAAGAGTGTGTTGAACCCTCTGCTATCAAAGTCACCGGCCACCGTCTGGCAGTGGCGTTCAAGTCTCCGCCTTTCTCTTATTTTTCTCTCGAGTTGGCAGCCAAAACGACGTCACTTTCGGGTGTGTCTGCTGACGAGTGCGTCCTGTTTCTGTTCCAGTACTTACGGGAGCGTTTCAAGATAGACGTCCCCCACCGATTCAAGGGGCACAACTTCATGTCTCCCACCTTCTGTGATCACTGTGGATCTCTCCTCTATGGACTATTCCGGCAAGGGCTGAAGTGCGAAGGTAGGAACCATCCACTAGCAATTTGAATTACTGCAAAGCGTGGAAACTCGAACGAAAAAGTGTGTCACTCTTTTCCTGAAACGCGTGCCCGGCGGACGAAAATTGGCACCGGACTGTTGGGCGCGAGTTTAACGACGTGTCCGATTCAAGGTAGCGCGCTAACCCGATTCACCACCTGTGCGCATCTTTTCCAACTTGACGCACACTGTGAATGGAGTCGCTACTCCAAAGCGCAGAGTCCTCATGGACTTGGGGTATCGCGGCGCCCCGCCCGCTTTAAGCACGCCATGTTTACCAGCACGCACCCGACACCTGACCCAGTCTACGACAAATACATTGTGCCGACGACGCCGGCGGCGGCAAGGGGCGGGAGTAGGAGGGGGAGGGGGGGGGCGACCTTTCCACATCGGAGCGCCAGCAATCCAAGCGGCAGCGCCCCGCCCCCCACCCCCGCCGGGACTAGTCGTCCCTGCGCCCGGAGACGCGTCGGGGACGTCAGGCAGTGTGCCGCCGGGACCAGGCCGGCCAGAGGACGCGTTTTGCGCGGCGCCCCGTGAACACCACTCTCCGCTTTCTTGCGTTTCCGAGGTTAAAATAGAGCCGCGCGCGCTGGTGGGGCGGGGCGGGCGGGCGGGGCGGGGCGGGGCGGGGCGCGCCGTGGCGGGGTGCCCGCTACGGGCGTTCCCCTCGCAGGGAGTTCCGTTTAACCATGTCGGTCCATTTTATCACTCAATCCATAATGACAAATCTGACGTCCAGCGTGTCTCAAAAGGGGATGGCGCTTGGTGACGTTTTGGCAAACACGAACGACTAGTGATGACTAAGCAGAGAGAATTCCACCAGTGTACCTTTATGCAATCTACCTCTTTTACTGCTTCCCCATTAAATGTTTATTTTGATTCGCCGATCGGGTTGCTCGCCGAAACGACGCACTCGAACGGGTGCGCGAGCGCCGTAAAACCGCGTACAACCAGTGAAACGCTCCCAGGCCGCGTCTCTCTCGCTCTCTCGAAGCTCTCTTGAAGGGCGCGAGAGAGACGGAGCCCAGGAATCGGCCTGCCAGACAGACACTCTAGCAGACGAAAACAAAACCGTCGTCAAAAGGACCGCAGCAGCGGGGAGCAGCGCGGAGCCAAGGTTGTACCGAGGACCAGATGGGGGAGGGTGTGTGTGCGTGGGAAAGTACATTGTCTGCACCTCGTCCGAAGGGCGTGGCGGGGCGGGGCGTGGGGTGGGGCGGAGCGCGGGGCGGGGCGGGGTGGGGCACACCGCCAGTGGAGCAGTCGGTTGACGTCAAGACCCCTGTGACGCTCGCCGGGCCCTGCGCCCCTCGCTGCGCCCCGCGGTACGGCATGCGCTACACGCTGGTACACGACGCGGGGCGTGGTCTCATTGCTCATCTCTAAACTTAATGTGCAGTGCAGTGTACGCGCGCGAGGTGGAAGGTGTGCGCATCTCCCATCAAAACGCCGCGGAACTGTTTTTCGCGACGGCAAAGAGGAGTTCGTAATATTCCTGGCCGAGGAAAAAAAGCGACATTCTCTCGATGAATCAAAATCTGGAAACTTATTGATAGTATAATTGCACTGTCAGAAGCGCATCGACGTCGACAGTCATGATTACAGTGTACATTACGTGGCCGGAACGCAGAGACTCGCTGGGGAAACACAATAAACATGTTTTTCCGCCGCGTTACAACATCATCATTGTCCAACAACACAGAGTGATTGAGGAGGAAGGGCGAGGGAATAGTGCTCGCTAGCAGTGCTCCGTTTCTCTCGCATCCCTGCGGAGTACTCTATGAGTGCTAGAGAGACAGGAAGCGTGTGGGCAATCAAGAAGAACCACTTTCAAGCAGGACTGCTAGCTGCAGGACTTGCAAACATACAGCTTTTTTTTCGATCGGATAGTTCTTGCCACGGGCCAAGAGTTCTGGAAGATGATACTTGCGGACTTCGCGGACCACCGAGCCGGCCCGAAGGTGCCCGAAGGTGCCCGAAGGCCGGACCGCCGGCGAACAGGCGAGGCACAGGCGTGCTGAAATGGGCGAGTAGCGAGTCAACTCGACTACCGGCGGAGAAAGAAAGAGAGGAAGAAAGGGACGGCGAACCAGAAGAAAGACGGGGAAGAACACGACCAGGGTGAACAGGGTGGTGGGGGGTGGGGCCAGGTTGGCGGGGGGCCGCGACGCCGTGCCTCGCCGTGCCTCGCCGTGCCGCGCCACGCCAGTGCCGCTCGGCCCAGCGGCCTGCGCGTGCGTGCGCGTGCGTGCCGCGTGCCCGCCAGTGGACAGTGTGCCCGACGCAGACGCTCAGTGCGGCGCTGCCCGCCGCCCGGTCCTGGTGTCGTGTCGCCGTGTCGCCGCGTCGTGCCGCCGTCGTGATGCGGTGAAGCGCGAGTGCGAAGCGCGAAGCAACGCGAAGCAACGCGAAGCAACGCGAAGCCATGCCGCTGTACGGCGACTACTACGGCTCGTCCCCGTACGCGTACGGGGGCGGGCTCAGCCCCTACGGCTCGCCCTACTCGTCGTCCTCCGCGCCCGGCTTCTCCAAGATGCTCTCCTCCGTGCTCAACTACGGCCTGGACATGCCGCGCGGCGGCGTCATCTCCATCAGCAACAGCCCCGGGCCCTACTACCTGGACACGCGCTCCTGGGTCGCGCCCATGTCGCCTCGGTACGACCACCGCCGTGCCGCCTCACAGTGGGCCAGATGGCCGGCGCAGGCGGCCGAAACTCCAGACGCGTTTAGAGCTCCAGAGTCGTGAAACAGGCCTCGAACCGAACGTGTGACTCCACCAATGGGTTCCTCGTCCGGAGAGCAATCCATTGGTGGGGTCACACGTTCGGTTCGAGTCCCATTTAGCGACTCTGGAGTGCGAAACGCGTCTGGGATTCTGACCACCTCCACCGGTTTTCTGGGCCACTTTGCGCTCCCACCGCATATGCAGCAGCCATCAGCCACTATCGGGGGACCATTGGAACTCTAGGGAGCCGAACCCACCCACAGCCACGCCTAAATTTTCGTCTGAAGTCCCTATGAGTGCACGATAGATGGCTTGACAAAACAGTTTCTATCTCTCTATCTCGTGTTCTTACGGAAGTGTGAGAGACAGCAGCCCAACAAAACTCTGTGTTGAATCGTTCTGTCTCTCTCGCGCGCTAGCGGACAACCCCATGAGTGCGAAAGAGACGGCGCTCGCGACGTGTTAATTAGAGCGCGGCAATCAAGGCGCAACATCACTGTTGGTTTACGTCCAATTTTTCTTAGGCGGCTCGCCGTCCTTGGGCACTAGCGCATTGCGGCGCACTGCGAGTGTGGTGTACAGGGCACACGTGTCTACGTCTATTTTCTGAAAAATTATTCTACGTTTAAAATAAATTGTTTGTGATTTCGGTCTGCATCTCATGTCAAAAACGCGGACTCCGTACCGTCCGCAAAAACAGAAAGTCTCTCTCACGCCGGCGCCGGGACTCGAACCCGCGCCGGCCCAGAATCGAGTCGCCAGGCGGCCGGACGGGCGGAGGGCTTTTCGTTTATTTGGCCGAGGCGTAAACACTGGCACTACACTGCCTGGCACGCAGACGCGGCACCGCGCCGCCAAGTCACCACCAATGATAATTGTTATGAAACTGCCGGGCGACTCAAAAGAGTCGTTTCGTTGCTCTGTCTCTGTCGCACTCATGGATGCTCTGGGTCGCAGTGGGCCAGAAGATCGGCGCAGGCTGTCAAAAATCAAGGCGCGGTTTCAGCTCTAGAGTCGCTAAGCAGGACTCGAACCGAATGCGTAACCCCACCTACGGATTCCTCGTTCGGAGAGCAATCCATTGGTGGGGTCACGCGTTCGGTTCAAGCCCCACTTAGCGACCCTGGAGCTCAAAACACGTCCGGAAGTTCGACCGCCTCCACCCGTCTTCTGGCCCACTGTGGGGAAATCGGCAGTGATGTCGGTTGGCTTCCTGGCGGATCGAACGGTTCCACGGTCGGCTGCTGCATGCGCGGCGGAGCACGAGGTCGTCGTTATCTCGAACGACGCGGCGAGGTTCTAAGCGCGCGCCGTTGCAGCCTGGGCTACTCGTCGGGGCTGTCGTCGGGCTTGTCGTCCTCGGGGTACCGGCCGGCGCGGCCCAAGTGGATGGACGTGTCCGACATCGACGTGACCAAGCCGCGCGGACGGCGCGCCATCGCCGCCGCGGCCAACGCCGCCCTGCGCACCGCGTCGCCGTCGCCCGCCGTCGCCGTGCCCGTCGCCCCCGCCGTCGCCGCCCCCGCGCCCGTCGACGGCGTGCTCACGGACCGCGTGCGCGCCGAGCGCGCCGTGGAGCGGGCACTCATCGAGCGCGGGGGCAACAAGTGCACCATCAAGAGGGACCGCACCGTGGTGCGACTCCGCACCAAGAAGGTACTTGTCTGGAACGACACTCTACACCGAAATAAACCGATTTTCTGGCGAGATTTTGGAGTTGACTTTGCGCTCCTTGCGAGAGGGTAACGACTTCGGAAATCCGACTGCCTGCAAGTTGGTTACTGATTTCCAGAAATTTTGAGGTAATCGAGGGTAGTCCAGGAAAATTTCGAGGTAATCCTGTAGGATTCAAAGGTAATCTAGGACGGAAAATTTTGATGTAATCTGGAGGTGTTTCGCGGGTAATCCGTTATCCGGCTGATACGAAATTTACCAGTCGTTACCCCCTCGTCTCCCTGCCATGCTGCTTGCACTCGACGCTCCACCCCCCGAAAAGCTACCTCAGGCAGAATAACGACAGTGTGGGTTTCCAGCCGCGACAAAATGCACACTCGTAAACCTCCGTGCTGCAAAGGAGCCCGCCCGCAACACACACGTGTCGGCGTGATGCCTACCCATTGCCATCACCATTAAGGGCTAGACCACACATGGGCGCTCTGCTCGCGCCGCCTTGACTGATTCCGAGTCGGTTTCGTCGGTCTGTCTCTCTCGCACCAACGAGGGGCGCGCCTTGAGTGCGAGAGAGACAGAGCGACGGTAACGGCTCTGGGAGGGGCAGAGCGCCCGGCGGGTAGGCATCACGCCGACACGCGTGTGTTGCGGGCGGGCCTACGCTGGAATCGCAGGCGCTCGCTGCGCCACTGCGCCGCGTGTCCATCGCTCTGTCTCTCTCGCACTCACGTCGCGTCCCGTATAGGTGCGAGAGAGACAGAGCGACGGGAATGACTCTGCGGGCGGACAGTCGGGCCAGCGGAAGGGCAACCTAATTGGCTGGGCAGCCAGCCCCCTGGGAGCGGAACCACAGAACGGGCAGCGCGATCGCCATTCGCTCCTCGCCACGCGATTGGCAGTTGATCCGATACAGTCAGTCAACCCGTGAAGGGGTGTAGCCTTCAGTGCGCCAACGTCCGCCAGCCGCGACGGTGACATGTCCTGATGCCACGCCACTGGCGATGAGTTCGCTCAACAGCATCCTCATCTACCTGCAGCCCGACGCCAGGCCCCGTTATCGACAGGTAGGCGCCCAGGTCACAGTGGGCCAGATGACCGGCGCCGGCGGCCAAAACTCTAGACCCGTTTTAAGCTCCAGAGTCGCTGAACAGGACTCGAACCGAGCGTGTGACCCCACCAATGGATTCCTCGTCGGGAGAGCAGTTCACTGGTGGGGTCACGCGTTCGGTTCAAGTCCCATTTAGCGACTCTGGAACGGGTCCGGGATTTTGACCCCCTCCACCGATCTTCTGGACCACTGGGCAGGCCGCGTGGCGCGCGGGAAAGACTCAGGTTCGAATCCTGCCGCAGTTAGTTACGAATTAGTTTTTATTTGTCAAAATCATTTGGGGCTTAAAACATTTTTAAAACAGAGATAAAAAGAACTAGGTCTGATTTCTTTAAAACTGCTAAAATAATTTCGAACGAAAATAGAACTTCGCAGCAGAGCCTCGGTGCGCGGAGTGCCAGCCGAAAAGAGCGAGTTGCCAATCTCCGTGACTAGTGACACGAAACCTGCGGACCTTGTAATACATTTCCCTGACTCGCAAAAAAAAAGAGAGAGCAAAACAAAAATCGAAGTTCAGCTGTAACGTCTTGCTTGAATCCGTTTTCTTTTGACGCTTCACCCTTTTGTCGCGTTTTGGTGTGCCAACCGTGTGGTCCCCTGGGGGCCCTGGGGGCCCTGGGGGCGCACGGCGCCACCGCGTCGCGAGTCCGTCCGCCGCGGCGGTCCTGATTTAGAGACAGCGCGCTGCTGCCGCTGTCGAAGGGGTTGACTCATCGTTTGTTGACAGAACGACTCCAAGAAGGCTAAGTGCTCGTATTCTCATGAACGGCCAATCAAGCGACTCGGTACACAAGGGACGCTTGGCTCGGCACCGAGCTCGCGGCCGGAGGGACCGAAGGTGCGCTTTTGAGGTTCGGCTCCGCTCGGGTCCGCTCGGCTCTGCTCGGCTCATCGGGCGCGTTCGGCTCGGCTTGGCATTCTGCTCGGCTCGGCGCCGTGCCATACTGCGTCACGATTCGGCTGGTCGGTCCGCGGCACGTCACTGCCCCTCGAAGCGAACACGTGCCTCTTGCAGTGGCGTGGACCCATCGCGGTTCGACGATCGGCCGCCGTCGCCATGGGACTGGGAACCCTACACTGTCATTATCGAATCTGCCAATGCTCGGCCGAATTTCTTCTCTCCGAATTTCGTGTTTCGAGACGCCGGGGGAGTAGTTAGATGGCATGGAAGGGCGGAAGGACGAAAGCATGACGCCGGTTCGACCCCCGGTGACCCCCTGGCATTTTACTTTCTCTTTGAAGGAGACCCCTGCGCAGGCGGAACGGCGCCGCAACCGGCAGAAGACCCCAGGCGAGCGTCTGGTGGAGAAGTTCCTCATCAAGGACAAGTCCCTGGAGGAGGAGCGCCAGCGCCGCGAGGAAGAGGAAGAGAGGCAGCGGCGGCGCGCGGCGCGCCTGGCCGACCACGCCATCGTGCGCAGGAACACGCCCCGCCGCAAGTCCAGCCTGCAGACCGACGCCATCGCCGCGGTGGCCGCGGCCGCCGCCCAGGAGGAGGAGCGCGTCGAGGAGGCGCCGGCCGACGACTCGGCCGAGGCGCAGGAGCTGCACGTCCTGGACGAGCTGATCCTGGACGAGATGACGCACGAGGACCCGGTGCGGCGGGGGTCCTCCACGCGCATCTCCTACAAGGGCTACGCGCCGGCCGCCACGCCGCCCGACATTGAGGTCAGCCAGCACGGCAAGCGCAAGTCGCGGCGGCGGAGCTCCGACCTCAACAAGCTCGTGGACTCCATCAGCGAGGACCCCGAGACCGAGTCCACGGCCGCGCCGATGCTGCAGCGGAGGCTGTCCGTCAAGCGGCGCGGCTCCAGGGAGATCACCGCCACGCTGCACATCCCCGCCAGCCTGGCCAAGAGCGGGTCCGCGTCCAAGGTGCCCGGCCTGGCGCAGATCAGCGAGACCAGCGTGGACGACAGCGACCTGCCCGGCCAGCAGACGTCGCCGAAGATCAAGTCCCCCGCCGCGCTCAAGATCGTCGACGTGGAGGTGGAGGTGACGCACTCGCCCAAGACCCCCCGGCGGTTCGTGTACGACGTCGTGGTGGACGGCGACGACCCCAAGCGGGTGCCGTCGCGGAAGGTGGTGCCCAGCAAGGCGGAGACCGTCGCCCTCAAGGTCGACGAGAAGCGGACGCTGCAGTCCCACGTCGGCCACGTCGAGGACGCGCCCACCAGGCCCAACACGCTGGACCTCACCAAGTCCGGCCAGACCACCAAGCCCAAGGTGCCCGTGCTGGAGGCGCTCAAGAGCGTTGAGAAGACGCCGTCCGCGGACACCAAGACCGCCAAAGCGGCGCAGACGCCGTCCAAGGCGCAGCCCAGCCCCGCCGCCACGCCGGCCCCCGCCACCCCCGCCAAGACCCCCGCCGCGGCCAAGACTGCCGCACAGACTCCCACCGCGGCCAAGACTGTGGCACAGACTCCCGCCAAAACTCCCGCACAGACTCCCACCGCGGCCAAGACTGTTGCTCAGACTCCCGCCAAAACTCCCGCACAGACTCCGGCCAAGACGACCGTCGGGGGGCTGTGGGGCGCCCCGAAGGCGGCCCCGCAGACGGTCGCCAAGGTGCAGAACCAGACTCCCACAGCGGCCAAGGCGCCGGTGGAAACTCCCGTCCCGAAGCAAGAAGTCGAAACTCCCGCAAACTCCCACTGCCGCAAAGGCCGCGGCGGCAACGCCCGTCGCACAGTTGCTAACTCCCACAGCAGCGAAGGCACCGGTGAAAAGTGTAGCCGAACCAAAAGCAGCTGCGCAAACTCCCACTGCAGTCAAGGCCCCTGCTCAGACTCCCACGTCACCCAAAGTGCCGGTCGAGACTCCTGTTGCCGCGAAGCCGCCACCGCAAACTCCAACAACTGTGAAAGCCCCGGTCCAAACTGCGGTGAAGCCTCCTGCGCAAACCCCAACAGTGGCGAAGCAGACTTCCGTAGATACAGCCGTGGCCGCCAAGCCCCCGCCTCAAACTCCCACAGCAACCAAAGCCCCCGTTCAGACTCCCCCTGTCGCGAAGCAGGTCTCAGTGGAAACTCCCACTGTAACCAAGCAGGTTTCAGTCGAAACTCCAAAAGTAACAAAGCAGACTTCAGTTGAAACTCCCAAAGTTACTAAGCAGACTTCAGTGGAAACTCCCAAAGTTACTAAGCAGACTTCAGTGGAAACTCCTAATGTAACCAAGCAGGCTTCAGTCGAAACTCCGGTCGCCACCAAACCTTCACCACAAACTGCCACAGCAATCAAAGCCCCCGCCCAAACTCCTACCGCGTCCAAGGCCCTTGTTGAAACACCGACGTCAGCGAAGCAGGCTAGCGACGCCAAGGCACCGCCACAGACTCCCGCCGCCAAAGCTGCCGCCCAAACTCCCGTCCAAACTCCCGCCACAGCAGCCAAGGTTCCATCCCCGAGCGCAGAGGCCGCCAAGACCCCTGCGATCCCAAGCCCCGCGAAGACGGAGAAGGCGGAGTCTCCCAAGGGCAGCGCATCCAAGGCCGCCAAGGCCGCCAAGCAGGACGCGGCGCAAGACAAGACTGAGGGAGAAGCGACTCCCAAAAAGGGCAAGCCTCCGCCACTGGTGCCGGCCGTGGACGCGGAGGGAACCGCCAGCCCCGGCACGCCGCGCACGCCGTGCACGCCCAAGGCGCCGTGGGCCGTCAAAGTCATTCCAAACGCAGCGGGCAAGACGCCGCCCAGGACGCCGCCCACCACGCCGGGCACGCCCACGCTCGCGCCCTGGGCCAAGCGGAAGGACTCGGAGGCCGAGAAGGCCAAGGAGGAGGCCAGGCTGCAGAAGCTCCGCGAGGAGGAGGCCGAGGCCAAGGAGAAGAGGCGCCGACGGCGACGCCGGAAAAAGCGGCAGCTCAAGCGGAAGGAGGAGGAGGAGAAGAACAGGAGGGCCATGAGGATGATCCCGGGCGTGACCCTGTTCCAGGAGAACGGCGCCATCAACCCGGCCAACATCAACCGGGCCAGGCTGCAGCAGAACTGCTTCGTGTTCCGGTCCCAGTTCAGGGACAAGTGGCTCAAGAAGCAGGAGATGATCAAGAAGAAGGAGGAGGAGAAGGCCAAGGCGGAGAAGGAGGCGCGTAAGAAGGCCCGGCGGCGGGAGAAGCGGCGGGCGCAGGGGCTGGCGAGCAGCAGCAGCAGCGAGGGCGAGGACGACGACGACGAGGACGACGACATCCTCACGTCCTCGGACGAGGAGTCCACCACGTCCTCGTCCTCGGAAGAGACGTCCTCCGAAGGCGAGACGGAGTCGGAGGAGGGCGAGGAGGAGGAGTCCGAAGAGGAGACGGACGAGTCGGAAGTGGGGTCGCTCAAGTCGACCACCGTCAAGGGGAAGGCCCGGACGAGTACGTCGTCGTCGGACTCGGGCTTCGACAGCTGCCCAGCGTCTCTCCCCGGTAGTCCAGCTGCCTTGAGGCAGGGTAGTTGCACTCTTTTACCTCCCTTGGGCCTTGGCCCGCGGGCCGCTCCGAGGCAACCGGGGCGCTCGGCCGGAAGGGACGGACACGGTTCGGAACCGCGTTCGGAAGTGGAGTGTCTCCTCCCTTCCGGTCGGCTCCGCGGCTGGCTCCCGGCGGCCTTCAAGCATGTAGTAGCTGCATGTGTTGCGCGTGCGTGTGTTTGCGTGAGACAACACTAACCCCCGCCGCGCGGTGGGCGAGAAGGCCGGTGGAGGTGTCACAATCCCGGACGCGTTTTGAGCTGCAGGGTCGCTAAGTGGGACTCGAACCGAACGTGTGACCCCACCAATGGATTGCTCTCCAAACGAGGAATCCATTGGTGGGGTCACGCTCGGTTCGAACAGCTGCCTAGCGACTCTGGAGCTCAACGCGTCTAGAGTTTCGGCCGCCGGCGCCGGTCTTCTGGCCCACGTCGCGCACTGCGGACCCGCGGCACGCACCGCCACGATGAATGCCCCCTGATTGGCTAGAATTGATTGCTCACGGCAGTGCCAAGGCACTGCCAAGCGACCCTGCTCCTGACCACACCCTGTCGCAGCCGTCGCCCCCCTACCCGCACTTTCCCAGACAGGTGCTTGCTGCACTTGGGCTCACGGCCCCGTCATGGTCGCGGCCCCCGCGGCCTTGCTCGGAATAGGAAGCTATGCGGGCAGCCTTAGGGTGGGGCGGGGCCGCGCCGGCCGCGCCTGCCCTGGCCGTGCCTGCCCTGGCCCACGGCGAGGTCCCAGACACTGTGCGCCTGCACCGTAGCGCAGCCAACAGCGCGAGAAAAAAGGGCGACTCTTTGCGAACCTCGACAAACCGTGGTATTTTTGAAAGTGTAGGTTGGCAGCCATGCGATGGGTATTACTTTAACATGTCACATGAACACCGACGCCGTACTCAACACACACAGTTCGGGCCTCATTCATTTTTTATGTATTTATTATCTGTTTCGTGTTAGGGAAAAGAAAAGAGTGACACGCTTTTCGTTCGTTACCACTGCGCGTCGGCCTGGCGTGTCCTGTACCTTGTGCGTTTGTTGTGCCTCTTTGCAGACTGTGACGTCAATTGTCACAGAAAGTGTGAGAAACTGATGCCCAACCTGTGCGGAGTCAACCAGAAGCTGATCGTGGAAGCTCTGCTTTCGGTGAAAAACAAACGTGAGTAGAAGAGAGTGTCACGGCGACGGCGCCGAGCTGTCTCGTTCTGTCTCTCTCGCACTTACGGGCTGTTCCTTGTAGGTGCGAGGGAGACAGAGCGACGAAAGCGACTCATTCCGCCGCGCTGTTTGGTTCTCGGCGTGGGGAGGGGGGGGGAGGGGAAGGGGGTGTGAATCGCGTTAATGCACCCATAATGCACCAGGCCGATGGTGTTGCCGTGCATTCACTCACATTGTACACACACACAAACACACACACCCACACACACAAACAAGCGGGATACACCTGAACGGCATCAAATCGGGGGAAAGGTCATCGACTTCGGGTTGCAAGGCGTGTGTGTGAGAGATATATATATATAGTGGGGGGTGGGGGGCTTTCAGGTGGTAGTGGGGGGTGGGGGTGGTAGCGGCGCCTCTAACCACAAATACTGCCGCTGTGATGCAACGCGTCGTAGCGCTGCGACAGTGTCCCCAGTCAGCTGATGGCTCTGTGTGTGTGTGTGAGTGAGTGTGTGTGTATGTGCTGGGAAAGGAGGGATGTTGACAGAGGTGTGTGGCTCAACCGGCGTGGCCACATAATAGGCTGCGGCGTGGATGCAATGGGGTCGTGTACGGGTCGGAGGGGGTCCAGAGGGGTCGGCAGGGTCGACGCGAGGAAGGAAATGAGCATCTAATTGGACTCACCCCAGAGCGTCTCCCCCGCTTCCCTGCCGGCGATGACAGTGATTTGTAGCCAAAGGTTCACGGTGTGTATGATTTACATCCTTTCCGCCTGCCGGCCGGCCGGTCGGCCGGGCTGTACGTCAAGCAAAGAAAAAAATGTTTGCAAAAAAAAGGTGGGAAGGATGGCTGGATCGAAAATACACACAGCCGCCCCCAGTGGGACCTGTCTGGCCCGGCGGGGCGTGGTCTGGCTTGAGCGAGCCTCGCACGCCAGCAGAATGGGCTTCATACCCCTCGTGTTTACAAAATACCCGGTGTGTTTCGGCTTTCGGGCCAAAACGGCCGAGCCGGGGGAATTCCGGTGTGGTCGCCACGCCCAACCGCGTGGGCTGCATCTGCAGACTGAGAGTCGTTTTGTCGCTCTGTCTCTCTCACACCTACTCGGGACGCCCCGTGAGCGCGAGAGACAGAAGACTCTCGGAATCAGTCTACAGACCCAGCGAGGCGTCCACTGCGGGACAGGTTTACGAGACCGCGAGTCATCCGTCGCGGGGGACCATGGGGCCATGGGGGAGACATGACATCTACTAGGCAATCAGTGCTGTGTCGCATCGCACATGCCTGCCTGTCCGTCTTGCCTGTCTGTCCGTCCGTCTGTCTGTCTGTCCGTCTGTCTGTTGCGCAAGGCGGCGGCGCGTCTAGATGTGCGAGTTCGCTCACCCTTTGCACTGTGGCAAGACGGCAGGGCGGCAAAGACGCACCGGGATCGTGTGGTTGTCACGCTCGGATGGCCAGGCCGCAGGGTTGCCAAACTGCCGGCCAAAATTAGACCACCTCACCGTCTTAAAAAAAGGGGGGAGTTTATTCTCGCGGGGAAAGACAGAGAGAGACAAACAAAAACAAGAAGGTGCAAGCGGTGCGGCGACGCTGGTGTACTCGGCCGTCCGGTATCACCGCGGGTAAATAAATGGTTCGCTGACGTGGCAACACTGGTAGGCAGAGGACCCCGCCAGGCTAATCCACGCGGCATTCGGACCAGCTCATTGCCAGCGACAACTAGAGGGCGCATTTCTAGCTTTTCCTTTGAGCGCGCGAGCGAAGCGCTGCCGCGTCCGGGAATCTTTTCGCGCCAAAACGACCGACACAAATTTCGCGGCTTGCGCAGCCGGTTCCAAAGGGGCTACCTCCGTCTCTCTCGCACCCTTGCGGGACGCCCCATGAGTGCGAGAGAGAGAGAGAGAGAGAGAGAGAGAGAGAGAGAGAGAGAGAGAGAGAGAGAGAGACGGGATGACGGGATCGCTCGGCAAGCGTCCACCTGCAGGTGTCGGGCCACCTAGGCCACTAATATCTGTGTTGCCGCCGAGTCCGCCCACGGGATGTTCCGCGCAAGACACGTGTATCTGCTTCGCGTCCACGTGGAGTTACCGGGACGTTCCGCGCGGCGTCGCGACGTTGATGCACTGGTAGTTGGGACAGAGTGAAGCGGGCGAAGCGGGGACCTACACGGGGACGCCCCGTGAGTGCGAGAGAGACGAAGCGACGAAAACGACTCTCGGAATCAGTCTTCTGGGCCACGATTACGGGGTGGCTGTAGTTCAGGAGCGGGTGGCTGACGGCATGCACCCCACTTGTCATTTCCGCATGGCTATGTGTGTGTGTGTGTGTGTGTGTGTGTGTGTTCGTGCTCTATTTGAGGGTGTGGGTGTGAGAGAGAGGGAGAGAGGGAGGGAGTGGGAGAGACGGGGCGTAGTTAATCACTTCATGCAGGGCACTAGGCACGTAGTGCACCACAGTTTAGGCCTTTCCGTGCTGAAATCGCTCAAATCGTGCCTGGCCCGCGCCTTCTGGCTCTCTCTCTCTCACGGCGGGCCACGTGACGCGCGGTGCGCCGCGGTGCGCCGCGGAGGACGCGGCTATATCGAGAGTACTTTGAGCCGTGAACATAGCTTGAGGCGGCTTGAAATAACATTCGGATTGTGGCTAAGTCGCCAAGCGTATTACATGGTCGCATGGCACTTGGCAAGTACTTAGCGGTACTGTCATTGGTCCCCGCGGCCCGCGCGGGAGGGGAAAGGAGGGGGGGGGGAGGAGCAGTGCACGCGGATGCCGTACGTAGCAGTGGTAGGTTCGTGGAACTCTAAAAACGGGTATCGATGTTGATTAGATGGCAAACAGGAATTTCGGCCGCGTGGCCGTCAGCCTGCAGACTGATTCCGAGAGTCGTTTTCGTCGCTCCGTCTCTCTCGCACCCGCACGGGACGCCCCATGAGCGCGAGAGAGACGGAGCGACGAAAACGACTCTCGGAATCAGGCTGCCGATTCCGCGGGCCAATTGGCGTTTCCCCCGCGATCGCTTTGACGCGGGTTCGGCCAGCACACTGGCGGACACCGACTGGCCCTCGGCCTGGCCCGCGCCACGGCCAAACAAAGCTCAAAGCCTCGTGATGGACGCGGCAGCTGCTGGCCTACAATTGGCCTACCTGCCCAATCGCCGTTTTAAAGTGTGCCCCCGCCCCTGCCGCCCCTGCAGTCCTTCTGCATCGCGGGAAAGAAAGACGGTCCCCGCGGCGGCGTTTGGCAGCGCCCCGTCGTCGCACAGTGGGCCAGAAGACCGGTGCAGGCGGCCAAAACTCTAGACGCGTTTTGAGCTCGCGTGGCGAGCGGGACTAGCCTCTGCCTCCGGGGTAGCGGGGTAGGAGGGGAGGGTAATAGAGAAAAAAACTGCGTATGGATATATTTACGAGGAAAAACTGCGATTCTTTGCCCACCTTTGCAGGGCGAGTGACAAATAGACTAACTTAACCGCCTGAGAGTAAGCCTGCCGCCACTAACAACACTTGAACGCTTTGAGTGCCTTTCCACTACACTGGGCCAAGTCTGACCGTTGCTTTGACGCCTACCTCGCTGTTCCAGCCCCGGAGCCCCGCGACCCGGGCTCGCCGACGCGGACCCCGGCCCAGAACCCCGCGCTGCGGCTGGACGGCGCCGAGAGCCCCCACAGCACGTCGAGCCTGCAGGGCCAGCAGGGCCAGCAGGGCAGGGCGCCGCGCACCGGCGGCAGGATCACGCCCCCCGCCACCACCATCCCCCGCTTCCGGAAGTACGCCGTGGAGGACTTCCAGTTCCTCAAGGTGCTCGGCAAGGGCAGCTTCGGCAAGGTACGCCACGCACCGCACAGTGGGACAGAAGACCGGTGGAGGCGGCCAAAACTCCAGACGCGTTTTGAGCTCCAGAGTCGCTAAATGGGACTCGAACCGAACGTGTGACCCCACCAATGGATTCCTCGTTTGAAGAGCAATCCATTGGTGGAGTCACACGTTCGGTTCGAGTCCAATTGAGCGACTCTGGAGCTCAAAACGCGTCTAGAGTTTCGGCCGCCATTTCCATTTCTTACAGTGTGTAAACCCTTTGGCGTTGCAGGTGCTGCTGGCGCAGCTCACCAACACGGAGTGCTACTACGCCGTCAAGTGCCTCAAGAAGGACGTGGTCCTAGAGGACGACGACGTCGAGTGCACCCTGATCGAGCGGAAGGTCCTCGCCCTCGGCACCAAGCACCCCTACCTGTGCCACCTGTTCTGCACCTTCCAGACTGAGGTCAGGACCTGTCACTTTATTTCTTGTTTTCGGAAACTTTTAGTTTTTGTTTTCGCCCGCCGCGTGGCGCGCCGCCACGCCGTCTCGCCGCGGTGACGGACTGCCGGCCGCGCGATTTTTCATACCGCTGCCGCCGTGCCAACGCCAACGCACGCGGCGTCACGCCTCGCGACACTTCGCCACCTGGCTTGTACAGTCTAAAAATGCAAAAAAAAAGTCTGCAGTTTAAAAAAAAATCATCAGCTGTTTTTTTGTGGGGAGGGAGAACGGTGAAAAATAGAGGCTGTAATAAATATGGAAAGACATCGAAGAAATCGAGGGGATCGTTTTCTGCGTGGGGTATCGCACAGTGGGCCAGAAGACCGGATGGTCAAAACTCTCGACACGTTTTGAGCTCCAGAGTCACTAAACAGGACTCTAATCGAACGTGTGATCCCACCAATGCATTGCTCTCCGAACGAGGAATCCATTGGTGGGGTCACACGCTCGGTTTCAGACCCATTAATTAAGCGACTCTTGTCAAAATATTTTGACCGCCTCCACCGGTCTTCTGGCCAGCTGTAGGGTGGTCGAGGGTGGTCAACGTGGTCAATCGGAACTCGGTCGTTCGTTGCATTTAATCCTCCACCGCGACAAGGGGGACGGGGGAGGGGGGGGGCGAAGTGCTAAAATAGAGGTGTGATGCAATGGCGACAGGGGCGCGAGGCGGGGGGCGAGGGTGGATTAGCCATGTGCATCCCGGCGGTGGCTGCCGGTGGAGGGGGCAGCGAGGAGATGATTGGTGGGGGCCTCGCTCCCCGCTTGCCCGTTGGCCGTTACTGGCGCTGGCCGGCCGGCAGAAGAAACAAGGGAAAAAGATCGGCGCATGCGCTCTCGCTTCCTGGTTCGATTATTTAGGTCCGCAGTGTCGATCCCCGATCGGCTACGGTGACTCATACGATTACCGAGGCGGTGCCACGACCACGACACTGCCTCGGTGATACAGTGTAGGGCCACGCGGACGTTTTAACGTTTTGCTCGAGATTTCTGGTTTCGAGTGTTGTTGGCGTGCTCCCCTGACCGCTGCGCAGTGCCGGCAGTGCCGCACAGGGTCCGATACGCTTTCAGCGGCCGATGTCCGATGCGGATGGCCCAAGCTTCGCGCTGCCGATCGTAAAAGCCGCGGCGTCCGAGGCGGCGCCGTGCTCTGTCTCTCTCGCACTCAGGGGCGGCGCGGTCGAGGCGTGCCCCGTCTCTCTCGCACGCTGCGGCGTCCGCGGATCGGTCTTCGAACGCCCCCCGCGTGCCCCGAAGCCAAAGACTAATGGACCATCCCACCGCGGGCTGGCTCCGATCTCTCTCTCGCTCTCTCGCGCGGCCGCGAGAGGGACAGAGCGACGAAGCTCCTGTTCGAATCACTCCACTGCCAAAGCGCGGGGAGGGGGTGGGGAGTCAAGGGTCAGGCAGAGCGGGCCGCTGCCAAGCCCTGCCCGGCCCTGCCAAGCACCGGCCACCGCCGTGGCGGCTCAGGTGGGCAAGCGAGGGGTCAACACTTCGATGCCAAGAAAAAGCTAACAAAGAAAAACTAGGTTACAGATTAAAAATACATGCGAATAACAACGCCGCCACGCGTGATGCGCGAACGACAACACACAATGTTTACACCACGTACCTGCATTGTCCGTAACGAGTGCCATGTTCATGCGAGATGTGCACAGTTTGGTAGGATTGTACAAATTTATCCATAACCGCGAAAGAAAAAGTCCACAAGCATTGTGTGTGAATTGGGATGTCTGAGAGCGACGCGTGCTTTGGCTTGCAGTCGCACCTGTTCTTCGTCATGGAGTACCTCAACGGCGGCGACCTCATGTTCCACATCCAGCAGAGCGGCCGCTTCGAGGAGAGGCGGGCGTGCTTCTACGCGGCCGAGATCGTCTCGGGGCTGCGATTCCTGCACAAGAAGGGCATCGTCTACAGGTGAGAGAGAGAGAGAGAGAGAGAGAGAGAGAGAGAGAGAGAGAGAGAGAGAGAGAGAGAGAGAGAGAGAGAGAGAGAGAGAGAGAGAGAGAGAGAGAGAGAGAGAGAGAGAGAGAGAGAGAGAGAGACAGACCTGTTCGGCCAGAGCCCCTGTGTAGCGTGGGGTAGGCAGCCCAACGCGCACGGGTGTTGGCGCGGTGGCGCGCTGCGACCGGCGCTGCGTACCTCTGTCGAGCGTTTTCTGCCGCGCTCTTTTCGCTCTGTCTCTCTCGCACTCATGGACTGCGCCAGAGGGGTGCGAGAGAGACAGGGCGATGAGCGGCAGAATCACTCTGTGTTGTGCGCAGGGACCTGAAGCTCGACAACATCCTGCTGGACTTCGACGGGCACGTCAGGATCGCCGACTTCGGCATGTGCAAGCTGCAGATCTACTTGGACCGGACGGCGGACACGTTCTGCGGCACCCCCGACTACATGGCCCCTGAGGTAACTTACAGTGGTGGAAGAATGTCAGTTTTCGTCAGTTTGCTGTCATGGTGTTTCCAGAGCACTGCTCTCCCTTCCATGCACTAAACTTTGCCTCGACACCCTCCGGCAGATCATCAAGGGCCAGAAGTACAACCAGTGTGTGGACTGGTGGTCGTTCGGCGTGCTGCTGTACGAGATGCTGATTGGGCAGTCGCCCTTCTCCGGCCTGGACGAGGAGGACCTCTTCTGGTCCATCTGCAACGAGCAGGCCCACTACCCCAGGTTCCTCTCCGTCGAGGCGCGCGACGTCCTCGTCCTGGTGAGTCAGCACACCGTCAACATTTGGGCAGCATTCTAATTTTCTCACGGTGAAAAGGTGCATCAACATGTTATAGTGGGGATCCGAGGGAGAACAAAAAAGTCCAAATTATGTCAATATGACCTCAAAATGAACAATCTTTGGTTCTAAAAAAAATTTCAGGGAAAAAAGTGACATCTTTTTTGCAGCTTCTGGAAAAGGACCAGACGAAGCGGTTAGGGACGCCGGAGTGCACGGCGGGCGACGTCTGCCACCAACCCTTCTTCCGCTCCATCGACTGGCTGTCTCTGGAGAGGCGGCAGCTGGACCCGCCCTTCAAGCCCAGACTGGTGAGCACCGAGCCACTCAGAAAGCAAGGCCTGTCGGAAGGGAAAATTACTGTGAATTTTCGCGTACACATCGAATGAATTTCTGTTAAACACCAACGAATTTTGGGCAAAAAAAATCAAATGTTGAGGAAAATTTCGATAAATTTGAATAAATTTCAGTAAATTTTACGTTTTTGGTGAATTTTGGTGAACAACTTTGGCTCGAGTTATTTCCCCTTCCTGTCAGAAAGAAAGGGCTGGAAATGAAAAACGAATTTTGTCCCTGCCCGCAGCAACACCCGTTGGACGTGCAGTACTTTGACCGCACCTTCACCAACGAGCGCGCGCAGCTGACCCCGATCGACGAGGCCATCCTGCACTCCATGGACCAGACGCAGTTCCAGGGCTTCAGCTACACCAACCCCAACGCCACGGACTGAGCCAGTGACCCTGATCCCATCGGACACGGCCTCTGGCTGCCTGGCCGCAGGCAGAGCGAACTCTTCCAGTGACGCTCCAGTCTGCGTTTGCACGACTACACTGCATCAGCGCGAAGCACAGGCTTCCCGAGGCAGAGGCTTCCCGAAGCAGTGCCCGGACGGTTTGGACAGCTCGTGACCAAAGTCGTGTTGCCACAGCAGTATCCCTTCCGGTTTGTCGGGAGTTGTTTTTACCTCAGCGAGAGACCAGTGTAGGTGCACCGGACGGCAGGGGAGGTCATTCTTCCTTTGTGTTGGATTCGCAGCTATAAACTCCCTTCTCGTGTGCACGGGACCCTCTTCGTTCGAAAATAATCATAATGATTCAAAGTTTGAATGAAATAGATTGTAGTTGATGCGGTGTTGTCCCCCACCGTGTTGTTAGTCAGACGCGATGTAAGCGAACGGCTGCTACTCAACATACACTGTATGGTCGGGAGTCTGTTCGAAATGCTTGAATGATGTTAAATGGAGTGTGCTCTGTCAGATAATAATCCTAGTCATTTTGATCTTAAATTTTTAGAGTGAATAGAGTGAAAGTGGTGTGCTTCTGCATGACTAGATTTGTTGTACAAAGGATATATTTTGAGTGAAGATGTTTGTGTTTTCGCAAGGGACTAGTGTGTGTGTGTGTGTGTGTACATCTCATCTTTGTGCTGAAACTTTTGAAACTAGATCACTGAAACGTTGAACTAGTGACATTACCCAGTGTTTATTTCCTTGTAAATCTAAGGTCAGAACATTCACCGCCGGACAATACTGTGTAAGAAGATTACAACTCATTTTACATTTTCTCATTTACCTAAATACCCCATGACCTTTTGGAGAGACTGTTTCGGGGTCTCCAGGGGTCTTCAAAGTGATTGTGATCTTGCATGTCTCTCTTAGCGCCCCAGTTGCCATTCGTCCTGTTTAGCTAGTTTGATGTGTTCTCGCCCGAGCCTGGCAAGAAAAACAGCCGCGCGACTCAAGGTTTCGTTTTTTCCTTGCCGACATCAGCGTGCCTTGCTCCGTTTGAAACTAACTGTCGCGCTCTCCCCAATGGACACGGGCAATATCTTCCCACGTGTTTAGACGTAAATTTTCATGTTAGTGATAGCTAAATGATGTGTCCACACTGGACCAGCGTACTATAAATACTTTGTATACTGTAAAACGAAAAATGTTTATTAAAGTTTAAGAGGCTAATGGTCTATTTCTTTTTCACCCTATAACTATTGCCACGTGCACTGTTGAGTGTGTATAGTGATGAGACAGGGGCAAAGGCGTTTATGGTTTCACCGATCGCGACGAACAAAGATCTATGATCAACTAACTCAGAAGGCACTCAATGAGATTTATTCCATGATACAGTCACTACTGAAAACGTCCACCATATGGTCGTAGTAAAGCGAATGACGAGAACAGGCCCAAGATGGAGATCCCGAAGTTTCAAAAGACGCAGCAACTGCACCAATTGCGCACAAATTTGTACGAAAATTTCATCTGCGCAACAAATGCGACGTCTTGTACAAAATTTGAACAAGCAGATTTATTGTAGGGAGGGACTACTTCTGGCAAGAAAAAAGGTGCCACCTTGTCTCACCTTGAATTACAAAGCCGTCACGCGAACGAAGTCGACAAGAAGAGCTGAGTCTGTACTCCACGATTTGTACCACTCATCCTTTGCGTTCCAGAAGCTGAGCATGGCCTAAAAACAAACACAAAACAGAAATATTGAATTACGGTAGATCTAGCCTAGACCGAGTATGGAAAATAACAATTACTCAGCCACATACGTCTTTAATACTTTTTTTAAACGACCGCAGTGTTCAAAACCTTTTTACCCTTCCAAGGGGTGCGAAATTCAAACGGTGGCATTAAAAAGCTTTAAGCCAAAAAAGGGTTAAGTTAAGTGTCTTTGCCTGTCCAGTGCAAGATTAACCTAAGACCTAACCTTGGCTGAGGTGTTTTTCCACGGTTTCTTGGATCTGTTTGGGCCTTCCACGTCGTCTGGGAAGTTGTGAATGCCACCGACGGCGAGGCCCAGGCTAATATAAAACTGAAAGAAGTAAAAGGATATTGTTAAATTTAAATAATCATGATGGATTTGTACTGCAAACTGCACGGCATTTCTCAGCAGAAAATCAGGAGAGGAGGTCACCCACCTCTCTATCAAAAGGCGCTATTCTGCCGCCTTCATGCCAGGGGTCGTCCTCGGGCCGCGTGGAGGACTGGATGAGGCCGCCTGTGGTCTCGGGGTGAAGGACGCCAAGTTCCACGCCGTCAACGGAGAACGCCAGCGCATCTGAAACATGCATAGGCAGGTACTCTATCAATCCAAGTTAAACAACAAAAAAATCTTGAATTTCATTTAAGTAAAACTGCGCGCTCGCGGGGCCGGAGCGCCTGGAAGGTCGGCTACCCATTCGTTGTCGGTGGCCCAGCCAGCATGCCATTACCATTACGGGCTGGACCGCAACTGGGGCGCCTTGCAGTGAGCAGTGCTGCTGCAGCCTGAATCCGAGGATCTTTTTCATTCTCAGCCGAACTCACCCGGCGTCCAGCGAAGTGTGTAGTTGTGAAAACTGCCGCTCCAGGGCCGGCCGGGCAGCTCTGTGCGGCTCACCTCCTTCCTGGAGGGCCCCTTGTAGCCGGAGCCGGAAGAGACGGCGCGGCTCCTCCGGCCGCTCCGGGGCCGCCAACCGGCGTCGCCGGAGTCGCCGACGTCGTCTGGCCAGAAGCCGACGAAGGGCGGGGCGGTGGTCCGGAGCTGCGCCGCCTGCGCCGCCGTGACGGGCAGTGTGCCAGTGTGGCCCCGGACGCCGCTGTGCCCCACCGCGTTCCTCGCGGGGGCGCCGGTCGGTGCCGCCACGTTTGCACCGTTTCTGACCGGGCCGCTCCCGCTGGCGGCGCTGGAGACCGTCCTCGTGGACGCGGGCCTCGGCGCTGCCGTCGTGGACGGCCGGCTGGTCGGCACCGTGGCGCTCTTGAACTGCACTGTTGGGACAAAGGCATGCAAACATCATGTCGCTGTAGATGTGTAGGGCGCGGATTTGTCTTACCAGTGTTACTTCCGGTTCTGGTGACGCCGCTAGCGCTCGAGGCGCGTGTCGTGGTGCCCCTGGTGGTGGCCGCGGTCCTGGCGGAGGTGGTGGCGGGCCTGCGCGTTGTGGTGGAGGTGCGCGTCGTCGTGGTGGTGGCCGCCACCCTGGGCGGGGCGGCCGCGAACGCCACCACGTTGTCGACGACGGCGTCCTCGTCGTCGACAACGTCGCTGTCCTGTCTGACCCGGCCGTCTTGCCTGTCCCGACTGTCTAGTCTGTCCTGACTGTCTTGCCTGTCCCAGCCGTCTTGTCTGTCCTGACTGTCGAGTCTGTCCTGGCTGTCCAGTCTGTCCTGACTGTCTTGCCTGTCCTGGCTGTCCTGGCTGAGGCCGGCTGACGCGAAGGCCCCCGCCTCCAGACGGCGGAGGCCAAGCTCCGTGGCCCCGAGGTGCAGGTCCGCGTTGCCGCGAGCCAGAGCCACCTGCACACGCCCGGACTTGAGGCCCGGGCCGTAGGCCTCCTCCCGAGGCAGCAGCCAGAGTTCTAAAAGGGACATAATTAAAAAAAAAATTTAAATGGAAGTGAAAAAAAAAAAACAATAATGTGATCGTTAACACTGTGAAAATTTTTGTTGTCACTTGATGACAATTTTCATGGCCAATTTTCCTCGCAGGGATGTCATCAATACATTTGGTGACGGTAACTAACTACAGCGGCTTTAATATTGACGTCAACTTTACCTGGATAGATCCAATCACCGCTCGGCAGCTTGGCCCTTATCTCGAGCACACCGTACCGGAAGCTGAAGGACTTGCGCGTCGATATTCGCCCGGAGAGAATGGGTGGCAGAATGTAGCCGTACTTGGCCTGGCGCGCACACTGCTCGGCCTCGGCAGCGGTACAGCTGGAGGGGACACATCGCGACGTCACTCCAAAATGTCCTTTGTCTGCCCGGTGAAATCATTAAAGTCGTTGGCACGATAATCACTCACTTCTCGAGCTGTAGCCTGCCGGTTCGCACAAAGTCCTTTCCGTAGACATCGTCCGTCAGGGTTGGCCGGATAACAAGCTGCCCGTTCACCGTGTACGTGTTCGCGGGGCTCTTGGTGAAGGCGGTGAACTCGAAGTCCTGCAGCAACAGTGAAGTTGTGGTCAGAGTCGTTAAATATAACTCAAATCCAACGTGTGACCCCATTAATGGATTGCTCTCGCAATTAGGAATCCATTGATGGGGTCACACGTGTGATTCGAGTCCTGCTCAGTGACTCTGGAGCTCGAAACGCGTTTAGAGTTCTGGCCCACTGTAACGTACCGGCTGGCTGGCGAGCTGCACGTCGTGGCGCCACGACGCGGCCGGCGCGTCCGGGCCGTCGAAGTTCTCCAGGAACAGCAGCTCGCCGCGGCAGACCAGGCGCCCGTTGACGCTCGTGAGCGAGCGCGTGCACGCCGCGGGCCTGGGGGGCGGCTGCGGGGGCGGCTCCTGGCTGGGCGGCGGCGCCGCGGGGGCGGACAGCGGGGCCAGTCCGGGCGCGATGTCGTACGTCTCCACCAGACCTGAAGAGGACATTGCGCACGCACTGAGCAAGCTGAAGACCGTACCGGGTGGGCCAGGAGCCCCGACACGAAATGAGAGGTATGGTGTCCCGTGTGTTTCGCAGGACCGCGTACCTCTCATTTTGTCTCGGGGTTCCGGGCCCACCTAGGTGCAAACTGCACTTTGCAAAGTGCTCGGCAGGCCCTTGAATCGCCAGAGAAGGCTTCAGTTTCACCAGTGTACCTTGCACGGTGTGGGTGCCGGCGCGTTCGTGGGCGTGCCCCGCTCGCGTCACCTGCAGCCAGTAGTGCACGACGTCCCGCGCGCGCAGGACCGTGGTGCGGTCCTCGTAGGTCCAGACGCTGCCGGTGCGGTGGCTCACCTCCACGTTCACCGTGCCCAGGCGCTCCGGGGACAGGGCCTTGTTGACGCCCAGGTGGAAGCGCACCTGGGAGATGCCAGCCTCGTCTGCGGGGAAGGAAACACACGCTTCATGTCGTGCACAAATTTGTCTCTGAAGTTAAAGGGCAAAATATTATGTTTACATGAGAAGTTTTGCGTTACGCTGTGGGAGTAGGGGGGTTTGGGCCAGCGTAACGCCACCTTATTTTATACACAAAGTAAGGACAATATTGACAATTTTTCCCCATTTTACCTAAGTTTTTGATGAGAAATTGTACCTGAATTATGTATAAATTTGCACATAGCGTAAATATGCACTAATATGGCAAAAGTTGCGGAAAAAAACGTCCATAGGCATGAATGTGCGAACAGCTCAACAACAAAACAACAAAAATAGAAGACGAACTGGGTTCGTCCGAAGTCGAGCCCCGGCCATGGTAATAAACGTATATCAACACAAAGTGCGGGAATCCTCAGGCGCTCCGGCCAGATAGAGAAGGCGCGTCCTTGCCGACCCGAGAGACCGATCGACCGCAGCCGAAAAACGACAGCGTGACTCGGCAGCAGTTTCTCATGTCGAGGAGCATAAAGGAGGGCATGAGCGCTGATCCGGAGCGAGAGAGAGAATATGCAGCCTTCTCCTTCCCGCGCGGACGGCGTGCGCGCCGTGGTACACTGAGTCGGCTCCGCCCGAGGAGCCGCGGCAAGGACACTCCAGTGTGGCCGATCGAGCTGCCCACCGCGGTAGACTGATTCCGAGAGGCGTCTTCGTCGCTCTGTCTCTCTCGTGCCTATAAGTGGCGCCCATGAGAGACAGAGCGCCGAAAACGAAGTCTCGGAATAAGTCTCTTGTAGAGGCGCCGTGTGACGTCTGCTTGTGGCGGGAGTAGGAGAACAGGCGGGCCAAATACGAGATGGACACACTTCATGTTTTTGTACAACTTGCACGAAACATCATATTGTCTCTGTGCAGAGGGGCTGTTCGTATGTAGGTGATTTTGTCGAGATCGTACAAGCGTCACGCCGTAGCAACCAGTCTTCGTTGTACGTATGTTTGTTTACCTTCGATCTATAGGCTGATATCGGCCGGCAAAAACGGTTCTTGCTTCCCCCACCTCCACGACAGTAAAAGCATAGGCGATTTCCAGGGAGGTCCTGGAAAAAACCAGGAAGCGGTTTTGCCGTTCAACATCAGCCTATAGATCGAAGGTAAACAAAGTATTTTTTCAGTGCACAGGCTTAAGAATGTGTCACTTTAAATGAATGAATGAATGAATGAATGAATGAATGAATGAATGAATGAATGAATGAATGAATGAATGAATGAATGAATGAATGAATGAATGAATGAATGAATGAATGGTCGCGGCAAATGGCAGTTCCTGGGATTCCCAGGCGGCTCCTGGAATTTCCTCTTTTCCAGGTCCGAACTGGGAATCCCAGGTACTACTTTTGCTTTCAATGAATGAATGCATAAATGAATGAATGGATGAATGAATGAATGAATGAATGAATGCTCACCGGGGATAGAGATGCGCAGTCCCCTGGGGCTGAGGGCCTCGATGTACGGGGCCGGCACGGCGTACGCGGCGTACGCGGCGTCGCTGCCGCCTGCATGGTGGGCGTCGGTCTGGTACGGTGCCTCGACGCTGGCTCCGCTGGCTCCGCTCCGGCCTGCCTGCCTCGTCTGGGGCGGCAGAAGCAGCAGCAAGGAGGCCCGGAGGATGAGTGTGCAGTGTACCCAGCCCATGGCCGCTACTGGTTTGACGGGCGCTACTCGGCGCTACGCGGCCGGACGCCGTGGAAGCCTCTCCCTCTCCTCCGGACTGGTTCACGGCGATGAAGATGCTGTGCAGTGTGCCGCCGTGCCGCGCGGCCGAGTCGCGTGGCAGTGACCTCAACGCATTCCACCAGCACCACGCGCCATCAGTTTACGTGTTTACTCTTTGTTCTTGTGACTATATTGGATTTATTATTTGCGTTTCTTTTAGAGTTTATCCGGGCTGGTGCCTTTACTAATTGGGTTGGGAGAGGTAGATGACAAGGTTCGTTCTTATTTAGTGTTTATTGATCGCCAAGCCAAAGGTACATTTCGAATTGCGCCTGCTCACATATCAAACTATCAACCAGTATGTGTCCAACACATGCCGTAACATTTGTAGAAAAAAGTGTACGGGAGTTGCGTCTGGGAGGAACGCAGCCTGAGCCACTTCTTCCCACACAGCCTAGCAACAAAACGGCACCGAAATATTTACATTTATTACACTTATTAACAAAATTCAAATTGATAACACTTTGATACAAATAAAGAACTCGTCGGTTGACCATGAGGATAAAAGGATGTTTTTTCCGAAGGGTTTGTTTAATTGAACTCACAGCGATTATACATGGGGAATGTTAGGTGAAGGTTATTAGATATTAGGTACATTTTTATTGTTTTTGGTGTACAGTTTAGGTTCGGGGCAGGAGAAGAAGCTTCAATTTAAAGCTTTTTGTACATTGATGGTCGGCTGGCGAAGGTTAGCAGTCTTTAACGGTTTGTGATTGAACAAGAACAGAGTTCAAACTATCGTAGCATATATGATTTGAACTCAATTCAAACGTGTCCACGGCTCATCTAAAAATGTGGTGTTTATCTACGAAAAAAAAGGAAGTTACAGACAGTGGGGACAGAGGCAAGGTCAATAGTAAGCAAATATTTGCGTAACCACAACACGGCAACACTTATTTTATTAAGGTTTCAGGACACGATGGATAAATAATGACACAAACGAGAAAATAAGGGTGAGCTCCATGATTGTCTAGCCAAGACCATACACGCTACCATGATACAGAGAATCTGTTCCAAAATAACCAAGATTGATAATCAAGATGAACACAACAATAATGGCCCTTAAACAACAGTAGTAAATAATAATAATAATAATAATAATAATAATAATAATAATAATAATAATAATAATAATAATAATAATAATAATAATAACGATGATACTTTAATCTTAAAAAAAGCTGAACTGGAAAGCAATCATTCACAAGAAGACATCACAAACGACTCACAAGCATCGATAGTGTTTCTGATCCTGTTGTGAAAAATGGGAGTTATAATGACGCCGATTTGACGATTTGACTCTCATTTCTCACTCGGGTTCGGCCTGCACCGATTTAGAACAGCGCCAGTTCACACCATCTCCATTCCCTCCATAAAAAATAAATCCCTCAATCAAGGTAACATACTGTAAATCACAACACATAGTTACATTAACACAGAATAGGAATTCCTTCTCCTTAAGGTGTAAATGGAAATGTCTTTTCTCTCTTCTGAATTATTCGCAATCAGTTTAAATTACTAAACAGAAAAAAAAGGTCACGATGAAGTTTTGGGCAGAACTGAGATTAACAGTCTTTGTTTCTGTTTCAAAATTGATCGTCTGAACGATAGCGCTACTGAAGTTACTGAGAGCATCAAAGAGGGCGCTGGCGTCGGCCCATGCTGCGTGTGGACAATCAGCCTCAGGAAAGATTTAATAAACATGTTAGAAGAATTTGAATTAACAGTGCCATCCCTGCTCTTCGGCTGTGTCAACCAATGTTTTCCATTCCAGCCTGGTCGAGGCTCGGCGTTCTCTCTCGTCTGGACTGAAAAGCCCATTCAAGAGTTGTGGCTTGAAGGTCTCCCCAACCTAAGTCTCTACGAGTTTTGGCAGTAAAGTCGATGCAGCCGATAAGGGGTTTACATTAAAGGTGTATACACGGTATACAACGCTCCTTGGGAGACGATGCTCCCAAGGTTTAGATTTGACGTGAAAAAGGAATAATTTGACTTTTCTATCTAGACAAAATATAAATAAAAACTTTGCGCCGGGAGACCGTGGCAAAAGAATGGTAAGCATTGCGACGATAGCCGAGGCAGGACAACCCCTGGAGAAACGAGCATTCTTAGAAGGCGAGCAACGCCGAGGACGACACTGTTTCCACACAAGAGTTGGATGGCAACGTGACTTGCACATGACATGGTCAACATTTCAAAACAAAAGGAAACGCATCCCGTCAAAGAAATAAAAGTACACGCCGAGAAAAGAATGAAAAGTTGTTCGACGCTGATTGTCGGAGTGCCGACGACACTCTTTTTAAACAGTGCATTACTTTGCCGAGGCCGCGCGGGTTCAACACCTCCTCGATGCGGAATTTCGTCACTAGATCAGAAAAAACAAACTTGGAAGCACTTAGTTTTTATTTCTTTTTAAATTTGAGCAAGCGTCAAGGTAACGCGACATTGGAATTTATGACAAAACTGAGGGGAAAATACAGGGGTTTCCATACGTATTGCATAGAGCTCTATACACGTAAGTGATCGGCTGAGTGCTTCTGTGTCAGTCTGTCCCGAATCACTAGGTGTCGCAGCCTCAAGGTGAAATGAGAGAATTACGTTGCAAAACAGACCCACAGACGAGTTGGTAGGACAAGCAAAATATAATAATAAATACCAATTCAAATATGCATCTCTGCCGCTCACAATACATCACGGATCGCCCCGTCAGTTCATTGCTTTAGCCTAAACGATTTTGTAAAAGCTATGTTTCTTTTTAAATTAAAACTATTCGTCAGAAACCATCTGATGACTATAAAGTGAGCAACAGCTATAAAAAACCCCAGCCATTAAGAGTGTGTAACACGGTTTTATTATTATTCGTTTTAGTTTAAAGAGCTTTGCGTCGACGCTTTGGTCTTCAAATAACCCACTCATCATTGCCGCCAGCGTTCACAAACGGTTCCTTTGTGTCAGGTGCAGCTTGATGTTGTATGAATTGAAGCGGTCGGTCTGTTAGACAACAGGGGTCTATTTGCGTTAATAAAACGGTTGAATGCACTGAAAACTTAAGAAACAAGGCAGACATGGAGAGAGATCGGTTCGGGGTCACAATAGTAGTGAAAGGTAAATGAAAAAAAGAAGAAAATTCGTTTCAAAATGTCACGCCAAACGGGCGAACGCCCACAGTACAAATGTGGGATGTTGAAATAACAATAGTGAGCTGATGAGGAACTTGAACGAAGTCCTCAGGCAACTTGAACAAAGACAGGGTAACGTGAAGTGTTATGTTAGAGAGCCGTAAGGAATTATTTGAGTTAATATTAACGTAATTAATGAGTAGCATGTCAAGCTCATTTTAAACAAACTATATGACGTCTATACAATAACAGCACCATAATGAAACCCTCACCAGTGATTCACAACCACTGGGTTAGACAATTTATAAATACATTGTAATGTACACCTTGATAAAAATGCAATTCCAATAACAATATCACTACTTAATGGACACGTGGTTTAGCCCTTTGCGCACGCATTGGCAACGTTTGTTTAGGATGACACATTTAAATTTCAACTAATTGATATTCATATAGGCTCTTTTCACATTTTATTATATCAGTCGTCCAATACTAACATTATGAACTACAGTACATTGTGATGGGTGAAATGAGACTTACTGACATGATCCAGAGAATTCGTTCCGAAATTGACAACTCTCAAACACAAGACAATTATGATACATCTCTCTAAATCATTCTTTGTTACCAACCATCGTATCTCACACATCCCCAAATGAATTCGGTATGGCAGTGCACGAGATAAATTAAGTGACTATACATTGCATTCAAGGACCCGTGTGTGGGGCATCCCTCACCGTAACTCTTTTCTCTCAAAACAAAAACAGTTTCGATCAGGTGCGGCACAGTTAGGGGAAGCGAGAACTCGCAAAGATTCGGTACTGGTGTGAATTCGGGCATTTTTGCTGTGTTGTGCAGCCCGACATGTCCCAAGCTGTGCACGCAAATATTTCGGACCACACCCTTCACATTCTCTCCATGCTGTCTACAAATTTCTTTCCAAAAATTTCAATGAAATGTATTTTGGGGGTGATTCTCTTGGACATATAATTTTCCTTTAAGTTAAGGGGGATATTTTTATTAATTTTTTATTACATTTTAAGCAAAAAAAATCATGAAGCGCAATATCGATGGACGCGCATTCTTCCACACACAAATGAAGAAAGCACACTTCATAAACATCTAAATTTTTAAAGAAGATTTAACGAAGAGATGAGCATTTTTTAAAATCCTTCCTCCAAACCCTTATGTATGAATATATTTAGGTATATTATAGTATATATTAGGGAGCACTAAAATTCTATGTCATTGTCAATTGTTGGCACATGGATTGTGGTTGGTTTCGCTCTGAGAGGCTGAGGGGCTGTCTAGTGCGGCTTTAGGGAATTCCAAAACACCAAAAGCTGAGACTTTTAAATTAATCGACACGTAGCTTTGCAACTTTAAATACATTTCCGATTGGATGGAAACGAGCAATGCGCATCGTTGACGTTTAATTTTCTAGTTTCATAGCCTGACGTGCTTTGGGTTTTTACCATTTTATTTTCATTTAACCATTATAATTTGAGCATTGTTCCATGGCGACATTCAGTTCCCCGTCAAAAAGTTACTCTGATTTCAGCAAAAGGCGGGAAAACACGTTTAAGAAAATGGATTAATTTCATGGGCATGCCAGCATGCCTTTACTTTTATAACGAGTGAAAACAAATAAATTTACCTTCTAATAATTTTTTAAAAGTTGTATATGGGCGACCCTAGAACAATGCAAAAGTCTACATGATCGTATCTTTTTGTTTTAAAACCCTCATTGTAAAGTTTTTTCCTGAGATTAATATGGGGCTGTCAGTGGTAAGCCTATTGTGAGCAAACCGTCAGCCACCAATCAAAATAATTCGTACATTCTCTCTCTCTCTCTCTCTCTCTCTCTCTCTCTCTCTCTCTCTCTCTCTCTCTCTCTCTCTCTCTCTCTCTCTCACACACACACTCACTTTCTCTCTCCCTCTCTCTCCATTTTCCGTCTCCATGTGGGTATTGGTCAGTTCTGATGACTGTTTCAAACCAACGTGACGTTTACTTGCAAGTGCCATCAGAACTGAGTTTGTGCCATCCCCACTTCACCTCCATTTCATTCACACACACGCACACAGGCATGCTCTCTCTCTCACACAGACACACGTAGACACTCGCACTGACTCCGTTTCCCGGGGCCACTCCAGCACCCCACAACCGTCTCAGTCCACATCTCAGCAACAAAGCGCAGCACCAAACATCGTCAACTTTACGTATAGTAGACAATTCTCTAATTATCATCCTATTATTCACTTTAGTCAACAAATCAACAAACAAGTACCAATTCGTATGAGAACAGGATATTTTTTTTATGAGAAGTCAATATCAATCATATAGAGCATTTTAGTAACATTTAAATAATCACCAATCTCTTAATAAAAAAACACCAACAACGTCGCAACTTGGTTAAAAACTGCCGTCCACTTATTTTCGGCGACGTTTGCGACACACACACTCGGCCGGTCGCGTGCCAGCCGCACCGTGGGTTGGGCCGAAGACCGAAGGGTCGGCCGAAGGGTCGGGCTGGGGCCGACAGAGCGCGCTGGGGTCGCAGCGCGCCTCCACTGCGAGGTAGAGCATAACCTCGGACCGGCCGGATCACGACTAACCCTGAACACACACACCACACCTAACTGCCACGCCGAGCTGAGCCGGAACCGGAAACCGGGAGCCAGATCTGGAACCGGAGCCAGCTCGGACGCGGGATGAGCAAATGGAGCGGCGACCCATCGTCCGTGCCTCGGGCAGCCTCGGGGCGCTGGGGCGGCGCTAGGGCGGCGCGGCGGCGGCGCTGGGGCCTGATGCTTTGCCTGCAGCTCGCTTGCAGCCCGCTTGCAGCCCGCTTGCAGCCCGCCAAAGAGCCCTCGGCAGCCTGGGGCGCCGCGGAGGGCACAGCGCCTTCACTGCGCTGCTGGGGGCGCGGCCCGGGGGGCGCGGCCCCCTGGGAAGCCCAGAGGGGAGGGGGAGAGGCGCGGGGGAGGGGAGGGGCGCTGGCAGTGACTGGCTGGCACACCATCTGGACCCCTGGGAGGGCCCCCTCGGGGACCGCGTGGCCCGGGGAAGGGCCCTTGCCCCTGCCCCGCTGCCGCCCGCGCCTCAGTCAGTCAACGGCCTACTCCTCTTCGGGCCCCATCATGGACATGATGAGCATGTTCTTCTTGGCCACCTTGGAGTACTTGAGGTCGATGGGGTCCGTGTAGTCGTACAGGGCCGGTGCCTGCAGGATGATGAGCGCGGTGCCGCTGATGCAGGCCGCCGAGAAGATCCACAGGAACAGCCGGTCGAGCACCATGGCCACGTACTTCCAGTCTTCCATCACCTGCGCAAGCAAGAACAATCAAAAATCCACAGAGAGGAAGGTTTACTCGCCAAAATTTGGGTGATAATACTATCTGACCTAAAGATAGCAGAGACACCTATTTTCGCCCAAATTGAGGTCATGAGTCTTGACCCGACTTTAAGCCTTACCCAAATTTAGGCGACGAAAAAAATCTTTACACACGTTTGGATGATGTTCACTCATATTTGGGTTAAAAAGTATACCTCACCCAAAATATGGTATTGCTCAGCGCAGTGTGGGGAGTACTCACGTTCTCGAACTTGTCCTTGTTCCTAACGTGCTGCGCGATGAACCTCGCGTCCTCCACGGTCTTGTCCATGTCCCTGAAGGCCGGGCTGACGTCCCCAGGCACCCCACAGGGCCCACCGCAGATGGTGCCGCCGCAGCCCGCACTGAACAGGTCGTCGTCCGGACCCGGCAGTGGAGGAGGCAACGGCGGCAGTGCCGCGTGGAGATCCATGTCGAACCTGCAAGTCACGGGTTCAAATACCACCACCAGCCTGCAACTCCAACTTATGTTTGTTCCAAGGGGTTGTCCGCCATATAGCGGGGATCGCGTGTTGCTTCGGTGTATGGCCAAAATTTTTATCGCAAATCCTCATAGTTTCAGTGAAGAGTCATTGCAATGGTGTACCACAAGCAAAAACACTCAAGTACAAAGAGCATTATTCGAAAAATACTGTATATTTCTGTGGGATGGGTTTGGGAATTGGCTGGAATCGTGTGGACACTAAAATCATGTGTGTTCAACCCCCCGGCATGTGCAATAAACTCACCTCGAAGAAGGTTGTATTGACGGCGGTAAGACGCCAATTTCAAAGTCTGCACTAAGTCTCTTCCCTCCGTAGTTGACATACTTGTCTATCTCGGAGGGGACGTCTAGTGAGGTGAGGGCGACGTCTGTCTCGTCCTCATCCCCGGAGTCTTCTTTCTTTGGCCTCTGAATGCATAATAGCTGAAAAAGAGGGGTGCCAGTTTAGTTCTGTTGACGACAAATACGTTGAACACTCGCAAAACTAAAGCGTATTGTATGAAACAACCGTGTCACGTTCAAACGAATGTGACATCATATTTAAACAAACGTGACAAAATTCGCATTCTAACGAAGATGACGTCACACTCGGCGAGGGACGTGGTTGGACTCACCTTAGGTAATGTGTTTATAAAAAATCTCTGCACCCAGGGCTTCATGCGATGGGTGACCGGAGAGCGGAAGTTGACATTGAGCACGATGATGGTGACGACGACGGAGAGCGTGACGAGCACCATGGTGAATAACAGGTACTTGCCGAGGAGCGGCACCGTCAGAGAGGTGGGCGGGATAATCTCGGCGAGTAAGAGGAAGAACACAGTGAGCGACAGCAAGATGGAGATGCAGAGTGACACCTGGAACCGAGAAAAGCGATTGGGTTAGCGAACAACGCGAGCACTGTGAAACTCAGACTTTGCCCTTGTACTCTGGGAATGATGCATCATTGCCCAGGTGTATCAGTCCAATGCCCAAGCTTCCAGGTTTTCCTTCGTAGTTGCGAAGCAAAAGCTTGGTAGACTTTTTTGAGTGGTGTACCTTCTCGCCCGAGTCGGACGGTAGGTAGAAAACAAGCACGGACAAGAAGGAGATGCCGACGCAGGGGATGATGAGGTTGATGGTGTAGAAGAGGGTCTTCCTGCGCAGCGTGATGTTGAAGATGATGTCGGGGTAGGGCTCTTCACAACACGAGTAGAACTTCTCGTTGCGAACCGCCGGCACCTTCATGATGTCCCACTCCACCGACAGGTAGTAGTCCTGGAGGTCGATGCCCACGTTGATGGTGTCCGAACCCTCCGTTTGGTTAATATGCCTAAGATCCACCTGCGCAGAAGAACAAAAACGTATTAGTCGGATTATTGGATGTCCGGCCTTGATGTTCGGCGTCCCGGATTAGATCACAGTGGACCTCCATCACTGGACAGCGCTGGACTTATACCCCCGGGAGGAAGTAGTGTGCCCTTCCTTTCCCTTCATGCTCATCTGCCCAACAAACCGCCATAAACCTTCTCCCCCTCCCCTTCCGCCCTCACCCTCCCCTTCCGGTCCGCCCGCTTCAACCCGATCAGCTGCCAAATGCTGACGAATGGCTGCTGCGCTGGCGCTGGTCCGCCCGCTGGCCGCTAGAGCGCGCCCCGCGCAAGACCCACGCAAGTGGGCCTCTGTCGTCGGCAGTTACCCGGTTTCGGCGGTGCCGCTGCCTCGGCCAGCCTTGGCGGCGTTCGGCGGCGCTTGGCGGGGCATCGCTTGGCCGGGCGGCCGGGACCCGTTGGCCGCCTAGCCTGGAGCAGGTCTGCCTTGGCGCTCGCCCAGCCCGACCCCCACCCCTCCCCCACCCTCCTAATTCCATCCCTCTTTTCCATTTTTCTATTTCTGCTCGATTATTGTCACAATCTACGACCTATTGTGATCATCCGCACACACCTAACGGTCGGTCGCCTGCGCTCGGGGAAAGAAAGAGACAACTTTCGTCATAGATTCCACACTGCGCGCGCCTTCCCCGAGCAAACATCTGATTCTCAAAGGAGCGTTCTTCTCCACCCGGGAAAAGGTCTACGAACTATCTCTTCGTAATACGAAGACAACGAAGACGTTCACATCATCATTGTGTACATTTTAAGCATCTTTGTGCATGTAATGTTGCATAATATTGTTTAGAGGAGCTTGCATGTTTAGAAGAAGATACAGACACGGTAAAACCATCTCCTGGGAATTCGCTTAAATTCCTGGAAATCCCAGGAGATTTTCCTCAAGAATTGACCGTTAGTCTTGGGAATCCCAGGAGATGGGTTTAACGTATATACAACTTTTTTTTGTGTGCACCCCGCCTGGCTCTTCTCTTACCATGTACCCGTCGTACGTCCACGAGCCGAACTTCATGAAGCACGTCTGCTCGTCGAAGGGGAAGTACTCCACGTCGATCTCGCAGAAGCTCTTGTAGATGGCGGGCGGCTTCCACACCACCTTGCCCGTGTGGTGCAGAATGGCCTTGGTCATGATGGTCACCTCGTAGTTGCCGTCCGCGCTGCAAACGAAAAACGGCACCATTTTAATCACACTCTGCGGGTTTAGTCGGTTTGCTCAAGCTAAAAACGTTACGGAGTATTTTGAGCATACGTGAGGTACGTACTATTTAGTTTGTAAGACCAAGACGTAGTCTTAGAAAGTCTTTACGTATGCTTAAAATACTTCAAATACTTTCGTTGAGAAAAGAGGCCTGCACCCTCGGCCTGCGTTTTCGTATCGTGATTGTGCCTTTGGGCCCAAGCTGCATTGTGCGCTTCAGTTAGTCGCAAACTCTGGCCACACTTCAGCACCTGGCAAGTCCCCGGCCGGGCGAGTGTATCTTAATTGGGATCTGAGAGGGATTCTGCCCCCCCCCCCTCCTCTTCTCTCCTTCCCACCACAACAAGGTGGATGATGAGGGCATTGCGTGACGCTATATCCCCCCTCCCCCCGAAAAAGGGAGGGGGTGATAATGTGCGGACTGTGTTTTTGCCGACCGTCGTCACAGCGAGCCTTATTGCGAGCAGCAGTGCCTCGCCGCTTTCACCTCGCTCTCGCTGCAACGCACTAGCAGACCGGCGGAGGCGGCCAAAACTCAGGGAGCGTTTTGAGCTTCAGAGTCGCTAAGCAGGACTCGAACCGAACGTGCGACCCCACCACTCGTTCGGAGAGCAATCCGTTGGTGGGGTCGCACGTTCGGTTCAAGCCCTGTTTTGCAACTCTGGAGCTCAAAACGCGTCCAAAGTTTTGGCCGCCCCCACCGGTCTTCTGGCCCACTGTGTGAGAGACGCAGAGGCACGGCTCGGAATCGGCGCGCTGCATGCAGTGTGCCATCCATGTTTCGCCCTAATTTGCGGTGACGCGTCATTAGACCATGAGTTGGGGTTTAGCCGGATTCCCCGGCACCCCTGCCTTCCCCGGCCGGTCCACTGGCCTCCCTTCGACCCGCCTGCCACCCCCACCCCCCGCCGGGCCTACTCCAGGGCCACCACCCCGTCCTGTACATCCTTTTCACGCCACCTGCGCTTCCTGCCCCCTGCTGCACCCCAATCCAACAGGGGCTGCCTGTCCCTCGCCTTTTTGACGCCTGCTGGCTGCACGCACCCACCCACTGCAGTGTACCCGCATACGGACAGTGCTGGCGTCTCCTTTCCCCTTCTATCCCTTCCACCTCCCCTTCTATACCGTCCCCCATTCCATCCCCCTCTATCCGTTCCCCCTTATCCATTTCCCCTCCCCATTCTATGCCTCCCCCTTCTATCCCGTTCCCCTGCCCCTCTATCCCCCCCCCCTCGAATCCGTTTGCCCTGGAAGCAGCCCCGGCCGGCGCTGGGGATCCCATGCTCCGTCCGTGCTCACCCATTATTTGGCTGGTCTATCGCCTTAACCCATCCCGATCCCCCCTCCCCCCCCCCTCCCGCACGGCAGTCCGTCGGGCTGCAGCGATTGGGGAGGGGAAGGGGGGATCAAAGTGCCAAGCGCCTCACGAAGCGGGGATCGCAAGGGGCGGGAATCAGAGCGGCAAGAGCCTCACGAGAGGACGGCGGGCTGGGGTCATGCTACCGCATACAAACCGCTGTAATCGCAGGTGACATGTGTGTGTGTGTGTGGGGGGAGTTGTCTGACTTCGAATCCCACACCGTGTAGTGGGCCAGAAGTAGCTGAATGGGGTCAGAACCGGACATGTGGCTGCGCCAATGGATACCGTTGGAGGAATCCATTGGTGGGGTCACACGTTCAGTGCGAGCCTTTTTTAGCGACTCTGGAGCTCAAAACGCGTTTAGAGTTTTGGCCTTCTGGCCGGCTGCGCGTTGGAAACGTCTCAGTGCATCTCGGTACCGACGTTTGCCCAGTTTGTCCGCGCCACGAACGATCAATATTTTGAAGGGACTTGGCACTGGCCCACCGCGTCCCCCCCACCCCGCTCCCGCCTCTGTCCCCACCCCTTTCTCCCTCAGCCGGCCGGTCACTGGACGAGTTCAGACTGGACCAAACAAGGCCGCTTTTGCATCATAAGTGAGGTGCCGTGCCTTACCATGAATTGGTGCGATCGAAACGGGTTGGAACGCATTGCACTAATTGCCGCTGCGGCATTGGGTTTCTCAGTGTGGCAGAAGTTGCGTGTTAGCCAAGGCTGGCTTCGGAACGGCGACCGAGCCAGATTCCCCCCTCCCTCCTCACGCAGCGCCCAAGCCGTGTCACGCCTGCTCGCCCGTTGGAGTGCCTCCTCCTATTACACGGGTTTCATTATTAACCCTAACAGGCCAACTTCCGCTGATCGGAAGTGTCAGGAGGGTAGCCCCCACCCCTTCCCCCACCCCTTCCCCCCACCCCTTTCTCTTCTTCTCCTTCCATGGACGATGCTCCGCGAGCAGGGTAGGTCGGCGCATACGCGAAGGGCGCCTGTTGACGGCGCCAGTGCTACATGAAGGTCACTGTGAGGGTCACTGTGAAAATTCGGGTTGTCACCTAATGACAATTGCGAAGCCAATTATTCTGGCTCCTGACGAGAATGACACAACGAGTAGATGACGTTCTTGTGACAGAAAAAAAAATGTCACCAACTATTTTTTTTTGTAAAGTGACTCTTTTTTTCCTGTGCGTGGCAGGCAGACAGACCGACCGACCTAGCGTGGTCTCAGTGACAGCAGGCACTACTAGAGAAAGAGAAAAAAATCTTGAGACGCGTTTCAAACAATGGGAAGGAGGGGAAAGAGTGGACTGAACGAGCTGCGACTCCCTAACGAGACGCAAGACGGTTTCTTTGACACTGCAGACAGGTCCAGAAAGTACGGAGCACAGGGGCGCCATGGGTGGTTCCCACGGGACGTGAGTCTACCATGGAAATTGGCACCACGAGACTTTACACCAGTCTGGGGCGAGAAATTTCCGTGGAAACCGTCATGCTGTTATGCGTAACATGGTGAACATGTGCAATACCATGGTGCGCGCATCCTGGTAACGTGCTACTTGCCCGTTTAAGTCTTCAAGTTTGAGAATTCCCTTTCGCACTGTACAAATACAGAGTATTTTGATGACGGCGAAGCTCCAAAGTGTTCAGCATCGAATGTCTACGGGTAAGAAAAGAAACGCCTTGTGACACTGTGGCCGGCACAGCGGTACAAGTAACCAGTACACATGCAAAGACACCTCAAAGCCGGGCAGCCTGGTTAATTTTTCATGGAAAAGGGGCGGGAAGCAAAAGAGGGGTGTTCTGCTCGGAACATCCGGCAGTTTTGCTCGCCGCTCCTGACCAGCACAGGGACCTACCAGTTTTGGATGGGTGCCGTCCTTCGTGTGAGCGATTCGGGAGATATCTGTAGACGGGATGTGCAAATTCCAACTCCGCCGTAGATGACGATTGCACTTGAGCTGTAGCAGACTCATCCTGACGGGAAAAAAGATATGTGAATGCGACAGCGCCAAAAGGTTACGCGAATAGATAATAAATAAAGTCTGTAAAACCAGGAACTATTCTTTCGGAGACAAAGAATGGACTGCGTCGAGGATCTATAAGGATTATTTCGCGTTTCCTACACTTATTGTGTCCACACTTGATTTTGAAAGTGGTGGCTGGACCTTAATTAACGATGACTTAAGGGGGGAGATCGTTTCGAAACAGTCAACGTCAACTTTAGCAAATGTAAGGCTTGTCACTGTTAACTCTTTGGCCTCATTTGACGGTTTGTTTTAACCACACTACTGAAAAGCTGGTCCCCTTTAAGGTATCATTTTGAAAAAAAAGTTTGACTTAGGGCTATAAGCAGGATCTGTAGGAATTTGCCTGAACCTCGAAATAGCAACAAAATTCACTGCGCGCAATTTTTTTCCATCTCCGACATCGTTATCTGTAAATGTTTGGAATTGTTTCTCCTTCAAATAAGATTTTTGACTAACTAAAGGCATGTAGATGCTAGGAAAATTGAAATAATGGACCTATGCCTAGCTTAGCATTTAGGTGTACCAAAAATTAATCGAGCAATGACATTTCAAAGTTCGGCATTTTCTTTCAGCGAATTGGACGATTCCAGTTACAGAATGAGGTTTGCGCGTGAAACTATTGAAGTTTTGTCGCGCTCCGGAAGCAGCCAACGAAGTCTGCCTTAAATCGTGCCGAGATCCAAAAATTGACAATGATGTAAAATTGGCTTCAATGACGTTTGCCGAGGATTAAATCACTATCCGGAAAACAATTAAAAAATGCTTAATGCACGCGCCCAACAGCTTGTCGACGCGAATAATAGAAAAATAAAGTCTTGACCAGTGAACTAAATCGTTTCTCAGGATGCTTTGAATTGACTGGGTGAGGATCATAAAGGTATTTCGCTTTCACATTCTTGTGTCCACACTTGATAGAAAAGGGGGGCTGGACCTTCATTCCATGACTTAATTCTTAATTTATTCTATTATGATTTAACTTACCTGCTCCACCCACATGTTGGTCGTCATGATCTGGTTCTTCAGATTCTGAAAGAAAACAAAACAGTCATTATTATTTGAAAAGCTCGAAAAAAAAAAGCGAAATCGGTGCAACAAACTCGTCTTTCCGACAGGTACTGAGACCATTCCCAGCTGATTTGTCCCGCCTGGTTGGGAGGTGGACAGGTTGGAGGAGAAAAAGACGAAACCAGGAGAACAAGGGTGAGGTGAGGGGTGGGGGCACGGCAGAAACGGATCCTGGTTTTCCCAGGAAGCCCATAGGGAAGAGACAGACGATTTCCAGGGAGTTCCTGGGAAAACCAGGAACCGTTTTTGCCGTGGGAAGAAAGGGAACAAACAAGGGCAGAGAGAAGAGAGAAACACAGAATGGGAGACGATGAGAGGGACAAAGGACACGAAGAACGGGGGTGGAAGAAGAAGAAGAAGAAGAAGAAGAAGAAGAAGAAGAAGAAGAAGAAGAAGAAGAAAAGAAGAAGAAGAAGAAGAAAAGAAGAAGAAGAAGAAGAAGAAGAAGGTAAAGCGAAGGGCGCCGCACCTCAATCACGTTCTCGGCAAATATTGCGACAACTGTTTGCTTTTCATTAGCGACAGAAACAACGGCCCACTCGCATAGACGGACGGCAAGGCAGCAGTTGCAGCTCGCTGTTTATTTGCCGCGCTGACTTGACCTGATCACTGCAGAGGCCGTGCTGCCTCCAGCAAACGACCAGGGACACTGTTACAAAGACTAGCGAGTCTGCACTCTCTAAACAATAACTGACCCGACTACTGCGACTACTACGTTCTAAGACGCCTCAAAATTACCTAGATTTAGCCGAACAAACCCTTATATACCTCAATATAGGTACAGTTCTGAGAATTTTTGCTATTACGTGAACTACGACGCATCCTTGTTACAGATGGAGTGACCCAGCAATTACGCGAGTGCATTGCCCCTCGGCTGATTCCGTAAAGGGTTCTCGGCAGGCTGCGTTGCGTCGCACAAGACGCTGCAGTAAGAATGCGAGAGAGACCTGCCGCTCAGAATCAGGCCGGGACGGGGAGGGAGCAGAGGGAGCGACGTCGCGTGGATTCCAGCCATTAAATTTTCAGGCCACACTGTGCGGCCGGTGCAGCGCGGTAGTGTAGTTTGAGGAGGTCCTGGAAGGATTACCAACTTAACGCAGAGGCCGCCGCCGCGTGACAGCGCTTCCAACAGTGCCACTATTCATCTCTGCAGGCCGTAGCCGGGCGTAGCCGGGCGTGGCCGGGCGGCCGGGCCGTTGCCGAGCGAAACTTTCCAGGCCTTGGCGCTGCTGCACAGTGGGCCAGAAGACCGGTGGAGGCGGACCAAACTCTGGACGCGTTTTGAGCTCCAGAGTCGCTAAACGAGACTCGAACGGAACGTGTGACCCCACCAATGGATTCCTCGTTCGTAGAGCAATCCATTGGTGGGGTCACACGTGCGGTTCCGAGCGACTCTGGAGCTCAAAACGCGTCTTGAGTTTTGTCCACCTCCACCGGTCTTCTGGCCCACTGTGCGCTGGCGGACTGGCGGGCAGGGTGGGAAGGTGAGGAGGGCGTCTCAGTCAAAGTTGGCACGGTCCGGCGCCACGCTTGCTGCCCTGGGTATTTTAGTTGAGCACAGCGCCGCTCCGTGAAGCCCCGCTGGCCCGGGCCGGATTAAATGTAACGGACTTTTGAAAGAGGGCGGGCTAAACTGACTGATATTACTGTCAGGCGGGCGGCCCACACCCTCGACCCGTTCTTCCCAACAGGACAACTTGACCTTGTCTTGGGTGGCAGTAGTTTCTTTTTCAATTCAGGCATTTTTTGCATACCGCAAGTGCGGTAAACTCACGGCACCGCGTGGGGTGGCCGGCCCTGCGCCGCCCCTGTGCCGCCCCTGCTGGCGAACAGGTGCTTGCTCTCACTTGACAAGACCACGGAGGCCTCGGGGGGCAGCGCCGGCAGCGCCTGCCGCCTGTTCCTCCCCTCGTCCATCTTCCTCTCGGGGGCTCCACAGTGCGCCAGGAGACCAGTGGAGGCGGCCAAAATCCTGGACGAGTTTTGAGGTCCGCAGTCGCTAAATGAGACTCGAACCAAGCGTGCCGCCCCACCAATGAATTGCTCGTTCGGTCTGAAAGCACTCGATTGGTGGGGTCACACGATGGGTCCGAGTCGATATATCGACTCTGAAGCTCAAAACGCGTCCGGGATTTTGACCACCTCCACAGACCCACTGTGTGCCGTCAACCTCAATCTTCTTCGTTACAACAAGCTGCCTTTCTTTGAAAGGTCCCCAAGTAGTTTGTTAGGTTTTCTCAGTGTGTAGCCCGTTTGCTTACACGATGGCACCCTTACTCACCACTTCTATAAGCTGCGACAGCCTGAGGCCCATGCGTACGGTCAGCCTGTCCGAGTTGTTGCCGACGGGCCTGATGAGGCGATTGTAGTTGCTGAGCAGGTCGTCGTAGAGCCTCTTGGCGTCGGAGTTAGCGGCGCCACGGCCAACGCACAGCACGCTCATCACAGCAACCAGCAGCGCCGCCAGCAGCCAACCCATCTTAGGCCTGGTCCACCCCTGCAACACACAAGCACGGAAACGGTTAGGGCGGTGCACTGTTTTTGTTTTTGCCGATTATTACGACACATTGGCATCAGCAAAAAGGACGAAACGCAGAGGAATTTTCCGAACGATAGTATTTTCGTTTCCTATAGCGAAGTTGGTACTTTTACCATCCACAACCGTAAAGTAGAAATACAATTCTTTTTAAAATTAAACTAATAAATAAAGTGGCCTGCCAACTGCCGACGTAAATCCTCCATCGTGGGAATAGTTTTTCGTCCTCGCTTCTTTGCGGTGTATCTCCTCACTCCTGCTCCCCGACACGATTCCTGGCCGCCCCCGCGGTATTCCTCTGCGGTTTCCCTGGTTCCACGGAGGAGCTCGAAGCCCGAAGGCGATAGAACAGCGAACTTTTGCTGGCAACAGAACAGATGGAGACGCACTGCCATCCCGCCCGAAGCAAAAGGGCATCCCCCTCCCTCTCTCTCTCTCTCTCTCTCTCTCTCTCTCTCTCTCTCTCTCTCTCTCTCTCTCTCTCTCTCTCTCTCCACTCCGCGACCCACGATGCCACAGCCACCAAGTCGAGGACCGCGTTTGAGGCAGCGCGGCGGAAAGCGATTTTGACGAATGACAGACAGAAAAAGGCAGGGCCTGTTTTGGTACGACGCATCCGTATGGTTTAGCTCGAACTCCGGAACTCTTAAGCATTTGCCATTTTACGTTGAGGAATCTATACAGGACCTGCAATCATTTTGGCGAAGATCATTTGTGGCCTGCATTCTGTATTACCTGAGAAAACCAGGAGCCTTTTATGCCGAGGGGGGAAACTTGTAAAAATGAAAGCCCGCAATCAGCGGCGGCGGGGGCTATCTCTCGGAAGCGCTACTCGACTGCAGTCGGATGGAGGGGGGAACGGGTGCGGGGCTCTGGCGGTCTCGGCTGGGCTGCTGGGGACGGGCCAAATCACGCCCCTCGCAGCCTCGCACGGCGCTACTTTTTACTGCACACGCCTTCGGTCCTTCGGTCCCTCGGCCCTCCGGTCGTTGGCAGGAGTGGTTGCGCCCCACAGCAGACTGATTCCGGGAGTCCTTTTCGTCGCTCTGCCTCTCTCGCACCGACACGGAACGCCCCATGAGTGCGAGAGAGACGGAGCGGCGTCGACGACTCTCAGTATCAGTCTGCCGGCTCCGCTGAGAGTCGATTTCGTCGCGTTGTCTCGCGTCCCCGGCGGACGCCCTGGAAGCGCGAGAGAGACGGAGCGGCGAAAACGACTCTTGGACTCAGCCGAAAGCCGAGACCGTCCCTTCCATCAGCCGAAGGCACTCGTCGCTCATCGCAGCCCGTTACCAGCGCCAGCGTGGCCAGATGGGGCGATCAGTACCCCGGGGACAGTGGGGACACGCTAACGCCAAAATCGCTGTCCATAAGGGGGGAGGGGGAGAGGGGAGGGCACGGACGGGTAGGAGGAGGAGGAAGAGGAGGAGGGGAAGGGGAAGATCCTGCCATTCCAAGGCACGCACAGTGGGCCAGAAGACCAGTGGAGGCGGACAAAACTCCAGACGCGTTTTGAGATCCAGAGTCGCTAGATGGGACTCGAACCGAGTGTGTGACCCCACCAATGGATTGCTATCCGCACGAGGAATCCATTGGTGGGGTCACACGTTCGGTTCAAAGCCTGTTTAGCGACTCTGGAGCTCAAAACGCGTCTAGAGTTTTGTCCGCCTCTACCGGTCTTCTGGCCCACTGTGGCACGCCTGCAGGCGCCCGGGAGGTAGGCAAACCATTCAGCTCGCCGACCATGCGGGCTTGCCTACTCTCTCCATGGCAGGCGCCCTGCGGACAGCCCGATTCAGAGAGCCGTTTTTATCGCGCTGTCTCTCTCGCACTCATGGGGCGTCCCGTGTAGGTGCGAGAGAGACAGAGCGACGACTCTCGGAATCAGTCCACCGAGAAGCGGACGCCTCTTTACCTGTTCGGTGCGTCTGCCTTGGCGCCTCCGGTGCGAAGAGAAATAAAGGGAACAAAAGGGGAGACTGCGAGAAAGCAGGGAGGGCGAGAGAGAAATAAGCAACAGGGAAAAACAAAAAAGGAGAGAAACAAAAAGGAGGCCCAAAGACAGTGACCCCTCTGGAAAAGGTCCGGCAAGAGGGGAAGGGGGGGGGGGGTCGCTGAATGTGGACGGCTGCAGCTCAAGGGCCTGAGAGAGGTACGTACTGCGTGCCACGGACCACCTCGTTGGCCCCTCGTTCCCCTCGACACCCTTCTCTCTCTCTCTCTCTGCCTCTCTCCTCCTCATGCTCTCTCTCGTCTCCTCGACCTCCTCTCCTCTCTCTCTTCCCCTCAGCACTGCTGCCTTGGCTTCTGCGGGCCGCAGGTCAGTAAGGACACAACGTTTGAAGAAAGAAAAAGAGCGTTCACTGTAATTTAAAGAATAAAATTCCTTCTCAAATAAGCGTACGAAAAGAGCCGCGCCGCCCAAAATTTGTCCGAATAATTACAGTGTGATGGACGATGCGGCTTCCCCCTGTTGCCTCCCCGATTTAGACGGAAGAATTGGCGGGAAGGCGCGGCAAGGCGCGGCGCGCTCCGAGGCCCAAGGCTTCCCGAGAGAGGCGGGGCTGTCGGCGGATTTTATGTGCGCAGAAATGGCCAGCCTGCCTATGTAATTACAAGGATCATTTTTATAGAACGGTTGGCCGATGTGGCCGGGTGGCTGGGCGGGCGGGGATGAGCAAGAGCCAGGCCCACAGTGGGGGGAACCAGGCCCAGACTGGTGGAGGCGGACAAAATTCTAGACGCGTTATGAGCTCCTGCGGACTCGAACCAAACGTGTGACCCTACCAATGGATTCCTCGTTCGAAGAGCAATCCATTGGTGGGGTCACACGTTCGGTTTGAGTCCCATTTAGCGACCCTGGAGCTCAAAACTCGTCCGGTATTTTGGCCGCCTCCAACGGTCTTCTGGCCCACTGTGCGGCCCGTGGGCTCTGAGGGCGTCTTAAGGGCACGCAAGGGCGGGCAGCGAGTTTGCCGAGCGAGTGGGCGTGGCGTGGCGGATGCAAAGAAGACAAAAAGCAACAACAGCATTCGCGCCAGAGTGGAATAAGCCCCAGTCATTTCCAAACAACGAAGTCCAGAAAGACGCGACACCGTAATACGAAAAAGGTCAAATGGCCCTTCACGCATTCGAAGTCACATTCTTGGAACCAGTGACGGTAGAACGAAACTTCAGCGAGGCAAATCATTGGTCCTCTGGAAGAATTCACGAAACAGTGCCGCGAGGCGCAGCCGTCACTCAAAAACTAATAACTGCGTTCGCGCTTATGCAAGGCGGACCCGAAACGGCGTCAAGCTGCTCTATCGCTCTCGTAAGAGACCCGCAGGAGTGCGAGTGAGACGCGGCAGTGGAGGTGCAGTTGGGAATCAACCTGCTGCAGGCTGGTGCCGAAAATCGCTTCGTCGCTCTGTCTCTCTCGTGCTCATGGGGCATCCCGCGTTGCGAGAAAGAGAGAGAGAGAGAGAGGGGGGGGGGGGCAAAAACGACTCTCGGAATCAGTCTGCTGGCTGGCAGGTGGGACGGAATAGCTCTCCCTTCTCTATTGCGAAATTCGCGAGGCACGCCGCTCGACAGGGCTCCTCGACAGGGTTCCTTTGGGATCGGCAATAAAAGATGCGACGCGACCTGACACGGCACCTCCACTGTGGAAATGGAGTGAGATGTAGGGCACCGACGTGCAGCGGAGCAGATCAGAGGCCGTCGGGTATTTCCCAGTGCGGGCACACATTAAACTTCCCTCGTGCCAACACACTAAATGTTTGCCAAATAAACTCTAAAAGGTTTGTGGCGTACTTACAAGTCACATGATGGGTTCCGTGCATCCTCTGCGACATTCCTGTAACAAAAAAAGTGAAGACATGAGTACAGGTTTGCGGTTCACAAACAGGGAGCGACGGCTGTTTAAAAAAAGCGCCTGCAGCATAGGCCAGCCCGCCTCACATCGAAGTCACTTTGTTGCCTATCCCACGGATCGCAGGCGGTAGAGAGCGCCTGCAGCATAGACCAGCCCGCTTCACAGCAAAGTCACTTGGTTGCCTATCCCACCATTTCAAATTGCCGTTACCATTAAATGGTAGACCACAAAAAGCCAGGAACTCCCTGGAAATCGCCTATACCTCTACCACAGGCTTCCTAGGAAAACCAGGTACCGTTTTTACCGTGCAGTGGCGCCAGTGGCAGGGGATCGGAAGGAAAGCATCGGGGTGAGGTGGTGGCGACTGATGTCTTCATTGGCGGCCAGGCTAGAGGCCGTCTTTCATTTTGAATCAGAGCACCGACGCGGCAGCCGCGAACATGACAAGAAAACGCAAGGGGAAGAAAAAGGCCGAACCAAAGAGAGAAAGTGAAAAAAAAAGAAACAAGAAAATAAAAGAAAGGCGAGAGAAGGTCAGAGAGACGACAAAGGGGAGGCCGTGGACCTGAAATGAGTAAAGAATAGGACGGGAACAAAACGGGGTGCCCTGCAGCAGACTGATTCCGAGAGTCGTTTTCGTCGCTGTCAGTCTCTCTCGCACTCATGGGGCGTCCCGTGTAGGTGCGAGAGAGACAGGGCGACGAAAACGACTTGGTCCGCGCGGCTCGGCCTGGCCCGGCCTGGCCCCTGGGCACTTGAGGGAGATCAATGGCCGGGCGATCCCGGTGCCGGCGATCACACCATCACCTTTACAGCTTGTGTAACAGGTGCAGGGCAGACAATCTCGCGCGCCCGTGACAACAATGAATAGATCCTTGTCATCCAGCGAAAGGGGGCGGGGCCGCGCGAATCAGTCAGGCCTGCCAACCCGCCATTGTTGCCAAAGCTCCGTCGTTGCAGGGCTACAGTGGGCCAGAAGACCGGCGCAGGCGGCCGAAAGACCCGTCTTGAGCTCCAGAGTCGCTATCCAGGAGTCGAACCCAACGTGTGACCCCACCAACGGATTGCTCGTTCTGTGAGTCCCTTTTAGCGAATCAGTTCAGACAACCATCCTCAACATGAGATGTGCAAGTCTAAAATCGCGTATCCCCGCAAACGAAACTCAGGAGAAATTAATGTCAATCAATTTTTACTCCTTATCAAGATCAAAGTATGCACAGAGCGACGTCCTGCGGTCGACTCTTTGCTGCGGCCTTTTTGAATGGTGAGGATGTTGGGGCCGAGAAGATTTTTAAGCTGCCCCGCGCTACAGCGTTGTCCGTCCCTGTCTGAGGACACAGAGCCACGCGCTATTTAACTTTGGCAGGAACAAATACGCTGCGCAACCTACCACCCTCCCCCTCCTCTCTCTCTCTCTCTCTCTCTCTCTCTCTCTCTTCTCTCTCTCTCTAGCCGGTCGTCTGTTGCCGTCCCCTTCCCGAATCCGCTTCCTACAGAGAGGGTCAGTCAGCACTGTAAAAACAAAATGGTGTCGCAATTTTGCAGCAAATTTGTTGCTATCCGGAAGTCAAACCCCGGAGATGTCTAAAAAGCCCCACTCAAGATTTATGCCCGTAAGAATGACCAGATTGTTCAGAAAGAAGAAAAATATTGTTTTAGAACAGTATGATTCGCTATAAAATTAGCAACAAACGCGTCGTCTACGACCAAAAGAAAGCTAATTTATCAATAACTTCGGCTTTGTTCTTGGATATTGCGTTGGTGGCAGCCTTTTCCGACAGTGCATGGTACCCGGGGGGATGTCTGCTGGCCTGTTGTTGTCTGCGTCCCGAACACAAACCCCGCTGTTCCCGCCAAGAGGACGCCCTGAGGACGCACAGCCACTGGCTCAAAATGGACGGCATGGAGCGTTACACTGTCCATTATTACATTAAGTCAAGTCCCCCCCCACAAGCGACTTCCACCAAGAAAAAGTCGGAACTGAAAAAAAGCATAAAGAAACTGATTTATTGCTGTACCAGGTCTTGGCTAGCTGGACTAAGGCAATTAAGGTTTTAATCCGACGTTTTATTTTAATGATTCTCCCTCCCTTACTCTTTGCATCCTCTTCGCCTCTCTTCTCTCCTCTCTCTCTCTCTCTCTCTCTCTCTCTCTCTCTCCCCCCCCTCCCTCTCTCCCCTCTCTCCAGCTTGGCGGTGGGATGAATGTCACAGTGAAGTCCGTTTGGTTATTAATTTCCCTTTCGCAAAACGCGACCAAACAAATGGCATCGATTACTGAAGTTTCAAGTTCGGGCTTCGGGCTGAGTCGATCAAAGGCTGCAGTGGTCGGTGCGCCGCTAGGATGGCTTAGGCGGTGGCTGGCCCGCCTGCGCTGCGAGGCCACGGATTACTCTCCTTTATGTGCATCGGCTCGGCCCTACCAGCCCGGCCAGCCCAGCCTGCCCGGCCACCCCACCGACCGCAGCCTTTGGGAGTCACAAGCACGGGGCGGACAAAGACAGGCACGATGAAAACTAGTTGGTGTCAAACTGCTGCGAAATCAGGCAACTGTGGTCCGGGCGGTCGGCTGTGACAGTCGCTGGACGTGACCCCGGGCTGACAATGGCCCTGGTCAGAGCAAATGTCGCGAGGCGACGGAGCATGGGTATCAGCACGATCACTGTTAGGAAAGGTTGTCACCTTACAGAGACACAATAGTAAAGCAGCCGCAATAATGCTGTTGTTTAGAAACAAACTAACGTCTTAACGTCTAATTTTTTGAGTGACTCATGCCCGTTTAAATCCATCTTTTATTGCTTATAAGCAACCTGGTTACTCTAATCATGACCACTGCCACTAACAAAACCTTCTCCGAGTTCTGCGACGCGTGCATTGGCAGTAATGCGCAGAACCCGGAGGCACCGCTCTCTGGACAAAGGCCGGCTTCCTCGAAAAGGCGTTATCCGCTTCCCTTTGATAGTATTCGTCCTGAGCGAGCGGTAACGTGGCAATAACGGTCGAATTGATGACACGGTCCCCTCAACTCGTTACATTGTCGCGTTACGGCACTCAGGTGCAGGGAGCCCATCCCCGCCCATCGGGTGCACTGCCAACAAAACTAAAGACGAAAATTTCTGGCAATTCGGCCGTTTCAAATTGCGAGGTCTATGCTCTCCGGACCGCAAACTTGTCAACCCTATCCTTGGCGCTAACGAAGAGAACTCCTCGATTGCGGTACGGAGACGAGAGCGGCCGAGTTTCCTTCGTGCGTTTAGCGGCGCAGCCAAAGCCAGTGCGCGCGTCACACGTCTGGTTTTATTACGGTGAGGAAAACCCGGACGGCGAGGGTGGGAGTGACCGAGCGGGGCTTTCCGGAAACCGGAGCAAGATGTATTCGGGCTGCGGGGGCGGAGAGGGTCCGGGGTCTGGATCCGGAGACTGTGGGTCCGGAGACTGTGGGTCCGGGCAGTGGTGCGACGCCTGCGACGTCAGCGTGGTGGAGGGAACAGAGAGTAAATTGATATCTGATTTCACCGTCGACAGCGGCCCAGAGCCTACTGCGTGGGTGGCTCCAGAAACGGGTTACGTGTGTGTGTGTGTGTGTGTGTGTGTGTTTGTGTGTGTGTTTGTTTGTGTGCACATGAGAAGTTGCCTACTATCACAGGGGCAAAGTGTGACTTTTGACACCCTCACACAGTGCCGCCCCCCATCTCTCTCTCTCTCTCTCTCTCTCTCTCTCTCTCTCTCTCTCTCTCTCTCTCTCTCTCTCTCTCTCTCTCTCTCTCTCCATGGATTCATGCCTGACACACTGACGCGGGACGGACGGGCAGTGAAGGAGTGGTCACGGTCGCCCGACAGTCCCTGGGACAGCCCGCGCCGCGCCACTGCCACTCGGACCCCGAACGGAGAAAATGGCGGGCAAGGGCGGTGGGGAAGAGCGGCCCGGACCTCTTAGATAGATTCGCGCGGACGCCAGCCGCCCTGACGCGGACGCCGCGAACGCCACCACAAAGTTGCAAGGATGCTGCATGGAACGCATTTCTTGTGGTCACGACGGTGAAAGAGGGAGGAGGGGGGCTGAAAAATATAAAAAGGATGAGGCCCCGGCCAAGCAGAATGGTGATGGGTCCCTAGGCTCAAGATGGATGGCTGGTCATTCGACGTCGATGCGATGTCTGACGCGTCCATCGGCTTCGTCCTCGTCTTGTTCAAACTGCACCCACCGCAGGAATAAAACAAAGTGATAAAAAAAAAGGATTATGTCAACGAAATCTCGAAGGAGCACGCTTAAAACAAGCATTTTGAAGAGGTACGAACTATTGAGTTTGTTGAATAAAAAAGCAGGAAATTACGGGTTTTTCTTGGTCTGCTCAAGTGCTTTGCCACGTATCACAGGCTACTTTTGTTTGTAAGGTTGTTAGTTTGAAAGATTTCGAGTACCGGAGTGGGCTGCTCTGGTTCCGCGGCGCCCGTTCCTAACCTTACCCTACTGTACCGGCCGGGCCCCACCGAGGGCCCCGCTGAGGGCCCCGCAGCCCGGCCGTCGTGGCGCAACGTCGGTGCAATTGGATTTCAGAGCGCAGGAGTGTTAAATAAACATAGGGTGAAATGAGCCCTCGGAGAAGGGCGCGGCGTGGGCGAGGCTTGGCACGGCACAGTGGGCCAGAAGACCGGTGGAGGCGCCCAAAACTCCAGACGCGTTTCGAGCTCCAGAGTCGCTAAACAGGCCTCGAACCGAACGCGTGACCCCACCAATGGATTGGTCTCCGAACGAGGAATCCATTGGTGGGGTCACACGTTCGGTTCGAGGCCTGTTTAGCGACTCTGGAGTTCGAAACGCGTCTAGAGTTTTGGCCGCCTCCACCGGCCTTCTGGCCCACTGTGCGCGGAGCGGAGCGAAGGGTGTGGCCTGGCCTGACGGGCCTAGGCAGCCATCAATATGCACGCGGCTCTATGTCAACATGAATTATGCATGGCTCACCTCCGGACGCAAACAAATCAATCCCATCAAAGGCGGAAGGGCAGAAGGCCAGAAAAGAATCGCCCAATCAAAACCATGGGCGCGCTGCAGCGGATCGCCCGCGCTGTCATCGCTCCGTCTCTCTCGCCACCACGGGGTGTCTGGTTTGGGTGGCAGAGAGAGACAACGATCGACGGTTTTGGAATCAGCCCGCCGGCAGCCCATTCGAAACGCGCAATTCAAAGGTCACATCCACCCAGCGGGCCCCTCCAAAAGGCTAGATTTGAAAGAGATCAGTCGGCGGAATTATCATACCGAGAGTCCGAAACGAGGAAAGGGGGTTGAAAGGGTCTGAAGCGCTGATGCTGTGAAAAAAAAAAAAAAACTCGTGAGCCTGAAGCATATGGTTCAAGTTCTACAGAAATTTGGCCAGACAGCAGACACAAATCATAAGGGAAGAAAAGAAAAGTTACACGAGGTAAAAGGCTTTGTTCACTCCAAAGTATTTACCTTCGCACTGACGACAACATTTTTTCACACAGGTGCATAGTTTGAGCAAAGTGTGCATGTGTTCCACGCGTGCTGACAACAACGCAAGCGTCTCGTCGAAGGCATTGATTGACCTTCACTGCGACCCTGCGTGTGGTTTATTGGGTCGCACGGTCAAGCGGAAGGGAAGGAAGGGAGGCAGGAAACCCCCCCCCTCCTCCTCCCCCCTTTCCTTTCCCTCCCCCTCCCCCTTTTCCAGCCCTCTTTACCTTACCAGACCACCACGTGAGAACCGGCACCTGAGAGCTGGCGGTTCACAGTGGGCCAGATGACCGGTGGAGGCGGCCAAAACTGTAGACGCGTTTTGAGCTCCAGAGTCGCTAAGCAGGACTGGAACCGAACGTGTGACCCCACCAATGGATTCCTCGTTCGGAGAGCAGTCCATTGGTGGGGTCACACGTTCGGTTGGAGTCCTATTTAGCGACTCTGGAGCTCAAAACGCGTCTAGAGTTTTGGCCGCCTCCGCCGGTCTTCTGGCCCACTGTGCGGTGGGGCCCACGGCCTTTCCCCTCTCACTCGCACACGGGCGGGCCCCCCTCCGCCAGCAGTCACTCTTTCCCGCTCTCTCATAGGCGCGCGGCCAAAGGGAAGCACAGTTTCCCTCTCGCTCGCACAGGGGGCAAAAAACGCAGTAATGACCCACTTGTTCTGAAGGGCGCGCCTGGCCACGTCAGTCCACGTGCACGGAGGCCTGTACACGTGGAAGCACTTTGGAAACAATTTGGAAATGTGATGACCTTCTTTGCTTTGGGTCTTGAGGTTGCTCCAGCCCTGACGACCACCCAATGGGTGGTCCAGGCAGCGGTTTGATGTGAAATGGCCGTTTTAGCTGCACATTCCCTTCTCATGTTTCCCTCTCCTTCTAGCTACGCAATAAAACAGTCGTACCGGGACAGAAAATATAGTTTGCCTTTGCATGCAATGCAAAGGAAGTGTCATGTCGGCACAGATGAACTTCTTTGCGAGTAGAAAAGCCAAAAAAGAAAAAAAACTAACTTTGGACGTTTTTTACTTTTTTCCGCTTCCTTAACTCTTTTATGCCAAAGTACGGAATTTTTAAGTATGGATCTACGATCGAAATCGTATCTCACTTGTCATGTCTCGTAAGAGAATAGGACCTATTCGTCGGTTTTGGGGACGAAAACAAAATAACAAGAGTCCGTCGTTCAATCTGAAGGGTGCCACGCCGGACCGTGGCTACAGTAAACACTTCCGTACCATCGCCCAACCAAAAGCTGCACACACATGCTTCAGTCACGCAAACACACATATACTCCAGCCACACACACACAGAGGGAATGTGAAGTACCCTTCCGCGCACCATGTGACTCTGCACTCTCACACAGTGGGCCAGAAGACCGGTGGAGGCGGCCAAACTCCCAAGCGCGTTTTGAGCTCCAGAGGCGCTAAATAGGACTAACGGGGTAACACCACGTTCGGTTCCAGTCGTATTTATCGACTCTGTAGCTCGAAACGCGCTAGGGAGTTTGGCCGCCGCCACCGGTCTTCTGGCCCACTGTGAACTCTGGTCGACGTAAATACACAAGCCGAAACTCCTGCACCTTTTGCTAGTCGCGGACAAACAAAGACACCTATCCGTGTTTGTCCCGGCAACCCGGCCGTCGCTGGATGACGAGTTATCTGGGAGGGGAGTATTGTCTTCGATACGTGACAAACCACAGCCCCGGGGGCGAAGGGGGGCGAGGGATAGCCCGGGGCTGCTCGACGTGCCCCCTTTGAAGGAGAAACTTTTTGTTGACGTTTGAGTGAGGATTGGCACCGAGTCGGGGCAGGCACAGCTTTCTTTTATCTCTGTCTCGTTCTGTCCCCGTGCACGGCGCCGTGGCTGCAGCTGTCTCTCTCAAAGAGGCTCTCGAGTCAACACCTAACTGAGAACATTGGGGGCGGTGGACAGGCGCGGCAAAAGCACTCCATGACAGAGGGTGACAAACGGAATTTCTCGTTCGAAGAAAAGCATCGTTTCTTCGAGCATTGGCTAGGTGTCACCTCAGAGCTTTTCAAAGGAAAAAATCATTTTAGATTCCTCTGTAGCAGGTCTGCTTCGCGTATGACTTATCAAAGTGCTCATAGCCCTACGTGTTAAATTAATTTCAAGATTCTTAACACGGAAACGAAAAAAAACTCACCCTAGTTTGAGTAAGTTTTGAAAATCGACCAGCTAAATTCATTTCACAGGAATAAATTTGTCTCGACGAGACAATCGAAAAAGGTCAGCACACGCCTCGTGGGTGGGAAGTAAATAGTAAATGCCCTTTCAAATCGAACAAGGTTTCGGCGCCCGTTTGCCAAGGGCACTCGATTTCATTGTGTGCCCACGTACAGACGGACATACCGCACGCAGCCTGTCCTTGTCACAGGCGTGCCAGGGCCGGCAGGGTGCCCTCAGCAGGCAGGCAGCCAGGCAGGCAGGCAGCCAGGCAGGCAGCCAGGCAGCCAGACAGCCTGGCAGGCAGCTCGCCCCGCGTTCAGTAGCACGCTGAGGCACTGGCGGAGCGGACCCCGTCGACACGCGAACCACGCGGGAACCCCACCACAATGTGACGCAGAGCGTGACACACCGAGGCAAATGACATGAAAAACTTGACCGGAGACTGCTTCACCAGACCAGGATGGCAGCGAGGACCAAGAAGGACATCATCGCCCAGGTGGCGTCCGAGTACATGGAGCAGACGTCGCTTCACGGATACCGCTACCTCACTGAACCTGGCCGCCATTGGTTTGAAAGGTAAACATCAGGCATACGTGGGAGGGGGAAAGAGAAATTTGCAGTGTCTCCACGGAAACGTTTAAACGTTTCTGGGAAGTGACGGGTGGTGAAAATGTATTCCACTCAGTGGCGTGGCCGCGTCGCATCGTTTCGGCTCGCTCGCCACCCCTCCGTCTCGAGCGAGAAAACTGAATTTGGGTCGAGGAGGCGCGAAAAGAGAGCAGTCACCGATCCACTGGCGGCCAGGCCCCGGCCGAGCCCGCGGCGTCCGAGGGGGCAGTAAAAAAAAAGAAGAAAAAATGGACGGTCCCGACACGGGAATCGCTCTGGATAATGGACTTATAGCCGACACCAATACAAAATGAGGTTAGAGGCCTGATCTCTCTCTCTCTCTCTCTCTCTCTCTCTCTCTCTCTCTCTCTCTCTCTCTCTCTCTCTCTCTCTCTCTCTCTTCCCCCGGGGGAAAAGGGGTGTGCGAGAGGGGTGGGGTCGTGCAGGGGCGCAGTGGGGAGGGGGTAATTACCCCGAGGCTGACCCGATCGTCTACAGAGACGCCGCAAAACTCCACCACGCTGAAAGGGGGGGGGGTGGAATCGTCGTGGAAAAGGCCCCGTCGGAATGACCGCAGCACCGCAGCTCGGCAGACTGATTCCGAGAGTCGTTTTCTGTCTCTCTCGCACTCGAGGGACGTCCCCTGTAGGTGCGAGAGAGACAGAGCGACGAGAGCTACTCTTTGAATCGGTCCGCCGCGGAGGCCGACGCCGAGTTGCGGCCTTCTGCTCCGCTGGCGGCGGAATAGTTGAGAAATATCGGGGTCCAAGTTCTCTGGAAGGCCTCGCGGCGTTTCGTGGCGTTTCCTCGGGGATCGGCCGGACTGGCGAGTGGCGGCGTTGGTCAAGGCTCCCCGCACGGACGCCGACTTCGATGAGGGTCCTTATACTCTGAATGTAGGGTGCCCAGAAACTGGGCGCCTTTGTCGCCCGCCCCACTTTTTAGGGTGCCAAATGGCGCCCAGTTTCTGGGCACCTTTGTCGCCTAGTCTCGGGGTGGACAAACCATTAAGGAACCTGCCTTCACTCCATATTTAGAGTGTATTGGTGGAGTCGAACGCGATGCGAAACCCATCCGGCTTACGGAATGTCAGCTACAAGTGGGGATTAGATCTGCGAGCCTCTCCGCTGAAGGACGTTTAAAAAATATGATGCCCGAAAAGAAAACATTGACAACACGGGGAGGGCCGACCGGCGTGCGCGGGATGCTGAGTGTCCTGCGGATACGTGACCAGTGTCCGCCCCTCGGCCCCTCGGCCCGCTCGGCCCCGCTCGGCCCTGAATGGCAGTCACGAGAAATTACTCCATTCATATATCTCGCGAGGGCCTTCCTGGCCTTGCTCTGCGTCTGACAGCTTGCGTGTGCGTCCAGCATGTGGCCGGCCCGCACAGTGGGCCAGAAGACCGGTCGAGGCGGACAAAACTCTAGAGACGCGTTGGGAGCCCCACAGTCGCTGAACAGGACTCGAACCGAACGTGTGACCCCACCAATGGATTGCTCTCCGAACGAGGAATCCATTGGTGGTGTCACACGTTCGGTTCGAGTCCCATTTAGCGACTCTGGAGCTCAAAACGCGCTCAGAGTTTTGTCCGCCGCCACTGGTCTTCTGGCCCACTGTAGCCCGCCGCAGCCCGCCCCAGCAGGTCCCCAGGGCACGGCTGGACTGTGTCCAGTGGGCCTGGCAAGACCAACGGACAGTTTTCTTCGTGAAAGGTTTCACCTTAGTTTCAGCAAACCAGCGCCGCACACTATAACTGCCGATGGACTTTTTGTCTACGACAATGTCAATCTGTGCATATGTAAGTTATATACAACGTCATAAGTAAATGAGGTACAGTTTTATAGATGCTTTTGCACAATTTGAAAAAAAAAGTAATAATTTGAAAAAGAAAAAAAAACTGTTTCCAAGAGAACACGGCTTCTGTATGGTCAAAGAAAGGAATGAAGCACTATTTGGCTGTTTTGGCAACACATCCGGGAATCGGAACGGCCGTATGGAGGCACAACGGGCCCTGCCTCACATGGCTTGGCTGCGTCGCCCTACCCGTTCCCGCTCTTCCCCGGCCATCTACAGTACATTCCCCTCGTGTACCAGTTGTTTTCGAAGTCTGAGGAGCGCGGGAGCGCGGTAGGGGGAAGGGAGGGAGGAGGAAAACGGTGAGGAGCAGAAAATGACGTGACGGGAATTCGTCCCAGCCGGGCCGCCCCCGCCCCCTTCATCAGCCGCCCCCGCGTCCCCGGCCTCGCTCGGCGTGCCATCCGCGTCTTACGGGTTTACCCTCACCGTGCGCCCACCAGTACCCGTTTTCGAACAGACCGACGACTCACAGTGGGCCAGAAGACCGGTGGAGGTGGCCGAAATTCGCTACATTTTGAGCAAACGTAAACTCGTAAAGAAAGTATCTCTTAATTTGCGAGCAAACTTATTACTCACCAACAAAACACTCTTTGGATGAGCAGTTAGAAGGTTTAAAATACTGGGTAGGGTTTTAAGCTCGCGCAGTCCTCCCCCTCCCCCTTGATCTTCCCCCAGCCTCGTCGGGCTTCCACTCCACCATCCGATGCCCAGTCCGCAGCGCCGCATCCCCAACTTTGACAATCCGCGCCAAGGTCGTCCAAGGTCGTTCGACGACGCCCACTCGGGAAGGAAATACGCTGCGGCATGAAAACGGCCGCATTAACCTCGACAACCGCCTCACTAGTGGGACCAAAACTCGAGACGCGTTTCGAGCTCCAGAGTCGCTAAATGGGACTCGAACCGAACGTGTGACCCCACCAATGGATTCCTCGTTCGGAGAGCAATCCATTGGTGGAGTCACACGTTCGGTTCGAGTCCCATTTAGCGACTCTGGAGCTCAAAATGCTTTCGCTCACAAAAAAATTGCGTATCGACTTGATTGGTTGCTGCTTCCAGGCTGGTGTGGCTGGTGGTGCACGCGCTGGCCACTGCGGGCGTGGTGTGGCAGGTGCAGACCATGTACCACGAGTACCGCACCCAGGTGCCCATCACCACGGTGCAGTCCAGCCACTACCACGTCTCCCTGGTGCCCTTCCCCGCCGTGGCCGTGTGCGACATCAACAAGATGCGCAGGAGCAGGGTCGAGGCCCTCGCCGCCAAGCTGTACGTCTCCATGCACCAAACGCATTCAAAAAACAAGCGGAAATGCAGAGCAGCAAACGGCCTTACCGTGTCACCCCACCAATGGAATCCTCGTTCGGAGAGCAATCCATTGGTGGGGTCACACGTCCAGTTCGAGCCCCATCAAGCGACTCTGGAGCTCAAAACGAGTATAGAATTTTGACCGCCTCCACTGTTTTTCTGCCCCACTGCACGCCGCATTCAAATAAATAAAAAAATTAAAATTTACATTTCAAAAAATTTAACGGTAAGATTTTTTGATTTTTTTAAAAGTTTTTTTAAGTTTTTCTTTAATTGTTTTTTTAAAGGTTTTTTACTTTTTTTTAAAGTTTTTTTAAAGTTTTTTTATAATTATTTTTTTTGAAGTTTTTTTTTTAATTTCTGGTTCTTGTGGTGCTGCAGGATCCGAGAGTACGGCCTTGGCGGCATCTCACAGGCCGAGCTGACCAGCCTGATGCGCTACATGGGCCGCCTCTACGACGCCAGCCGGGAGGGCAAGGAGAGCTCCTCCAGGCTGCAGGACCTCTTCGCCAAGTACAACGTCACGCTGGAGTACAGGAGCACCATGCAAATGGTGCGTCAGAAAACTTCTTTAAAAAAATGGAAATGACGAGGGAACTGCACACTCGTTATTCGACGAATGTGACGTCATGTTCAAGGATGTCACGTTCGTCGGATCTTGATTTAACATTGGATTGGACATGATTCAAAAATTCACATTCTAACGAAAATGACCTTGGCCCTCCAGCTCGGCTCGCAGTGCGACGAGCTGCTCCTGGCCTGCAAGTGGGCGGGGAAGACCAAGCCGTGCATGGACCTGTTCGAGACGCGCAAGACCATGGACGGGTACTGCTGCACCTTCAACTACGTGCGGCCGAGCGACAACTTCGACACCAGGTGAATCTGTTTCCTGACTTTCAAATATTTCTGTGGCCATCACAGGCAAGTCTGTGTAGCATGACGGTTAGAGTGGAGGGGACGACAACGGTCAAGGTACGAGCTGGGAAGTCGCGGGGGCGACGGGGGGTGGTGGGGAGGGGGCGGTTGGGGGGGCGTTGCTAACCGCCGGCGGGCGGCTGTTTTTTGCCGCGACTCCCAACCGCAAGATACTTGCAATAAGGTTCTGCAAACTCATCAGAACCTCGTCGTGGCTTTGACGTTGGGGAAGGTCGGGCCGGTACAGCGCAGCAGCGTGCCCGTTTTTTCCCCTCGCCTCCTTCGAGGGTTAGTTAGCGCCTCAGTCCCCTCGGGATCCCGTGGGGCCCGGCCGGGCCAGCCGACACAGCCAGCAGGCTGATTCCGAGGATGCCTTCGTCGTTCTGTCTCTCTTGCACCCATCGGGCGGCCCGTAGGAGTGCGAGAGAGACGGTCCGACGAAAGCGGTCCTCAGCCACGAGCGCGCTGCACGCCCACAAGGCCAACCCTCGTGGCCGGGGAGTCAGCAGAGCCGGCAGAGCCGGCAGAGCCAGGGTTGTTGGTCTCTTCACGTCCTGCGGTCTGATGGCCGCAGTAATCTTCTTTACATTATCATGGGGCCGCCCTCCCACCACCTCGCCGAACAAAACCGCCCCTCGAAGCACCGCCTTGTGAACCTCCTCGCTTGTCACATGCACCACACAGTGCATCTCGGAATCGGAGCTCTTGTCATTGTTGCTGTTTTATCTTCCTAGTTCTTTCCTGCGTTTCAGAAAAATTTTGAAATTTGTTTTGAGTTCGTGGAAGTCCCCGTTCCTGTCTTGAGCGCCTTTTCCGCCGTCAAACTTTGCGACGTTTGACGACAAAACCTGTCTAAAACAGGAAGTAGAATGCAAAAGCGGTACACGATTCATCCAGTCCAATTATGACAATAGCGTATTCTCCGTCCAAGTCTCCATGACAATGTCCTTTTACGCCCTCTTCTGCAGTGTTCCTGACCTTGGAAACGCGGATATCTAAGTATTGGTCTGCGTAAATATGCACTTTCTTAGATTTGTATTTTCTATTTATTCCCGATGCAGACTTCTTGCCAACGGCTCCATTGCGGCAGCTAGACGGTAAGACGCGTCTGGGGCAGATAGACAGTTAAGATATTAGGAAAGGGAAGCTGGGACAGAATCAAAACAAACCACATTAAGAAAAACTACAATTTAAATTTTTTTTTTAAATGAAAAACAGATAAAAAAGTTTTTTAAGCCAACCTTCTTCCTGCCCCAACTTTCCTTTCTTTCCGACACCCAGCCTTCACAAAAAAGGGACTAAATAGAAATAGAACGTTTTCATTTTACCGAATAAATAATTCAAACGTGGCGGCTTACACAATAAAATATTATGCTAGCTGAATGCTTAACGCACATGCACCGTTTTGAATTTCTTGCAAGTCAGTAATTAAAATTTAGCTGCAGATAACTGCTGATTCGCACTCATTCCTTTCCCCTTTCACACCAAATACGGCCTTCATCTTGTCAATAATACCTAAGACGAATATAAATAACTTTCTGCTTCAAAATGGGAGAAACAGCTAAGACAAGTCTAGAAGTTTAATTTGTTGGACGCGCTTTTCAGTCACGACGTCAAGGACCACGATTCCGATCGCCCTCCCACAGAGGCGGAACAGTCCTTGACCGCAGGGCCCATGATGGGACTCTCCGTTCTGGTCAACTCCAACCTGTCTGAGTACTTCTACCCATTGCTTCCGACCACAGGTATAAAGGTGCGCCTTCACAACAATTACAGGAAATGGATATTCGTATGGATATGAGTATCACAGTAATGAGCTCATGCAAGTGAATTGTGCAGTTGCTCGTGTTCAACCCCAACGACTACCCGGACACTGCCAGCGGTGGTCTCATTGAGAAGCTTGTCATGACTCAGCAGGAGGTATTCTTCACCCTGAGCTCCGTCACGACCAAGCCAACCACAGAGGTACGTCCGGACAAAACGCACGGTGACGCGAGGAGCAAGTGAAAATGAATGGATTCCGACAGGTCCAAGACCTGCCCAAGAACCGGCGCAGTTGCCTGTTCAGCACGGAGGTGGCCTTCTCCAGCTTCTACTCCTACTCGGACTGCCTGATGGACTGCCGGGTACAGTCCATGCGGGACCTGTGTGGCTGCGTCCCCTTCTTCTCGCCCGTCAAAGGCAGAGAAGGTAATGCATTGCATCTTCTCCTCACCCTTCTTCTTCTTCCTCTTCTTCCTCTTCTTCTTCTTCTTCTTCTTCTTCTTCTTCTTCTTCTTCTTCTTCTTCTTCTTCTTCTTCTTCTTCTTCTTCTTCTTCGTCTCCTCCTTCACTTCCGTCCTGTGCACACATTTGAACCGTCAGTTCGATTGATTGCACACACGGGGCGAGGAGAATCCGGTTGGGGAGGGGAGCGCCTGCCTTTGCCTGCAGAGCCGTGCACTCACCGCGTTAAGCGAATGAGGGCTCTCGTGCCCGCACGGCTGGACTGAGCCGGAGGAGGGCGGGAGCGGCGGCAGTGGGGTGGGTCGTGCGTACCGCGTACATTCCGCAGCAGAAGAGTCAAACGTCCGTTCCAAAATATTTTATGAAAATAGGTTGCTAGTCTCGAAACCGCACGGGTGCAGTGTGACCGGCTGCATTAAATGAAAGCCCCTAACCCACTTTTTAGCGCAGTAGACCCGTTTTCACCTTTATGCCAGTGTGGTCGTAGAGACAACCGAGAAGAGAACCTTCTCTTCTACCAGAATTGCTTCTGAGGCGGGTAGCGACCTAAGGTCAAAGTGGGCCCAGCACTCTGGCAGGCTTGAGCGCCCGGATGCCTTTGTGATGCTCGCAAGTGTGGGCGTTGGCGCGGTACCGCATCGCATCGAAGTACGTCCCGTTTCGAATGACTGAGGTGAATGAAGGGTGCCCAGAAACTGGGCGACATTTGGCGCCATAAGAAAGTGTCGCGCAGTCTGCGACAAGGCGCCCGTTACGGGCATCCCAATAATGGGTCGTCGAAGCACCGCACGCGTGCAGAGACCGGTGATTAAATGGAAAGCCACTAACCTAACTTTTTTTTACGCAGTAGACACCTCTTTCACTTTATGCCAGTGTGCAGTCCAGTAGAGTACACACCGAAGAGAGACAAGAACAGCTCTTTCTTCTTCTCCAGAATTAAAATACTTCTGAGGTACGGGGTTACGCGAGTTTCCTGCTAAGTGATAAAAAGTGTGGCGCCCCGAAGCACTCAGATGGATTCAGGCTTTGCAGCGCCTCGGTGCCTTTGTGTTTGCTCGACGAAAGTGTGGCGCCGTCTTGGCGCGGTGCGGCGCATCCTCGAAGACGTCCCGGGGATTTCGGGGAACGTGACGTGAGGATGAATAATGAAGCGGGAATGGAATAAAGCAAACTCGCAGATTAACGCAGAAAGTATACAGCTGTCCGCGTCTGCGACGCAGGGCCTCTCGATCCTCTGGCAGCATTCCCAATATTTGGTGATTCGATTATAGAGCAAATCTGCTTGCCTTTGCAGAAGACACGAGGATGTGTGAGATCGGAGACCTCAAATGCCTCAACAAACATACCGGTAAGTGCTGCCGCCACCGTCGCTCTGGTCCATGATCCGTGCAACTCACCTGCAAACAACAGAGAAACTTAAATCAGTCACGCACGCCACACCTCAAGAAATCTCAAGTCCGCAAAATCTGAATGGTCACTGTATCTTTGAAAGCAAAAATGTTCGGTAAATTTGTGTCGTGTCCATTTTCAACAAAAATGAAATTTTCTATGTAAGACGCACTGGTGGTACAAAATCCTGCTTCAAAAATGATATATAATCCCGTAACCTTTTCAAGCGTGTATTCCACCAGCCAGTGCGATGCAAATTATGGGTTCAAATGCACAGGACACAAATGCATATCTCTTCGAACGTAATACGAAGAAAATGATGGAATTGCCTAACTTTTCTTCGTAGCCGTGAAGCTAATGCTTTGTGGGCCTTTTGAGCGCGTAAAGCAACAATAAATCGGTTACACCCATAAGCTTTTGGATTCACAACGGTGCTTGTTTCCGCTGTGCAGAAATGTGGCAAACCCTGCGACCCAGCGAGCCTCTGCGCGGCCTGGAGCTGGAGATGACTCAGTCCTTGGAGTGCAAGGACTGCTACCCCGCCTGCGGCGACACTGTGTACAGTGTGGAGACAACCACCATGCCCCTCCAGCAAGTGCTCATGGACCACTCCACCTTCCTGTGAGTGCGGGGCCGACGACCAGACACGAGCAGATTGTTTATCCCGATATTGCGTGAGAGAGAGAGGGGGGGGGCCTCAGTTCACTTCCCATCCTGCATTCGATACAGTCTGAGTGATTCAGTGTTCGAGAAAACGAACCTGAATGCTACTCTCGATGCTTGAACCAAATGCTGAAAACCAATGATTATTGCAGGAAGGGCTTCAAAGTGGCGAACCACAGTGTGTTCCACATTTTCTTCGGCTCCACGAGCCAAACTCTGATGAATAAGAGCGTCCGCATGGCTTGGCACGACCTCCTCAGTGAGTTTTAATTTCTTCTGCAATTTATGCGCTCAGCTCTACACTGATACTGAACTCAAAGAACAAATTAGACGAAACATTCAGATATTAGCTATCAAAAGTTAGAGATCAAGCCGCTGTAACTAAAACATTATTTAGGGCAGCTGATTTCTAATTGCATCAACTAAACTGTTGTTTGGGACCGCTGGAGACTACACGTCGGCTGCCAAAACTGTTTTTTGTTCCTGTTGCAGGCAACGTGGGCGGCATTTGCGGCGTGTTCGTGGGCTTCAGCGCCATGAGCGTCATCGAGTTTCTCTACTTCTTCACGCTGAGGGTGTTCGTGGCCCTGAGCAGGCGCAAGCAAGGCCTGGCCGCGTCCAGGGCGGGGCTGGCGACCATCACGGGCAAGGCGAACCTCACCGTGCAGCAACACATGGTGGCCCCCGGCAGAGGCTCCGTCGGGGTGCCGAAAGGCCCGGGGAGCCTCCCCAACTACCCGAGGGTGAGCTGCACAGTGGGCCCCATTGAGTCCCATTTAGCGACTCTGGAGCTCACCACCCCTGTTTTAAAAAGCATTGGTTCATGCATGCTCACTAATTCGTGCAATGTTTGGGATCAGGAGATGCTAAGCGCCGGACTGCTGCTGACCCCCACCACGGCGCACCCGGACGGCCAGTACTTCAACTGGGGGCGCTACGCCCTGCAGCAGTGGCGCGGCGGACCCAACGAAGGGAAACAATAACAGGAATAAAACTTTATCAAACGAAACCAACTTTATTCGCGTCGGCGACAACAGTGGCTCGACACCGTTTTGTCAGGCAAAGACGACCGCCTCGGCGCTGCCTGGCCGTCCGCCAGCACGCCTGTCTGTCTGCCAAAGCACTGCGGGGAGGACTTGTCAATCGGTCGCTCCTCGTCGACGCCTCCCCCCCCCCCTCCCTTTCCTTTTCTCCCTTTACTTAGGTGACAGGTGAGGATATTGATGAATCCGGTACGAGGTCGTGCAGTCCGGGACGAACGTGGTGGACTTGTTGAATGGAGACCCCCCCCCCTCCCCGCCACCCCACGCTCGATCATCGCGCCATTAACCTTCGGCAATCAAGCGACTTAGTTGCTGACTAATCACCGCGCTAATGTCCGCGGGCCGCGCAGTAAGACGCGAGACAAACCTGCAGGAGAAATTCATCGCGGTTTTTTCCGCGTCTGCAGCAAAGATGACAAAAAAAGGGATCGCCATTTGGGAATGAAGCTATCTTTTTGCGCCTCATTCAAGTGTAACAGAGATAGAATTTAGCGAACTTTTTTTCCCATGATGATTCGCATCGTTTGCTTTTACTCGATCTACTACACCTTCGGAGCGCTGTGGGGCAGGTGAGGGTAGGCGCTGGGATGGGAGGAAAGTGGGAGCATGCAGGGCCAGCGTCGGCTCGCTGGGCTACGCAAAATCAGGTTGCAGCGACATTCTGGGAGGATATTCGTGAATATTGCAATGATAGCACTGCTGGCAGGTGGTGGAGGGGACGGGGAGCAGGGGGAAAGAGGGAGAGGAGAAGAGGGGCCGAGGGAGGGGGGAGGGGAGTGATATGCAATAGCGGAGAGGTTAGGGATCGGCGGATGTTCGCCGTGCCACGGTTCAATTGATCCACCCGTCTCCCTTTCCGTATATACCTAGGGCTCCAGTCTCACTGCATCGCAGAAGCCGGTTCCCTCCCGATTTAATTTCAACACACACACACACACACACACACACACACACACACACACACACACACACACACACACACACACACACACCACACAGCAGCAGCTCACTCACACATACGACCGCTGCCCCTCCATCATTGGATGCCATTTGACAAAGAGAAGGGACTCACAAAGGCTGGGATATTCGTGACACACGCTGTGTCGCGCCTGAAAGAGAGAGAGAGAGAGAGAGAGAGAGAGAGAGAGAGAGAGAGAGAGAGAGAGAGAGAGAGAGAGAGAGAGGGGGGGGGGAGGGAGAAGAGAGGCTGCAGTCACAGCGACTATTGCCCTCTTTCAAGTTTTATTACTTAAGGCCGCACACCTAGAAAAAAAGGAAATAAAAAATGGAAGAGAAGAAATTTTGGCGTTGTCTCAAAGGACCGTCGAAAGATTTTGGGATGGTTTAAAGTCACAATGCGGTGTGGTCACTTAGCTGACTTTGAGAATAGCGTAATTTTCTGAGTAAGGAAGTTGCGAAGCCGTTCCACTTGTAAACGAGTCAACTGCTCCGCGCGCGACGTGAAGCACGCGTGTCTTATCGACAGAAGCGTTCCTATTCGCAGGAACGCTCTGCCAATAACGGCCTAGAGGCCTCCCGCTGGAGGGAAAGGGATGAGCACTGAAGAGGAATGGGAACGAATCCACCCTCCGTGGAAACTGTTTCATTTGCTTCAACTGGGGAACTCAGAACCCGGAGCGGAAATGCACATGCACTGTGCTGAAAATGCTGCAAATCATCAAAGTCACATGGGGTCACACGCCGCTTGGTTCAAGCCCTGGTTAGCGACTCTGGAGCTCGAAACGCGTCAAGAGTTTCGGCCGGCTGAACGACCCCGCTGTCGCAGTGCAGCAGGGAATCAAACATTTTCCATCTCGGTTTTATTTATGGCCCGAACTGCGGCGGCTCTCAGCCAATCACGGCCTACCAATTCCCGTTTAATGACCTACTTTCGGACATTGTGTCACCGCGTCGCTTCTCATATCGCACGACCGCAGGACAACTGCCGCCATTGGCGGAAAATGAGGTCATTCAGTTAACGGCTGTGAATAACGATGGTTGCAATGGTTGCATGCGATGGTTTGTGTGCGACGGTTGCATCATTGCAGTGGGGTGCGTCGACCCTCCGCTTGGTATTGATTGGCGTGGATTTAATTGCGCGTACATCGGGAGGCCTCACTATTCCACTGCAAAGCCACAATCCCGATTTCCAACTGAAAAATGCCGCGCAGTCATATTACTGAGATAATTTTTCAGTACTTTACGACACAAATCTGTCATAATACAGAGAAATTTGTTAGTGATATGAATAAATTGGTCATAAGTTATTGAGAACTCTTCACCGTCGGTTACTACCTTCGCTGCGCAGTCATAATACTTGCCTTGCTGATGCCAATTGCCCTCTGCCTTTTTTTACGCTCCTCCCTTTGACACGTGCAGTTGGGGTGCAAAAATAATGAGGTAAAGCCGAATGCAACGAGATGTGTTCTAGGACCCACTTAGCCTAAAGGACCCCAGCAGCGCCACGCTGGCGGTACACTGGCAAGCGCGAAAGCCCCGCCGAAGCACCAGGAACGCGGTCTCGCCGCGCTCTGCAAGCCGATTATTATTCCCCAGACAGAATCATCCACTCAAACAACTTTGCCGCCGTGTGGAAAATAATCCACGCGGGCGTTTCAGGAAAAGCGGAAATACTGAGTGAAAACGCTGCACCGCGTCGACGCGCCCCTCATAAAAGTTTGGAGACCGCCTGCGCGCGTGTGGCCGCTTTTCAACATCCCCAACTAGAACTAGACTACGCAGGCAGAGACCGTCGGGATCGATAGAAGTCACCTGCGGTGGGCAAGAAGACCGGCGGCGGAGGCCACAACTCTAGACGCGTTTTGAGCTCCAGGGTCGCTAAGCCGGACCCGAACCGAACATGTGACCCCACCAATGGATACCTCTTTCGGAGAGCAATCCATTGGTAGGGTCACACGTTCGGTTTGTGTTCCATTTCGCGACTCTCGAGCTCAAAATCGATCCAGGAAGTTTTAAAAATAACTTTTAATAATATAAAAAATAATTCGAGTAAATTATATTAGTTAAGAGATGACTTTTTGGGGTGTACTCTGGGTTGCTGTCATCTACTGAAAGTTAAGTTATTTCGTCCTCAGAAACCAGCGATTGAAATTTCAGATTGATCGGCTTCTTTATCAGAGTGTAGCAACACGACGCATGGAACTTAGTTTCCCAGAGTGTAGGTTGCCGATGCGCGGGCGTCGCCGCCTCCGCACAAAGCATTGGTCTAATAAGCGCGTGTAACGCCAGCCCCATTGTCGACATGGCACGCCAGGGCCTCGACAGCACCGTGTCAAAACGAGCCCGCTCTGAAAAAGAAGGGTCTGATGAAGCTAACAAGCAATTCAAATGAGTTTGGCGGGAGCTCTGCGCGTTGTCGGGCGGGCGGACAGACAGACGGGTGGCGGGCAGACAGACAGACAGACAGACACGCGCGCGCAAGCGGACCGTGTGCTTCATCACGGCGTTGACTAATTAGATTCTGTTATGTACCAGGAATTGATTAAATATGCTCGTTCAGCAACAAACTCTGGGACGGCGGAACCAGGATATCGCTCCGCGGTCTCTTTCCAATTCCGACCACTAATTCCTACAGTGCGCCAGGTGGTGTGATGTGGATGCTGACCCGAGCTAGACCCTGGGCGTGGCGTGGCGTGGCGGGGTGGGGCGTGGAGGGGTGGGGAGTGGCGGGTTGGGGCGTGGCAGGGTGGGGCGTGGGCTCGGAGTAATGCGGACAGGAGCCCATTAGGAATGCCCCACTGCGCCCCTGGATTCCGATCTAGACATAGTATGTGCAACGTGCCTGGACCTAAAACCGTTACACTCGAATAAACTTGGCCGGGGTAGCCTCTCGAGTTTTGGCCGCCGACGCCAGTTTTCAAGCGATCAAATGGAAAGTGCTCCCTCTTTCAAATTAATTCTCAAACACAATTTCGTCCTCGTAATTTTTTCCTCCGCAATCTTGGCGGCAAATTTCGAAGAAAAGAAAAGGTTTCATTTCCTATGATTTGGACGTAGCTTTCCTCTGAAATTGGGCCACACTGAAGCGATCTTGGGGAATAATTGCCTGAAATACAGAGCGCGAATGTGTATACAGACGTAAAGTGAATACGATAAAGTGAATTGGCATCACAGACGTCGGGCAACTGTCGGCACGGCAAAAACGGCTCCTGGTTTTTCCAGGAACTCCCTGGAAACACAGAATGTGACCTGGGAAATCCAGGAGCCGTTTTTGCCGTTGCGATACCGACACGAGGAAAATGCGCCACCTCGATGGGAACACTGCTCCCGGAAGCCAAAATTTCGTAGCTGCTTGGTCAGAAGCAATAAACGAATGGTTCGGTCAACATTGACGCTCGACTGTTTTCTCATTGAGCAACTTCATTAGGCCGAGGGTCTGTCTGACTGTAGACACGTTCGCTTGGATGGGCGGCCGAGATGTGTGTCTGGAGCAGCCCGTAGGCCGCCGAAGGCGCGCTCGGACCCAGAACCGGGGTGGGGGGTGGGGGTGGCACTTCAAAAGTAGTTAGCATATATCGCCGGCAAGCGCGGGCTGGGTTATGTTTGTTTTCTACTGGGGTGTACACACGTATATTCCAAACAAAGGGGAGGGTGCGAGGAAGAGGCGCGAAGGGAGGGAAGGGATGAGAAGGGGATGAGAAAAAGGCGTGAAGGGGAGGGAGGGATGAGGGACGTGAAAGAGAGAGAGAGGCACCAAAGAAGAGACGATGCAAACAATAAAAGCGGTACTTTTCTAGGAAGGACTCCCTGCCAAGGACGACGCCACACTCCGCCCCAAGGTTTGCGTTCCAAATTAGAAATCATGTATGGCCGCATCGCGGGGCTGGGAAAGAAATAAAATGAACTCGCCCGCCTTTCCGTGGCGAGCAAACAAGGAAACTGCGGCGAGGAATGCATGCTGCCCGTAAACACATTCCGTC